GCTGGTCAAGGAGAGTCGTGGGTGTGTAGAGGGGACCAGGTGGGAAAACCGGTTTAGATACCATTTGCCACCCATGAAACGGGGGGGGGGGGGGGGCCTAAACACACTTGCTAATAACACTGTAGCCTTAAACAAATATATTTAACAGGCGACGTTTCGGGCAATGACTCGTTATGGCACACAGAAAGGCCAGAGCGGTGGAACATAAACGAGGTTTTGAAATCTAGATAAGCTTTCCGAGTTCGTAGCGCAGTGCATTAGCCACCTTTCCACCGCTCCTCTGCTCTGTGTTGGCATTGTTGAAGCCGCATTCCATTTTTCGCATATCCTACATTGGCTGTGTCGGGTAGTGGAGGGCTACGACACATTTATACTTACGCGATCTAACCCAAAATCTTTATTATTAATAATTGTGGTCGCGAAACCTACGTGTTAAACGATCCTACATTGATTGGGTTAATTATTTTGTTATATTTTTCGCGGATGTTTGGATGCTACAGTGTGAACCTACAAACCCACCATTTAAGTTGTGCGCGTGGGGGCTGAGCAACTTCGCCTTCATACATACCAGCCCTTGAAATGTGCGATTTCATGCAATTCGTTACGCGTCTAAATTTATATTTGTTTTCAGGGTGGGAACACAGATGTTGCTTTTTTTTTTACTGTGCGGCCCGGGTCCACGTTTGCGCAAATTATACTTTGGGCAAGTGCCACAGCTTATCGTGTCGACGCCTCTGTGCCGCTTCCACTGTGCAAATTCACAACCCCCGCCCACCCAACCCACCACCCATCACTCGCAGTTCTGACGTGGCATAAATAGGGCTGCGTATGTTATTCATTGGCCCGGTTGTTTTACTGTGGGGGCGCCGTAAGTGAACTCACGCATGAGACGCCCCACCTCCCCTCCCCTTCTTTACACCGAGCCCCTTGCACTGGCACACAATCACGGCGGAGTGGGGAAGCTGCTCTCGACTCGTGCAACATGCTCAAGGTGGTCGTACGGAGCGCGCGGGATTTGCTGAACGTGGACAAATATTCGGGATGCAGCGACCCTCTCTGCTGCGTCAATTTCAGAGGTAAAATTGATTTGTAACGAGTCATGCGCTCATCTTCATCGGCGGCCACATGTACGCATGTTGGACTTCTTTTGCACCGTACGTAGCCAACCGCGCTAATCGGCGGTGCGGCCGTGATCGATCCACTGTTTAATGGAAGCGTCCTCATCCAAGCCGTCGCCAGCTCCGATTTGCAACGTACGGCGCAAAAGAAGTTCAACGCAGATACTGTTCCGCGAATGCCAAAGTTCCAATCAGCACGTCGGGATGGCCACAATTCCCCGACTCTTTACCTGAGTTGGGTGGTCTTAACGACAAAATGGCCACACCTTGAGTTCTTTATAACTGTGTGTCAGGATAAAGCGTAGAGCTTCTGTGCGTGCAATGAACGTCTGCGTGCGTGTGTGTGTGTCGTAAACATATTCCAACCCTTGCACGCGAAGCGATATCATTGCTTCATCTCCGCGGCGTCTTCCAACCTTTGGCTGCCACTCGGTAGTTAACCTCGACCACCTCCCGTCATTTCTTCTCGTAACGCGACGTCGTCGTCTCAGTCCGAACCCACTTATCGACATACTCTTTGGGTCTTTATATATCATGACGTTTCGATCGCAAGCACATTGCTTGCGATCGAAACGACGTGATCTATTATTATTTTCTACCTACGTGACTTGACCGAAAGACCCAAAAGAGTATGAATTCCTGCAGTCACGAAAGCTTTAAATCAACACTTATCAACAGTTACGTCTGTTTTTTTACTTTCGTGTACTTTCTAAACCACGTGCTCCTATTTCCGTCTCGCGATGTAAATTCCATTACCGTCGTTCGTGTCTGTGCCTCGTCCACATCTCACAAGCAGCAGCAGCATGTACAATGCTGCAGCATCGATTTAAGCAAAGCGGTCCTCTCGGCGCAACCGGCACGTGACGCTTTGTTATCAAGTTCACTCGCCCATCAACACACTCGAGCAACCAGTTCTCGTTTCCCCCGTCAATGTAATCGACGTTTATCCAGGTCCGTGATCAACAGCTCGTCCCGAGGTGTGCGTGCTCAGCTTCTGCTGACAGTCGTTTTCATTCGGATTGCTCATTCGCAACAAAAATCCGGTGCCTTGTTTCGTCACCGTGTCCGTTCGCTCGAACGGGGGCGCGACAACAATTGGCAGCACGTCGTCACACCCAACTCGACTGACGCGTTATATTCCGACTAAGTATGGAGTTTTCGATAATCGCTTGAAAATAAACGCTGAAAATCGATTGTGTGTTTGCCGCACGTGTGTATCGTAATAAAAAAAAAAATATTCAGATTTTCAGCGTTTATTTTCAAGCGATTATCGAAGACACCAAACGAAGTCGGAATAGAACACCGGTCAGTCGAGTTGGGTGACGACGTGCTGCGATCTGTTGTCGCGCCGCCGTTCCGCGAACGAACCCGTCAACAATGATGGCACAAACTCATCGGAATCTTGAATCAATTATCCGGGAGTTGTACGTAATTAAACTTATACTTGGGATGTACTGAATAATGGTGTTAACCATACTCTTTGGTTCTTTCGGCAAAGTCACGTATAGGTATAAAATAAATCACGACGTTAGAGAAAGAAGCAAAGCGTATGGATTCCTGCAGTCACGAAAGCTTCAAATCAAGATGATGGTGTTCACGTTTCTTTGTTTAGTTACGTGTCAAACTCCCCTTTGATTGCTCATTGTTTTTTTTCGGTAAAGTCACGTATGTAGAAATACAATAAAATTATATTAAAATAAATCACGACGTTTCGACCGCAACACAAGCGATCATTATCAGGTGTAAAAAAAACAAATAGCGAGGGAGCACATAGGGTGACATCAACGCAACACATGGAGAGCGTTAAACTGCACGGAGGTAAATACAACAAGAAGATGAGAGACGAGAATTCAACAAACCTAAGAAAAAAATAAGTGATGCAAAACCCTTTGATTGTTCGCAATTGTATTCTTCGCCTTCAGCGATGAAATTTCGTTTGTACATTTGCAACTTATCTCCCTCCTCTGGCATCCCAGATCCACCTTATAAAACAGACGCAAACGTTTCAACGGGGTCTCACCTATGGTGAAAGTACAATTCATATATGCATGCATGCGTGTAAAATTGGAAGTCATTACATTCGCTGATAATATTTGTTAACACACCTTGCTGTACGTTATAATGCTCGGTCAACCCTTGTATTAATCCACTGCTGGATGAAGGCTTCCCCAAACACCGTTACCGCCCATAGTACATTATACTGCACCGTATAAGGCAGCCAGCTCTGGACATATTCAACCGTAACACTTGATTTGCAACGTAATATGTATTTATATTAAAGCGCATAAAGACAATGGTATTACTACATTGCATGGGGTTTGTGTAATTTTTTTTGTGTAACGGGCAAGTCATCCACAATATTTAAAGCAAATGTAAAGTAAAACGAGAGTTTAAGTGGCCTCGGGCAGGACACGTTGCTAGAAGGGGTGACTGCTCATGGCCAGTGCACAATTTAACATTAAACCGTGACAGAATGCAACTTAAAACAAATGTCGATCTGATCATACCCACGTCGGCATCAAGGTCCTCCCTCCGTATGGCAAAGTTCTGCATTTTCATTTGTTGTGGGCACCAGAGGGCAGTGCAACAAAATGCGTTACTCTGCTGTACTGCGCTCTGCTCCGACTATCGTGCGCCTCTTCGCCTTCAGCTCGCAGTATTGACCAGTGCGGTGAAATATGGTGAGATAACCCCCACGACCGGCGCGGCGTGAGCAAGGGGGGCCCCCTAATCCAGGAGTGGATCTTCAAAAGGGCTGTACGACCCGTGGCACCTGCTGGGTCTGCCCCGTGACCTCCTGCCGGCGGGCGTTCGACACTTCACGTGGTCTCGACGTGCACCTAGCCTGGCACAAGTGTTGTGGTGACGTCACAGCCACTTAGTGGCGAATGGCGGCTGTTCTGGCCATGTGCTTTGTATTATGCGTTTAGGTCTATAAAATTAGTTTGTGTGTACCTTTTTTGCGTAGAGCAGTGTCACATGCTTTAACATGGAGTGTTCTTGACAGTGACGTCTGGCAATCAAGCATAGGAGTTTGTTTAACATGGCCTGCCTCTGCTGACGAGACCCACAAGGTCGAAACCAGTCCAGAATTAGCTTTCTTAAACAGGCGCTGCTTGATTACATTGGCCTGGAGTGTCCCATAAGCATGATGAACTAAACATGTTATTCCTCTACGGAGACATGATGGAGTTCTGCGCAGTGTTACTTAATAATGTACGTACCATGCTCCATCCGTGCATGTCATCACGTAGAGTGTGTGTATTGTGGGGAGCGGTAGTGTAGCGGTTAGCGCGCTGCGTTGTGCTACGGCCAACACCACTGTGACGATTATCTTAACCGGTCCTGGGCCTCCCCAAGGTTCCATTTATTTCCAGAGTTCCATTTATTTGGTATAGCCCTGTGAGCCATTCGGCTCTTGAATCGGGTGCAACCGCAACAAACAAAAAATAAAAACATGAACAAGAAAACATCTTAAAGTGACTATGTGACTGTGCAAACAGAAAATCCAGGAAAAAACATCAAAATATTCCTGACAAAGCACCGTACCTAGTGCGGTGTGTGTAAACATCGCCACTGGGGAGACAAAGGCGGTCGGGCGCGGTGCCCGCCACCAACCCCCATGCGTACCGTGCTGGTCGTCACAGGTGCTCGCTAACAGCACTTGCCCCAACAGTCTGTCAAGGCGATAGCGGTTACAAAAGTTGGCAATTTGTGACCGCAGTGCTGGGAAGTATCCACACGAGGGTCCCATAACTCAGCCTGCTCAGCCCCCCCCCCCCTCCTCCTCCAGCTGTTCCCGGGCAATTGAGGGAGAGATGCACGGGCGTGGTAGAGGCGGTGCAGAGGCGGGAGAATGAGAGTGACTGGACCGGTCAGACCAGACCCAGGCTCGTGTGGGTGGGTGGTGGGGCAGTCTGGGACCAAATCCCACCCTCCACCCCCTCCGTATAAAATACAGGCGCTCTGCTCGCGCTGGGCTTGCGGAGACACAAAACCGACTTCGGCGATGTGCTCTTGAACTCGGCTCATCTCGGCTGCTCCGACTTAGTTCTGAGCTTAGTTGTGTGGGTTTTTTTCCTACCGGATGTTACTCATCATAGGCCGAGTTTATGGTTCATACTCAACGAGTGAATGAAGTTGAAACGCACACCGAGTTAAATTTACATTCATAAATTGAGGTCCGTTCATATACAAATATAGACTACATGGTTTTTTTTTGCTGTACGTAGAATTGACAAAAAAACGATAGCATCTTCATAGTAATTATTAGCGTCGCTGAATTTCGGGATACAGGTTAAATTAACAGCATAGCCTGGCGAAAGTGACCCGCGCAAGATGTTGCGGTGCGTGGTGCAGTCGGCCAGAGATCTGCCAAATGTGGAGAAGTTCGGGAAGAAGAGTGACCCCTACACCAGGCTGACTTACAAAGGTGGGACCACGAATTTTGTTCAACAATGTGCAGAGAACGCGTGTGTGTGTATGTGTACCAACCATTATAATCGTCAAGTCATGGGCAATCCCATTACCATCTCTCCGATTTAACAATCTATGCAGCACCAGCAAAGAATCTGGTTTCATCAATCGCTCAGTCTTTAGCGGGGGAGGTCGTATGTGTGTTGTCATTGTGTATATATGCCTCCCCGAGGTCGACTCGGCTTTAAATGAGTAGCTGGTGCGGTGTTAACATCAGCCCTGGGGAGACAAAGGCGGTCGGGCGTGGTGTGCCGGCCTTCGTTGGTGTTCACGGCTACCTGGGATCTTTGTATATTGAAATAAATAATTCGCAGTGTTGTGTACGGACTCTTTTCTCGGTCTTACTTTCTTACTTGTAATGAGTTAACATTATTTGAATTTAAGGAAATGTTTACGCGTTTGAAATAAATGTGCATTGTACAAATGAAAAACACTTGCATGTGATTTTTCTAACGTTAATGTGTTTATTGGTTCCACCAACTCCTTGGGACATGTAAAATTATTTTTGTTTGGTTAAATATCCTTAAAACATTTGCGTGGTGCACACATGCCACGAAGGATGTTGAAAAATGTTGGAGGTAGGAGTGATGCAACAATCAATCCAATATTATTGTAGGGGTTTTTGTTGTTGTAAATAAGTCCATGTATCAGTCATCAGTAGCCGTGATCTCTCCACTGCTGGATGAATGCCATCATTCGTCAACACTATAAATATTATTATTGCGTCACTGAAAAAAATGGATTGCACGCAAGTTGCCATACATTCCAGTTATTATTTAAAGCACATTGAGGTTATTTTGTTTGCATGGCAGCTCGTGTGCAGTTACACAAAGTTCAGTTGTTGACGTGAGAGCGCCCGTGCAACTATAACCTGTGTGCCTGCTATTGTTCGTAGAACCTTAACCGCTCCGCTGTAACCCAAACCTATGTGTACGTTCACTGTACACTACACACACAGGCATCGCGGTTCACTTACACACGGCTAGGCAGGTGTGCATCGACAACTGCCAGTTCTAGTACCTCGCCTGGTATACAGGAGGTCGTGGGTTCTATCCCGACCCTGACAGTGCCTGTATATTTCGAGTTTGCATGTCTCTCCTCGTACCACGTGATAAGCCACTTGGTTGAGCTGTGCTGGCCACCCAAACACCTCGTGTGCCGTGTCGGCCATCATAGGTGCTCTCTAACAACACTTGTCCCAACAGTCTGCCAAAAGCTATAAGACTAGGGAAATTTGCTACTTTTGCATCTTAACCCTTTGTTAATGGACAATCAATGGAGTTCTGTATTGTGATCGATTTTTATCCACATTTTGCAAAACAGGTCTATGGGATGCCCGCCCGGCGCTAGATTGTACATAGCTGTGTGACCATATCACAAATGCGCCTGAAATCGAAGCGAATTATTTGGTGATGCCGAGTTGAGGAGTGTTTCACAAGAACAAATAACAAAAACAAACTCGACACATTAGTTAAACTGCCCTTAAAAGGAATATACTGTGTAGACACTGTGCTATCTGGTGACGTGTTTGGCAATGAGTATGAAAAAGGGCCAAAGCAATGCGGGGGTGTGAGTGGTTAGTACTTGACCGGGAGATTGCCGATCGTTAATACCACCAGGTGGTTGCATGCTTGGGCTGCAATGTGGCCAGGAGATGATGGTTTGCCAATGGGAGGAATCCATCTGTGCGGAGTTTTTTTGTGTTTTTTACTCTCGTATGCAAGGTGGGAATTCGCCAGGTTCTTTGATTTCCTCCACCTCCCACGCACTGAAAACTCATGATTGTGGAATTGACCCAATCAATACACCTTGTGTATGTGTTTGTAACAGGTGAACAGAAAAAGACGAAAACCATCGAAAACGAGTTGAATCCAGAATGGAACGAGGTGAGTGCTTTTCACCGTAAATGTCACCGTTTTTTATCAGGTTGAAATAATATCTTGTCACATGCTCTTTGCAAAGATGCACCTTAGTCATTTGCTTTTCAGTTCATGGCTACAACACGATAAGACACTTCAGCATAAGCCAAGTGCAATGGAATACCACGCCCCACTATCCCGTACAACTGCAGATGCTGGAAAACCTTGCATTTGGTGTGTGCCAAAATTGTCTCCGCTTCCTGGCAGACCTGGGACGCGGTGGCGAGATATTAACTAAATCGCCTAGTATACAGAAGGTCGTGGGTTCGAACGGGACCCTGATGCCTGTATATTTGGAGTTTGCATGTTCTCTCTGTGATCGGTGGATTTTTTATCCGGGTCCTCCGGTTTTTCCCTCCACATTTAGAAATATGCGTTTAAGAGTATTGGGCTGCTATTACATGTCCACATAAGCCACTTCGTTGAGCTATCATTTGTGATAACCAGGTCGCTTCTGAACAAGAGCTGTGTAGCTTAGTGGGCCTTGCCCGGCAAAATAAAAATAGTTGGATGGACTTAAATTTGGCCTTTATTAAAGTATGTATGTTTTGCTACTTTCACATCATACGTAGCCAACCGTGCGAAATGGGAGGTGCGGTGCAACTTCTCTAAAGGGCAGTTTCTCAAGCTGAGCATTGGGAGAAAATTCAAAACACGTTCATCATTTACACTGCCCTAAAAGCAAAATGTAGGCACATAATAGGTGACATTCCAGACATTGGCTGATCTGCGACGAACAAGGCCCATTGCCCCGAACGTCACCTTGTCACCTGCGATGGGGTTTTTTTTTCCCCTTTTTGGAGGGGCAGTACTGCATGATGCCAACTGCAGCTTCACAATTTTGAGTACTGCATTACATTCATTACAGATAAAACGTTGCTTATGTTACAGATGTCACGTTGCTTGTACGCACTGCACCGGAGAGGATGTGCATAGTGCATATCATGACCACCGCACGGTCGTTGATGTTGTTTAAAGGATGCTTGTCATTTCCCTCGTAATTCCAGAACCAAAAGCGGTACGAGTATGAACGATGTGCAAACTGGTCGCAACTTTCCCAAACGCAAATTTGTATTTTGAGAGGGCGTTGACCTTGCCTGCAGAGCGGGTAAATACTTGAGAATGATTTAAATTGCTCACGAACTAGCGTCTCCTATTGACAAGGTGGCAGAGTTACAAATATACAAAAACAGGCTTATATTACTATTGAATTAAATTAACACATTCGCCAATAACACTGTGGCCTTAAAAATAACAAATATATATTGCAGGCAACGTTTCGGGCAATGGCCCTTCACAACGCACAGAGGCGAGAGGCAGAATATTGATTAAGATTATTTTGATTATCATCACGCTACAATTGATAGCATTGAAACGCGATTTGCAAATCCTCATCCTACCGTTTATTTAAAAAAACAAATTGTCATCATCGTCATCTTACCTGACCTGCACAGAGATGAGCCCCTGTGTGCACGGTAATTACCCCTTCATGTGCACACGGCCATCAAAGCCAGTCAAATTGTATTTGAGTAGCTTTTTTATTATAAAGGGAAGCATTCTCTATTCTGCTTCATACGAGCGCTTAAGTGGTCCAACCTGCACAGCATTGATGCCTCAGGGCAGTTCCCAACGCCACGCCTGTTTTACCGAAACTTCTAACCTAACAATAGCGTTTAAAATATGCATGCGTGTGTCTCGAGCTAGCTAGCTATCTGCATCGTAGGCAGCTGTGGTGGTTACCTGTTGGTGGCAATGTATTGTAATACTATGGCTATCTTGCAGCATTGCTTGTCCGTAACAAAGGGGTTTAAAAAAATGAAATGAATGAACGTGAATGCTAAATAATGTGCTATAGACGAGCCACCTTGAAGAATATACCCCAGGACTTTCTAAAACCAGTTGTCTCACTTTTAGTGGCATTTCTGTCAACCAATCATCCGGCCACACCCGGTGGGTTGCCAACAAAAAAAAAAGTTTTTTGGTCATATGAGGGACAAAGATCCCCCGTATAGCCTTTCACAGACTGCTGGGGCAAGTGGTGTTAGTGAGCACCTAATGAAGGCCGGAACAGGTACACGAGGGCGTGGGTGACCAGCAGCACGCCCGGACGCCTTTGTCTCCCGAGTGATGTTTACACACTGCACAAGGTACTCATTTGAGACTGAGTAGACCTAGGAGAGGTCCAGGACCGGTTCATATAATCGTCACTGGTGTTGGTGGCCAGTGACCGGTAATCGAACTCAGATCGGCGGGGTTCGCATCACAGTGCGCTAACCGCTGCACGACCGCTCCACACAGCACGTCCCTTTGGCAGTCCACTGATGGATGACAGCCTCTCCATGCTGTGCTGGTCGTCGGTGATTCTTTTGACCATGCTTCACGATCGGTGTGGCTTTATGAAGATGGGGGGGGGGGGGGGTACAGACATAGCAGCACAGAAGTACAGTACAGCAATGGCATCTGCTCCCACTGCCTGCCAAGGTCGACTCCAATCCTGCATAGCTTCCGATGTCATGTGGGATTGGGTACAACTGCAGTGCTGTAGACTGCTTCAGATAATGTATTATCCCAATGAGGCATCCTCTTGTAAAGAGCTAGAGAAACGATTAATCGTATTTATGTTGAACTTCTTCCGCACCGTACATAACCTACCATGCAAATCGGAGGTGCGGGGGGAAGAACGGCAAACTAAACACAAAGCAGTTCTAAAGAAATTAAAATAAGAGAATACCATGTGTACATCGGACAAGATCAAGTACAATCCTAACAACATGAATAGCTTTACTTCAATCTGGGAAACTTCAACCAAGCGATGAATGTTCGTGGAATCCACAGGCCCATTTTACTTGGCCAAAGTGATTCACCGTCGCCTGGCAATGCAGATGACTTCCTCTCCCACAACAAATAAAAAAAATGTTGGAAAAACTTCGCCTGGGCCACTCTCTCGCACTGTACCGCATTTGGCAGTCTGGGAGAATTAACGGAAATTCCAAAGGGGGCCTTAAAGAGCCAGATTCGGAGCGGCGCACGCGCGCGCACTCTCCGTACGCGCCGCTCGCAGCGTGCGGAGGAGCAACTCGCCGTGAGCATTGCCAGGACGCTTGCTGACGGGGGCCATAAACACCGCGGCGCTGGGTCCCCTTGAGGCCAACTGGAAGGTTGCTGTCAAGGCCACCTCCGGAGTACAGGGTTGACTTGCGCTTTTGCAGAGTCGTGTGAGGCTTCGGAAGACACGCTGAAGGCTCAGTCAGAATCTTTATTTAGACTGGAGGAATCCAATGAGCTATGAAGCTCTTCTTTTCCACAGATTTCCAGTATAGGTTGGTCAGAAAGCCGCATCCACTGCACATGTGGAAAATTAAATGGCAGATGTGGAAATTTTTTAAAAAAGCTCTGTCCAGTGTGCGACTGTTGTCATCCAGAACGGACTATACAACATATGACACAGTGCCCGATCCACAAAGCAGCTCCTGATGCGGTAATCTGGCCGGACCCACCTGCATGTGAAATTGTAGGTGTTGCCCTGCATCTACATCATCCATACAGAAGAAGCAAACTGACGGTTTTACCACATTAGTGTGAACATTCCTGCCCCCATAGACGTCGAAAGCTCTCCACCCGCACCCTCCGTCATTCTTTTCTCAGTGGGAGGTCGTTCATTCGATTCTACTGCCCCCCATAGTCTGGCTGGACACTTTCTTCACCCGGATAACCACGCTATCAACTGCCTGTTTCAAGTTCAATACGTTTTATTAAAGTCTGCCCATGACCGACTAGCGCTATCTATACAATAAAATGTAACGATTGTTTTTTTTACGGGCTCTCAAGTGTGGTCGCATATACAATTCCACATTGTATTGTGTTCTCACAATGGCAAAGGCGAATAACAAAAACAATTAATCGGGGTGTGCGATAGGGTTGAACGATTAATCGATTTCAAATCGAAATTTGAAACCATGCGATTATGAAATCGCAAAGGCTGAGATTTTTTTGCGATTTGAAAAGTCCTATTTTTTGGAATTGTTTTATTTTTTTATAAGTATAACTTAATTTATTTAACTTAACAGTTGATAAGGTAATTAAAGCTTGCGTGACTTTACCGAAAAAAACCAATGAGTAACTTAACAGTTGTTCTATGTTTGATTGTTCTATTTCAATTAAATTTTTAAAATAAATGTTGGAAGCAATTCATATATTTAAAGTTCTCATTCTTGCATTAGAATATATAGAGCAGTTCATATTATGATGGTATATTGGTATCATGTGCTCCATCACGTTTTAAATCTATTACACAGTGAATATTGAACTGAAGCTTGACTTGAATTTTTTTTATCGCAAATCAAATCACAATATCTGTCAGAAAAATCGCAGTTACATATTTTCCCCAAATCTTTCAGCCCTAGTGTGGCATGGGATAAATAATTACCGAAGAGGAGAGAGAGGTTGTAGTTTTGATTTAATAGCATGGCATTAGCGAGTGTAGTCATTCATCTCTCCAGGCAATTCAATTGTCGACTCGCGATTCTCAAATCAAAATGATCGTAATCGCAGTAGCTGCAAGCATCACATGAATGAATTTGCATAAATTTGATTTTAAAAAATCTAATCTTACACGCGTGTTTTGTACATCTATCGCCAGTTTAGGGGACGGAAATGCTCAATTGTTTGCGTCGTTACATTGCACGACTGAAGAATTAAAAGGGCCCCTTTTGTCGGTCTACTGCTGGATAAGGAGCTCCCTACGTGGCTTGTGGAGGTTATTTGACCATGCTTCGCCAAGCTGGTTCGAAGGTGGGAGCATAGTGCAGTGCAACAATGGATTGACTCGGCTGCAACATTAATGCAGGCGGTTGAAGTGTGTTTTTCACGGACGCCTAAATGTAGACAGCCGCACATCGACTCACCTCGGCCGATGTGTGTCAAATTCAAAGTCCCGCATACAAGTCGTGTGGGATGCCTCGCCTCCAGGGGAATGTGGGTGACGTCCATGAAGGGTACGATGCGTGTCAAATATAGCAACACCTATTGTTCCTTGTAAGTGAGGTTGATTGCACGTTTTGCTTTGAAATGTGTTCAGTAAACGAGCAACTCTGTTTTATACCCTAAAGGTAGCGTGCGCCCCCCCCATGCCCCCTACACAATTGAGTGTTTAAGTTTAACTAATTCATCAACCCGAACCGGTCTGGGCAGTATGAACACATTGAATAGTGCCCTGGGCTCAACATGCATTTTAAAACGCGTACAGCTTGCGAGGTGATCACGAGGTAGTAGACGCCACTGTATTGCCACGACCGACATCACCAGAGCCATTTTCTGCAGCCCTCCTTTGTCAACTCATCGCCGTGTGGGTCGCGGGGGTTACAATTTTTGACCATACTTCACCCACGCTGGTCGGTGTTGATTGACGAAGGCGCGGAGTAGCATAGCCATTGCAGCACAATTCAATAATTCATTTTGCTCCACTGCCCTTTGCTACTAGCCCTGCCGCACCCTTAAATACACCTTTCCACACGTGAATTAAATGCGGATACCTCATGAGCAAGTGGAATATCAGACTCCTGAGTGCGACTGTGGCTACAAACACTCAACCACGGACTGTGTGACTTTGCACTGCCCCAAATATAAATTGAATGTGGCCTATCTTCAATTTACCAACTCTCTAGACAAAGCAGCTGGATGGCTAAATCACTGGTAAACCGAATTTCTTGATAGTCCCCCTTTATCGGCCACACGAGGTCATCAAACAATACCTCGTAGTGCATGGTGTTCGTCCATCTGAGCACTATCCAAGCTCAATCCTGCTTGGTTTACATTTCACAATAATAGGCGCATTCCTGTTGATTTAGCCATAGGCCTGGCATGCATCGCTACAAAACACGATGATTTGGATTTACTGCATATGGTCTCTCAAGGCAACGTCTGCTCTAGATCCTGCACAAAATGCAGAATATGAACATGTTATTTAAAGTAAGGTGCAGTTGAAAATTGCATTACAGGTAAGAGATGCTCTTTTGGGATACCTCTAAACCCTTCAACAAATGACCGCTCAAAACTTAAAAAATTAACTTTTATACCGGTGCAATTGTAGAATGTGCAGCAGCAGCAAACCATTGGAATAAGGTGGTATTTTTTGTTGAGGTGGCTAGAGTACAAAATATATGGACCTCAAGACCATGTAAGAATTGGTAGTAGCGGAGGCTCGGTGATAAGTGAACAGCTGTACTGTCAACTCGGCCACCCGAGTTTGATTCCTGGCCATGGCTAACGTCGGTGTGTGAACCGGTCCCGGGCACCTCCCCCCCCGTCTCCCGCGCCACCACCAGGCTGCACTGACCAGCGTGACGGTCAAACAAAACCCCCACGACTGACAACGGCACGGGGGAGAGGCCTCCATCCAGCAGTGCATTGACAGATGGTGTAAATCATCAAGAGCCACTTGAGGCAAAGTTACCTTTTTTGCCTAGGGAGACCTCGGGTGCGAACAAATGGTGTATATGACCAGAATCTTTCTCTCGGTATAGCGAGAGAAAACAAACTAAAACAAGCATTCAAATCGCGTAGAATTTTACGTGAAAGAATTGGGTCGTGCTGTTCCGACGTTAACTTAGTCACACGCAGGCGATTTAATGAAAGCATTTTTTTTTTAAAGAAATAGTTTAAGCATTATGCCACATGCTCAACTGCAACTGCTGTCAAACTTCCTCGGGAAAACAAAACAAACGGTGAAAATAAGGGGCATGAACAATTGTCAACAGCGAGCCGCGATATAAAAAAAAGTGTGTCCGTGTTAAATTTTGATTTAAAGCTTTCGTGACTGCAAGGATTCATCTTCTTTGGTTCTTTCGGTAAAGTCACGTAGAATGAGAATAAAATAATAAATTGATAAAATAAAATAACGCAATAATATTCACTCCAGCGCTGTCCTACCAGACAGTCTCGTCCCTTCACCTGATGAAGGCCGCTTGTGTTGTGGCCGAAACGTCGTGAGAATATTATTGTGTTATTTTATTTTATCAATTTATTATTTTATTCTCATTCTACGTGGTGACTTTACCGAAAGAACCAAAGAAGATGTGTCCGTGTTCTTTTCAGCCGGCCGTCAACATTTCCGCACACCAGGTTTAAGTGACCTCCGACGACAAACAGGACGGGGCGCACCGCGTCTGGTCAGCTGGATGCTGATTTAATAAGCCGTTGTCCAGATGGAAGTGATGCCCTGATCGTTTCTTCCTGTGGAGAGCGGCTCCTTCATGCGTTACGGTGTCAGGGCCCCTGGCTGCGAGCCAAGTGAAACACATGTGGGCTTTATGCTGGGGGTGGGGGGGGGGTTTGGGAGCTGGCACTATGGGAACCCGTTTCCTGTTGCCCAATACCCCCAGCCACTCCCAGAGTGTGTAGGCATGTCCGGACGTTTGTTTTGGAGAATAAGTTAAACTTTTAAATAAATAATTAGTATGTAACAAAAATAATGTGGTGGAGCTGTGGTGCAATAGGTTTGTGTGCTGCGCTACGAACCCATGGTTAACATCGGTTCTGGGTCTACTCCCGTCACCGTAACCCACACCCACGGGTGTGGTGAAGTATAGTCAAACTACCACAATGGCCGACATGACGACTTCTTTCAGCAGTTGATTGACAAAGAGTTGTGAAGTATGTAGTTTAATTATTGTAATAAAAAAAATTGTACTCAACTTAATATCCCAATGATGTTTAGGGGATTTTAAAACAATGGCAATATACGTATAATTGCCAGCTTGAAAGGTTTGTGCGTTGTCTTTGTGAGTGCCTAAGGCGATACTTGGTGTGTGTTAGGTCAGCCTTTGGCCAGACCTTTTGAGTCGCCCTTCAAGTTTTTTAATTAAATCTGTAAAATGACGAGGAAACCCCATTATAAAAATAATAGTGCAAGCCGATAAAACCATAAATTTCAAACAACGCACAGAAAATGCACGCAAGCCGTCTGATCTTGACTCATTCTGTGCGTCGTTTAAACCTCTCAATTTGATTTAAACGTGGGGTCGTGAGTCACAGCATTTGTATTATTTTTTTAACTCAACGAGTTGCACTTCCTGGCTCACTGCTGTGACAAGAGTGTGCAAATAACAATGTGTATTGTTACAAACAAATATTTGTCCATATAATGGTTTGCTTTAATTTTTCCACTGAAAATGCAGAATACACATGGAGTACTATATACCACACTGGCTGAAAATAATCAGTGTGCCTTGAAATGAAGCAAATAAATGCGTGCCATTCCATTGATATTGGTGCATGAACAACCCAAAAAAACTCATCACATTTGTCTATCACTACCTCCAAAGGAAAGAATGATATAAAATCTGGCATGGGCTATGAAGGTCCATTGCCTGAAACATTGCATTAATCGTGAGCAAACGATCCTGATCAATATTTGTTAGTTTGTGCGCAAGTAGTTCGTTTTCTATGAATGATGCACACCCTCTGTGTTTGACTGACATCAGGCTCTGGAGTTCGACTTGAAGGGGTTTCCTCTGGAAGCTTCCTCGGTGCTCGTGGTGGAGGTGAAAGACTACGAGAAGATCGGGAAAAGCCGGTATGGTCTCCCTCTTGTTGCCTTGCGCGCAGCAGCGCTTGTCCTCAATGGAAACGCGATGGGTCGTGTGTATAACAAGTATTTGCTGAAAAACACGTTGTTTGAAAAGCAAAAACCGCGTTTTTCCTTCTGCTTTCAGTGCAAAGTCGATCAACGTTGGCTTCCTTTGACTGTACACTTGCAACGCGACAACTCCTTTTGAACGAAACAATTTTATGACGTGATATCAGCTTTGCAGTCTTGATTTGAAGTTTTCGTGACTGCAGGAATCAAAGAGCTTTGTAGTCCTTCGTATATATCTTTTTACTGAATGCACGTAGATATTGTTTCGTATGTTTTATCGCACCTGCTGATGTTTCGGCATCTTCTTCGCCTTGTCTCGCTGCATATCTTGTTGCGTTCGTGATCGGCCGTGTTCTATCCACTGCTGGATGGAGGCATCCTCTCCGCCTCGTTGCCATTCGCACGCACAGTCCCTTTGCTACATTCCGTCTTGCCAAGCGGGATGGTCCACAGCGACCATCCGCTTGGCGCGCATTCTCTCCTGCTGATCGGCCACCCTTCCTTTCCCACCGGCCAACAAATCTTCTAACCGTGTCCTGCCAAAGCACGCTTGTTTTTCTAGCAGTCAAGATGATATCTGAAACTTGGGTATGTTCTCCAATCTACGTCGTCCTCTTGCTGTCTCTTGGCGTAGTTCTAAACTAATGTCTCCCTGCGTGCCTCTTGCACACTTTTAGCAATTGTTCCATTTCTTGTATCTGTACGCAATATTAATACGCAATGACAATGCATACCGAACATTGAATTGTATGCGTAGAGTACATATAGAAGGAACAATGGGAGGCAGTGGAACGAGAAGAAGCGCAAGGATTGGGATGTTGAGTGAGCTGAAGGGGCATTTGTGGAAGTGAGGAGGGCAGAGAAGCGAAAAGGATGGAGATGATCGCAGCCGAGGACCTGCCGCTGAGGCAGAGCACTAAAGAAGATATAATACAAATTAAAATCATGTAATGTCTCCAAGCGTTTTACTATGCATTTGTTAGGTTAGGTAATCATTTATTTTAATACTCCACAATGTGCGTTGGCCACATTGAAAATCCCCATAGCACACCGCGGGCTGAGAGGGTCGCGTGGAAACTCTGCGAACTTGACGTCGCGTATGCAAAATGCAACTTACCAATTCGTGAACGTGACCCATTGTGGCTTCACGAACTGGATTGGGCGCTGTAGGTAGCTGATTTCGCGGCAAATAACCCGCCGAGTTGGTCGCAATGCCGGTCAACACCGCACTGTGGGCCAGAGGTTGCACTCCCCTCGTCTAAATTGAGGGGCAACTTGAAAGTATAGGGTAACAATAGCCAGACAAAAGAGGACCTACAAACGCTGCAATGCAATTGAAGCTTCACTGGCTCTCTTTTACCGGTCAGTTATTTACTGCCAACCGACTGAGGATTTTGTTTTTTACTTCCTGTTAACCAGCACTTTGGTTGACGTGTCTTTTGTTGCCGGAGCACAATGCCACATTTGGCAAATAATCTTTAGCGTATGACCGGTCTTATTGAACATTGGTGCTGTTTTGGCATTTACACAACCGACACGGGCAAAAGCTTGCCCAATAGAAATACAAAAAGATTATGATGGCCGATTGTTCATGGAATACGTTTTCCAAGAAGAGTGCTTGCAAACGATAAAGTATTACACAGCAGGACTTCCGTAAACTCAGGGTTTCTTGTCAGAAGTGGCTGATGCAATTTAAGAGACGCTCTTGCAGTTTGAAACCAGAATTACCAACTTAAGAGGCCTCAACCTGGAAGTAATTATATTAACGACAAAGATTGCATTTCAGGGTCAGGGCTACGGAAGTGCCTGCCAAGTGGCATTTAAGTTCTCAAAGCTTTCATTAGTTGGTCTTGGACCAATGAAAAATCGGTCTTCGACCAACTAATGAAAGCTTTAAGAACTTAAAGTATAGCACTACAGGTAGCAAAACTTTTGTTAACAGTTGTAAATAAATGCAGTACTTTCACCGTGCTTGAAATGCGCAGGGAATTGTGGAATTGTGAGAAATGAAAATGCATTGGGAATATCGGCCCTTTCAAAGTGGCTCAGCTGATTTTTCAAAGCAGTCCTTTTGTCATGCCGGTCGTGCAGGGTTACTTGACCAGACTTCAACATATTCGTCATTGTGGGGTTTTAAGGCAGGGAGCATAGACATTATAAAACAACAAAAAATCAAATAACTTTATGTAGCTTTATTCATGCAATTTGCATCTCGCAATCGCTGAGGTACCAATGCTGGAAGGCTGCCAGGCGATGAGCCGGCACCAGCAATTACGTTGCCTTTTTTTATACAGTCTATTAAGCTGTTTTCAGCCAATCGGTGAGTGTTTATACACGTGGGAGAAAACCAGTACATCTGACGAAAACCCACCCATGCGAGGGGGGCAACACTCTATCCCACACAGAAGGGACTGATGCCATTCGTCCACACTTTGCTGTATTGCGTTATGCAGGCAAGAGTATAGCACCTTTACGTCCATGGGAAGGGAGTCTCACAACATTTAAGATTTGCCCGATCCACCAACCCTCGCTGCCCCCACAGTGCTGGGTTACAGGCCACGTGCAGCACAGCCACCACGCAGTTCGGGCATATGAAGTACAGTCGAACAATGAATGTTGATGCATTCCCTTTTCCTGCTCACCACATAGTCCCGCATCCTATGACCAACCTGTTTTTGTGCACGACTGCTCGGACAAGTGCAGTTTTTGTCGATAAGATTCAGAGCTATAAGATAAGAGCTATATAGTTCAGTGGGCCTTACCTGGTAAAATGAAAATAGTAGTAGTGGTATGCTAAGTCTAAGTCAACAATGGCCGACAAGGACCTACATACAGGAGGGGAGCCAAAATATTGTCCAGCGTTTGGCTAACACGTAATCAAACACCGACAACTGAACGAGTGACTTGCTGCTATGTGTTCGTATGTTAAACACTGTTCTGTTTACAAAACAGCCTTGGCTTAAAAATGGCACGCGGTGTCCCGTACGGGCCCCTGCAAGGGTACACTTTGAGTTTCCTTTTAAAAGCAAAAAAGCACATGGATGTGCTATTGAGTACAGTATCTTGTCTGTGTCAGATGGTTGAGAGTGTCACTTAATTAGGGCAACTTGATCATTTCCAAGTTGGTTGGTGAATGCAAGCGGGTCGGAGTCCTTGTGGAAATTTAACTGAATGAAAAGCAACATTCCATTGTACCTAAAAGAAGAGTTTTTAATTTATGCATATTACCTGCTACTACATGCAGATGAAATATTTGACAATTACAAAGCAGTATGCTTGTAAATTGCATTGAGAGACCAGAAGAGAAAAACATGGATTACAAAATGTACACATTCGAGATGACATCTTGACCATTTAGAAATGTTAGTGGGCTTTGGCAGGACAGTCAGAGAAGGGATGATGACCAGTGGACAAAAGTAAATGGCATTTGCAGCCAAAGTAGGGCATACGCCCAATGGGGCCATACACTGGAGATGGAGTGATGAAATTGACTCGTGTGTGGCAGCTAGGTTGTTCCATGAATTTTGAACTTCTTTCGCACAGTATGTAGCCAACCGTGCTTATCGGAGGTACGGGGAAGGATGACAAACTAAACACAAAGCAGTTTTAAAATCTAGAATGAATTTTGAATCATAGAATGGGTTCTCAATTATTGTCATGTGTTGCATCACGTGACAATGATTGATGATGACAGCATGGGTCGGCCTTCATCCGGCAGTGGATAGATTCATGGCTGAGGAAGTTGATGAAATGCAACTGCAAGTCAAGGAGACCTAAAAAGCCAGATCAAAAATGAGAAATTCCCCATGCGAGTTGACGTGTGGGCACCACCGGTGGATCCTATTGTTTGCTTTGAGCCACGAAAATAACTCCCCCTTACTTATCCAGTCACCCATGGGCAAATAAGGAAACTTGGATGAATTCGTCGCCACTCTTGGGTTACATTATCTGTGATATGGTTGCAAATACTTGGATTAATTCAGCCGCTGTATTGACCACTCAGTTCCGAACAATTCCCTTTAATCACTAAAACTTTACCACCTCTGGCAACCGTTAATGTGCTGTGACGAAGGGTCTGCCCAAAAGGTTTCCTATATATTATTTATTTTAAGGCAGGATTATGAATACATACATTAATGAGTTTTTGTTCACTCTGCTCGTGCACCACTGCCAAAGCAGCCGCATCACCCAATAATGTATTTTAGACATGCTTCTTCCCCAAGGGTAGATGCGAAGTAATATAATTACTTCTTTGTGCTATCCTCTTGCCCCTAAAAAAAAGTGCATGCTCGCTGTGAATGAAAACAACGCAACTGTTTATTTAACGTGTTTACTCATGCACTGCTCTTGTGCCGCTGGTGCAGTTTGCTGGGATCGGCACAGATCCAGCTGCACGAGCTGCTGACGAAACCGGGAAACACCAACAGTTACGTCTTGACCCTTATGAGCGAAAAGCACCAGTCCACGGGGGTGAGTGCGTGCACACACACACCCCGGCTCTCTGGGGCTATCCCCGTAGCTGAGGGCCGATGCCCATGACCGATGCTCTCTGCCTTTTAGCGATCTACATCTCTCATGGAGAGCCTCGTCCAACTGTTCACTGTCCAACCAACTGATCCCTTTTCATCTTGGTCCACTTTTCCCCTTCACATTTTCCATGCTTGTGAAATGGAAGAGAAGAGGGGGGAGGGCGTTCTGCACCACACCACCTTCCTTCTCATCATATTCATCAGTAATTGCTGCTTGCATTCTCATTGGACACCTCTTAATTCTAATTATTGTCTCAACAGCTTTCGGTTCTCCTGTAGCTGGACATATCAAACGTATTTTGTCTTTTCATCTCTTCCGTTCACAGCAGATTTTTAACTTCATCTTGCACTACGCTACACACCAAAGCTGTTCATATACAGTGAGGGAAAAAAGTATTTGATCCCCTGCTGATTTTGTACGTTTGCCCACTGACAAAGAAATGATCAGTCTATAATTTTAATGGTAGGTTTATTTGAACAGTGAGAGACAGAATAACAACAAAATCCAGAAAAACGCATATCAAAAATGTTATAAATTGATTTGCATTTTAATGAGGGAAATAAGTATTTGACCCCTCTGAAAAAACATGACTTAATACTTGGTGGAAAAACCCTTGTTGGTAATCACAGAGGTCAGACGTTTCTTGTAGTTGGACACCAGGTTTGCACACATCTCAGGAGGGATTTTGTCCCACTCCTCTTTGCAGATCTTCTCCAAGTCATTAAGGTTTCGAAGCTGACGTTTGGTAACTCGAACCTTCAGCTCCCTCCACAGATTTTCTATGGGATTAAGGTCTGGAGACTGGCTAGGCCACTCTAGGACCTTAATGTGCTTCTTCTTGAGCCACTCCTTTGTTGCCGTGGCCGTGTGTTTTAGGTTATTGTCATGCTGGAATACCTATCCACGACCCATTTTCAATGCCCTGGCTGAGGGAAGGAGGTTCTCACCCAAGATTTGATGGTACATGGCCCCGTCCATCATCCCTTTGATGCGGTGAAGTTGTTCTGTCCCCTTAGCAGAAAAACACCCCCAAAGCATGTTTCCACCTTCCTGTTTGACGGTGGGGATGGTGTTCTTGGGGTCATAGGCAGCATTCCTCCTACAAACACGGCGAGTTGAGTTGATGTCAAATAGCTCTATTTTGGTCTCATCTCACCCAGTTGTCCTCTGAATCATTCAGATGTTCATTGGCAAACTTAAGACGGGCATGTACATGTGCTTTCTTGAGCAGGGGGACTTTGCGGGCGCTGCAGGATTTCAGTCCTTCATGGCGTAGTGTTACCAATTGTTTTCTTGGTAACTATGGTCCCAGCTACCTTGACATCATTGACAAGATCCTCCCGTGTAGTTCTGGGCTGATTCCTCACCGTTCTCATGATTATTGCAACTCCACGAGGTGAGTTCTTGCATGGAGCCCCAGGCCAAGGGAGATTGACAGTTTTGATTTAAAGCTTTCGTGACTGCAGTAATTCATATTCTTAGTTTTTTCGGTAAAGTCACGTTGAAGAGAAACAACAAAATAATAAAATATATATAAAACAATAAAAAATTCTCACGACGTTTCGACCATAACTCAAACGGTCATCTTCAGGTGTGTTGGTTTGCATAAATTTATTTTTAAACGGCGCATTTATTTATATATATATATAAAAAAGACGTTAGCGTCATGCGCAGCGATTTGGCAGTTTACCCAGGACTAGTCCATCTATATTTTGAAAAGAGGAGGGGGGAGACGAAATTTTATAATGTATGCTGTCTGAAAGCCAATGTAAGCGTGAACAATCAATTAAGAACTGAAATGGTTTATCAAATCTTTCCAATGATTGCTAAGATAGAATCCATCTTCTCGGTTGAAATTGTCTCTGTGCTTGTATATGTGGATAGCCTCATGAACGAATCTCTCATGGAAGCCAGATGGCTTACAAAGAACCTCTGACTTGGAAAAGTCAATGGCATGTGAGCCTACTGAATTAGAACAATGATCTGCTACGGCCGAGGTGTTGGTCCTACCGTGTTTAAGGTCTGCTTTGTGTTCACGAATGCGGTCCGAGACATGGCGTTTGGTTTCTCCAATGTAACTACTACCACAGAGGCAACTTAGTTTGTAGACACCAGGGTATTGTATGTCCGGAATCGCATCTTTTACAGACGGAACCAGATCACGGATTTTATGTAATGAATAAACACAAGATCCAGGTCCGTTTCAACACATTACATAAAATCCGTGCTCTGGTTCCGTCTGTAAAAGATGTGATTCCGGACATACAATACCCTGGTGTCTACAAACTAAGTTGCCTCTGTGGTAGTAGTTACATTGGAGAAACCAAACGCCATGTCTCGGACCGCATTCGTGAACACAAAGCAGACCTTAAACACGGTAGGACCAACACCTCGGCCGTAGCAGATCATTGTTCTAATTCAGTAGGCTCACATGCCATTGACTTTTCCAAGACAGAGGTTCTTTGTAAGCCATCTGGCTTCCATGAGAGATTCGTTCATGAGGCTATCCACATATACAAGCACAGAGACAATTTCAACCGAGAAGATGGATTCTATCTTAGCAATCATTGGAAAGATTTGATAAACCATTTCAGTTCTTAATTGATTGTTCACGCTTACATTGGCTTTCAGACAGCATACATTATAAAATTTCGTCTCCCCCCTCCTCTTTTCAAAATATAGATGGACTAGTCCTGGGTAAACTGCCAAATCGCTGCGCGTGACGCTAACGTCTTTTTTAAAACATATATAAATAAATAAATGCGCCGTTTAAAAATAAATTTATGCAAACCAACACACCTGAAGATGACCGTTTGAGTTATGGTCGAAACGTCGTGAGAATTTTTTATTGTTTTATATATATTTTATTATTTTGTTGTTTCTCTTCAACGTGACTTTACCGAAAAAACTAAGAATAAGATTGACAGTTCTTTTGTGTTTATTCCATTTGCGAATAATCGCACCAACTGTTGTCAACTTCTCACCAAGCTGCTTGGCAATGGTCTTGTAGCCTATTCCAGCCTTGTGTAGGTCTACAATGTTGTCCCTGACATCCTTGGAGAGCACTTTGGTCTTGGCCATGGTGGAGAATTTGGAATCTGATTGGTTTATTGCTTCTGTGGACAGGTGTCTTTTATACAGGTAACAAGATGAGATTAGGAGCACTCCCTTTAAGAGTGTGCTCCTAATCTCAGCTCGTTACCTGTATAAAAGACACCTGGGAGCCAGAAATCTGTCTGATTGAGAGGGGGTCAAATACTTATTTCCCTCATTAAAATGCAAATCAATTTATAACATTTTTGACATGCGTTTTTCTGGATTTTGTTGTTATTCTGTCTCTCACTGTTCAAATAAACCTATCATTAAAATTATAGACTGATCATTTCTTTGTCAGTGGGCAAACGTACAAAATCAACAGGGGATCAAATACTTTTTCCCTCACTGTATCCCCCCCCCCTTTCCTCGCACATGCCTAATTCATGATTACAGAACGGCCACAGTATAGAATGTGCATGGAGAAAATGACATCCAGTGAGTCGACCCTATCGATTAATGGGTGGGGGGGGGGAATGCGGGGCGGTGAGGGTTTATTGGGTATTTGTGGTCTATAAGGATAAATAGTGGGGGGGGCGGTTGTCATTATCTTTGTGTTGCACTGCATGCTGGGCTGTATTTGTCCTGCCCTGTGTGCCCACACCCCTTGTTAGGCCACGCTCTCCCTGCAAGTGGGCTACGTCCCTCCACCGGGGACCGGTCCCCCGCCCAGCCAGCGGGGCCCCGGGGATCCCGTGGAAAAACAAGATGCCACAGGTATGGAGCACAGAGGAGGCCTTGCGTTATCTCAGGGGTGCAACGACACTTCAATGTAATCCATTATTTATCGATTTCGACACTCGTGACAGAACGTGCATTGAATCGCACGTGTAAGGGTCGAGGTCTCGTCTCGATCGGTGTATGTCGTTGGTTGGTTTACCCATGCAGCCAAGATGATGTTGTAAGCATTCACCGGAGCATTAAAATAAGAACCAATGTTTGAAAATGTAATCTTTTATAATTAATTGAATTGCCAGGTGGGTGTCGACCATTCCACATTTTTCTAACTCTGGTGTTTTTGTGTAGTCACAAGACTTCCCACGAATCTTTCCATTGCTGAGACATGGAAATGCCCTGACGTGAATTTAATTGGAAATGTTTTTCAATTTCATTGGATTCGGTGTGGAAACTCTGGTGATTAAAATAAAGCAAGTGTTTGCGTTAAAAAGTATTGCACTTCTCTATGAGAGTATCTGCTGAACAGTTTCATAGCTTTTTGCAGTGGTTGATTTTGCATGTCAATGTATCATCAATACCAGAATGTAAGACCAACTTTAGCGTTATTGTATTTTATAAATTAACTGACTAAACCCCTAATTCGAGACCCAAACATTGCCCCTATTCTCTTTGGCATTCTTTAAAGACACTGGTGGAACCATTAACCGCATGAGAACATCAACAGGCCGATGCGCACCGCACCTCAAGATAAGCCAGCGTGATTGTGGCCATGCAATCCAAACGACGGTCCATTTCATAAACCACTCTAGTTGGCCCTCCTTCCACGGAGGATTAGCAAAACTACACAAACTCTCTCCTGAAGCCCTATCGTGGCTAGCATACCTTGACACAATGGTAGTTGGCTTGTAAACACATCTCCATCCTAAGCAGGAACAAGAAGGCGTTCACACATTTTACGTATCTAAATATTGACGGTGAGGATTGTTGAATTGTGTAACCGACTCCTACCATGATTTGATAAGTTGATTTAAAAAAAATATTGATTCATGAAAGGTGTTTTTGATAGTTTCTTGTTCTTATCTGTCTCGTACAGTTTTGTTCACTCCCATTGAACTGCATTTAACAGTGTCGCTGCATATAACGTTCTTACATTCATTGTATGTAGTTGATATTCACATAAACTAATGTATGCATGTATGGTGAGGTGAAGAATTTATTTTCATTGATGCATACAGTATATCACTGCATATCGAGTGAAAGCATAACATTTTCTCAGTTGTTGAACACACAATCGCTCAGAGCTTTAATCCGTTGTATAACCGTACAAGTTCGTTCACGCGTAACCATGAAAGAGATGCTTATCTTCGGGTCTTTTTTATTTTATATATATTTTTACGTGCATATATTTGTGCGTTTGGAGAGAATGGGCGTGTCGCTATAGGCTCAGACACGTTGACATTCTCCCAAGCAGACATTCCGAACCACGCCCGTCTCGTCATGGATCATTTGTGGAGTTCTACAAATTAGATAACCTCAAAGTATTAAAAGCCTCATACACGAATGCATACGGGGTGTCGTTTTAAACTTACATGATTATCTTCAAAAATTGTTTTTATCATGTATAGCTTATTCAAGAAACAAATCCGGATGGAGTTATGTACAGCCCTTTCATCAATCAGCTGGCTGGATGAGGGCCCCCTTTATACTGTGGAGGGTCTGGGTTCTTTTGTTTACCATACTTCACCACCATGGTTATTAGTGCGGGGGGGGGGGGGTGTTGCCAGCGTAGCCCCGCAGGAGCTACCCAGTAAACATGGAACGCTGGGCCAACGTTGGGTCCGTCAGTTCCAACGTCGGCTCAACGTTGTATGCCACTGGGTTAACGATGTTACCGTACCGCCTGTTCTTAAATCTGGTGGTCACCCAACCAAGCCGCTATCCCCGGCACCAACCTGCTTGGCTTCATTAGTTTTGATGAGATCGAGCACATGCAATGGGTAATCTCGGTCGCACGCAAGACGACTGATTGACTCGCGAAACGAATTGCCGACTCTCCCGAGTCCGTCCGACGCGCGTGTTATTTTCTTAGTCTCTCTTCCCACGCCTTGTGAAAGTGTCAAAAATGTCCATCTGAACAGTTGGGCGAGGCCCCAAAGCCTGTAGCGTGACATTGTTTATAGGGGCAGCATATGCACACCCGACTCAGCCGGGGGGGGGGGGGGGGGCACGGCACTCTTTCACTCTCTCATCGTTAAACAAACTGTAAACGTTGGAAGAGGTTGTGGGGGGGGGATGGGGTCCGAATCTTCAGCAGCAGGTGGGGGAGTTCAGGCCCCCTTCAGCCACCGCTACCACATGGCGACTGGGCACTGCCACCACCACCACCACCCACCCCCCCAGCAAGCAACCGTGCAAATGTATCGCAACAAAATAAAAGTGAGCACAACTTTGCCTTTTGTTCCCGTGTTCTAGATGAGACGACACGGACGGCATTGCCGAAATTGAAACGTCCCCAGTCTTAATTCCGTATCGGTTTCCCCGCAGTGTCACCAAACGAACATTACACTTGTGTAAACGCTTCACGTTTGACTGTGCATTGGCACGAGTATTGTAATCGCAATTCTCTGTTGTTGAAACCGTGCGGCGATGGCTGCTTATAATATAGCCCTTGGCGAAGTTAAAACTCCTTTGGAAATTGCTCGAGAAACACAAGAGTAAAAAAAAAATGTGTACAGAAAACGAATGCAGTACATCATCCATTCTTCTTATACGTGTACAGCAGTAACCTTTTTAAAAAAATACATTCCTAGAAAACTCTAAACGTTGGTTTGTTGGGCCGACGTTGGTCCAAACGGTTCCAAGCAAACATGCCAGCAAACAATTGACCCAAATCTGGCAATGTTTACAGGGCCGTATCGTCATTTAAATCTTAGACTTTGTTTTGTTTTGTGTAAGCCCGATTGCCAAGCTGCGTGCGCTGTGCGTTGACGATCAACACTGCGAACAACATCTTAGGTCGTCGTTTCTTTAGAACGATACAAAAAAACCCCCACCCACAAAAAAATTCCATCAAACAATCAATGTCAAGGACGGTGCCAATATCATTATCAGAGTTGTCTCTTTTTTTGTTTGCATTTTGACTGCTTGTGTGCTTGCGGTTATTGCAATCAAATGATCCCCTTGTATAAAAGGTGTGAGTTTTTTTGGTGTGCCAGATAAAAGGGTAAAAAGCTATTACTATTACATCAAACTGTCAAAAAAAGCTCATCACGCGCAGTAGTGGTGGGTGGTGGTGAGTGATGTTGAAGGTTGTTGTCGCTCAAGATTAGTCGGGCGAATCTTCTTAATCCGAGCCAGATGCGACGCGTATCCGGTGAGAGATTGTCGTCATTTTGCTGTTCACAGTAAAGACCTCAATCGTCGGCGGCCGTGGCAATGTAAATGCCATCGTGGCAATGTTAAAGCCATCGTGGCAATGTAAAAGCCATCGTGGCAATGTTAAAGCCATCGTGGCAATGTTAAAGCCATCGTGGCAATGTTAAAGCCATCGTGGCAATGTTAAAGCCATCGTGGCAATGTAAATGTCATCGTGGCAATGTAAATGCCATCGTGGCAATGTTAAAGCCATCGTGGCAATGTTAAAGCCATCGTGGCAATGTTAAAGCCATCGTGGCAATGTTAATGCCATCGTGGCAATGTTAATGCCATCGTGGCAATGTAAATGCCATCGTGGCAATGTAAATGCCATCGTGGCAATGTAAATGCCATCGTGGCCTCGGTACCCGCGTGCTTTTGACGGGTTAACGATGCGCGTTAAGTGGGAATTATTGCCAGGGGCTGGGCAAGGCGAAGACGTGAACCAACCTCGCCTGGTGTTATACCAGGAGAAGGCTGGTTCCATACAGACACTTGAATATAGGCGGTCGCGTTTATTTTCTGTTTTCTTCACATTGTCGAGTATTTATTTGCTATGAGCCGGTGTCATTCGTGGTTGAACAGGTCGCTTCTTTAAAATAAAATAAAAGAGTTGCTTCGCTCGGCGAGGCCTTGCTTACCTTGGTAAAATACTTCAGTTTAGCTTAATTTTTTTATTTAAAGCTTTCGTGACTGCAGTGATTCATATTCTTGGTTCTTGCGGTAAAGTCACGTTGAAGGGAAATAATAAAAAATATATAAAACAAAATGTAAAGTTTTTAATTTATTGGAACCAAGTGGCGGTTTTCAAATGTTTCTTGCCGTTGGTTTTCACACCTGATGATGACTGCTTGTGTTGCAGTCGAAACGTCGTGAGAATTGTATTGTTTTTATATTTTTTATTGTTTCCCTTCAACGTGACTTTACCGAAAGAACCAAGAATATATAAATAGTTTAGCTTAGTTTGAGACGGAATAGCTGTCATCCAGCAGTGGGTAGATGACGGCCGGTGATGATTATATTGTCGCAACTTACTCTTTATTTGTAAACATTTAAACCTGTGGGCTCTCCTCGTCGTAACACACAAAATACAACACAGCGATCACACGCAACCGTTTATAAACGACGAACGGCTGAATATTCGCCCGATCGCAATTGTGTTTAGGCGCAGAACTGCTAAGTGTTTAAAGTCTGTAAAGTATAATCATCGTCGAACTTTGTTGCGCTTACCCAGGTGACGCTGATGGTTCACACGCTTTAAGATAACTCTCCTGTACATGTAACTTGCACCTCCGCCCCTTGTCAACGATTCGCGATTCTGGAATCGATTATTTATTGATTCGGCTTTATCGGTTTTTATATAATGTTCGATATTCTTGATTTATTTTATTCTCCCAGTAACCTCGATGTAACATACAACACGCGCATTTTTTTTTCTTTCTTTCTACATCGTTCAAATTACTGCGAGTTACGCTCGATTCCACACATGCTTAATCGGTAAATCAATGGAGTCGGGTTTAATTAATCGATCTGAACTTTAAACGATTAGCGCCGCAGAACTTCTAATTACCATTAGCATATCGTTAAAAATGTAAAGTTAATTTATGCACTTATTGGTTTAATATTCGTCACCTACTCAACGGAATATCTCTCCTGTCTATTTCCTGTTTTTATATATATTTGGTGCTGACGTGGTTTAAAGTTACCGCACAGGATTTATAATCTTAGAGGCCCCGCCCACCCACGTGGACGTGTGGCAACGTTGGGCGAACGTTGCCACGTGGTTGTGTGGCAACGTTGGGCGAACGTTGCCACGTGGTTCCAATTTTACTGGGAATTATGCAAACGATATTTCAATCGATGTTAATAGCGAAGTATGTCACGCTGCATGGATTCGTCAATGCAAAGTCGATTATTATGCTTGTGATGTGTAGAAGAGTAGGCCAAAAAAACATACACCCCAGGCCTAGGGAATCCCCTGCCACCAGCGGTGTCGTGAGCAATTGCCTTTGTTAATATTTGTAATTTTGCTGATTATAGTTATTCTGCCAACGTTCCTAATACTCTGTTGTCTATTAACCTAGTATTGTTTGTGTATCGTATTTAGTAAAAATTTCTACAGCATTTTCGCATCGTTGTACAGAGTTCTGTCACAATGCAAGTAATGTGATTACGGTTTATGATAGGCAATTCATAAATAATAATCATGGATAAGGATGCAACGGCAACCCTATACAGATTCATGCAGATGTCTCGCAAAAGTCTACACACACACATCACACTTCCTCAGATGAAGGGGAGGAAGTTAAGTAAACAATGCTCTTCACAATGATAAAAGGGTGCCCCTGAACCAGACGATGTAACGTCTGGTTCTGACTTAAAGCTTTTCGTGACTGCAGGTCGTCATGAGCGGTCATCGGATGATGACGATCGCTTGTGTTGCGATCGAAACGTCGTTTTTTTGTTATTTTCTTTGAACCTATCTAACGTGACTTTACCGAAAGACCCAAAGAATATCATCAAAGAAGCAGGGCCATTTGTTGGAAATATAACCAGTAAGACCTATTTATGAGATGGTTAGAGAAATGAAATGCCTCAATTGTGGAATGATGCATCAATCGGGCTTCGATTTTTTAAAGGTGATTTAAAATTTGAACAACCTTGGAGCTATTGGCCTTTAACGCAAGTATGAACCGTTCACTAAGATAGTGAACAGAATTACACTTTTTAAGGCCATCCAATGATATGAGGCACGATTTCCCATCAACCACGTTTTAGAATCTTCAGCTTTTGTTTAAAAAAAAATGTCAGTGTTGCGTATATCGTAGCGAGAATCCATCCATGCCATAACAGGTACTGTATATGTGTGTATATCCACCGGTTAAAACCGTTCATTAAGCGCATTGGTATGCTGCTTGAAGTGAAAAGGAAAACACTCCTGCATTGCCCACCCCGAAGCGAACCCCCATTTTCAGGGTGTGCACCGTCCTTGAGGGCGTTAGGGCTGGCCATGGAACATTTCCTCGTATTCTTTGATGGTGAAGTCAGCGTTGTTGCTACACCTAGGGGAGTGTTCTGTTGAGCATTGTGGAAAGGTTCGTCATGGCCCCTTTTTGCTGGGCGCGTTGCAAAATGTAGCTTGGGAAAAAACGAAAGTTGATGGTTGTGCTCGAATGATGTTAACGACGACATAAAATGCACTCTCGCGTCAATAACACTGCCCGTTATATATATTTTTTTTCTTTTAAGGCTGTGTTGGTGACATGAGTTTTGTTGTTGTTGTTGACTGCGCTTGTGTGATCACTGCCAATGCAGCACCACCAGTGTTTACATTATGTCATTGTATTGAAAAGAAAGCATTTGGACATTGGCGATTTGTCATTCATTTACTGGAAAAAATGTTTGTCGTTTATATGGAAACTAGGAGGGAAAGGTATAATAAATAATATTTTGTTTAAACTGATGTCCTTGGCCTCGACTCGTCTAGAAACCATTTTAAATGGACGGTACTCTATGTAGATGTTGGGCGACAGAAGGCATTAGCTTCTCTTGGTAGTAAAATGGAAGTATGAAACTGGTTTTTAAAGGGCGTGTGTGTACATTGTTCTTACAACCGCATCCACGAGTTGTGCCCGAGAGAACTTGCTCTGTCAAACCCTTCCATACAAAACAATGGTGATGTGTGTGTGTGTGAAGTCTCAAGGTTCATCTTTTTTTCTTGTGAAGATACATTTGTAAGTTTCTTTTCGCTATCAAATTAAAGTTTTCCAAAATCGCTCTATCCTGTTATATATTTTTAATAATTTCATAATTTTGATCCCGATCTGCCTCGGAAAATTGGTTATCAACACACTAAGGTGCGCTGCTTACAATCAGCAGGAATGCACGACTCCCATAATGCCTTAAATTCACGTCATGTGACCACATCGCCATATACTTTGCTCCCATCCTTGTCTTAGCCATGCAAGGTCGTGTCACGTAACATGGATGCAAGGCATGATGAGAGTTGTGCCTTCCTATTTGTGAGAAGCACACCCTTGGGTGGTGTTAATTTAATCTTTGTTTCCAGCCTAGATGCATTTTCCTGTTGTGATGGGTTTTCTCAGCATTCACAGACATTTTTCTATTTGACCTCCAATAATTTCCATAAGTTCACAAATGTTTATACTTTTCCAGTTGTACAGTCAAGCATTATTTCGTACCATTTATTCGATGTGCATTTTTTTCTTATCTGCATCATACCTGGTGTTTGCAGTGTTATGGATTGGACAAATGGGCTGCATTTGTAATTGAGGTTTCGGAAGCAAGGGTTATATGTATGCATGCAAGGCTTAATTTCATATGGTTCTGTCCAGGTCGGCAACCTTTCGAAAATATACCTGGCACCCCAAATCTAGTGTTAGCACGGTTGGCTACGTATGGTGCGAAAAAACATCATCATCCATACATTATACCTCTGGCTATTGCTGTGGATAATAAGCATGTGCCTACTCGAACAACCAGCGACCGCGAAAATATTAGGTGAGAAATTAATCCCTGGTTGTTGGGTGTCTGGCATGCGGAATAGACACAGGAGACGGAGAGGAGGAAGATGGGGACGATGAGGACGCGGACAGCGGCATCGTGCAGGGAGGCGGTGACATTGGGGATGGCGGCGTGGCCGGGAAACCGCCCAGGGGAAACATCCGCAAGAAGAAGTCCAAGCGAGTGCTGTCCAACAAGGCGCAGGACTTTCAGGCAATGACAGCAATTAATGACTGGGTTTTTCCAGTTTACATGTGTTTTTTTTTAATAAGTGACTGACCCGATTTTTAAAATCGTTTGGAAAATGAATTGGAGGAAGAAAAAAGTAATTTTGATTCATTCCATAACACCAATGCTATTTGGAAATCGGTTTACATTTTTTATTTTGTCAAATTTATCGATTTATGATGCATTGCGAGTTTTTAATTGAAATAAGACACCGGTGATGGATTGCACCCAATTTCAGAGTTTTTTTTTTAATCTGCAGGCTGTGATGAAAACAATGCTTTAATAATAACAAAACAGATGCCAGTACGTCATCGTAATATTAAAATAATCCTAAAGCCCTTTGTAAATCTACTGCTGGATGTAGAACTGCCAATACCTCGTCGGTCATGGGGGTTGTATCGTACTGAAACATGCCGATGACTCTCTACTGACATGAGTCCTGGCTGGGGATCGCGCTCTCTGGTTCTTGGGTTCAAACCACAAAACATCCCATCGCCCCCACCCCCCAGCACGGGGATGCCTTCATCTAGCAGGGAATTTCCAGAGGGCTGTAACTTATTTAATATTACAAACACCCATGTAAGTTAAACAGAGAGGAACATCGCTGATTATATCATTATAAAGAGGCCGTAAAAAAGCTATTATTGTCATAGTAATACAGTCCTTACTCTTTGGTTCTTTCGGTAAAGTGACTTTACCGAAAGAACCAAGAGTATAGATTCCTGCAGTCCGAAAGCTTCAAACCAAGAGTCATAGAGTCCTTGTTATGAAAATGTGGGAATCTCCACCAACTGGCTCAAAGCTCTGACCCCATTCCTCACTTGAGCTTGACTGTATTTTGCCAGTTCACACGGAATTACAAAACGATGTATGGTACGCCAGCGTGAGCGACTTCGCAGCACGCCGAACATCTGGCATGCTTCTGTGAGTCTAGGGTCGCCGTTATAATCCTCTTTGTCAGCCACAATCACTCAGCTGCTGGACAAAATATTCCTCGCCGCCCACAACGTCAAGCTGGGCTCACCATTGCTCACGGTCCCATTGTGTGTTTTTTTTTTAATCAGTCTGGAGTAGCGATTGCCGTTAAAGGAGTGAGAGGGGTGTGCGGTGTGCAGGTGCGCGTGCGCATCATCGAGGGGAGACAGCTGGCCGGCAATAACATCAAGCCCGTGGTGAGGGTGTCTGTCGCCGGGCAGAACAAACGGACGCGCATCAAGAAAGGGAACAACCCTTACTTCGATGAGGTGACCTCTTCACTACACTCTTTTTAAAATAGTGATTTTTGTTTGTTTTTGTTTAGCGTTACTGGGAGACCGCAGTGTGAAAATAAATGTGGAAAAATAATAATATTATTGATCGTGATGCCTTTTTTTTTATCCAGGAATGCCTCACCGTGTCTCAAGGCTTTTTCAAAAAGGGCCCATGCACTTATGTTTTTTTGGTCAATTCCATTCATTACTGTTTGGGTTCAGATGGGGGGAAAACCTACACATACGAGGGATAACGCTCAAAACTCCCCCACACCGTTTGAATCGCTCCATTGCTGTACTGTCAACGTCTTGGCTACCTCACAGCTCAAGCCTTTCAACACCTGCTATTATTCCCAGGCAATCTCCCAATCTAATTAGTAACCTAGCTCGGCACTTGACATGTCTTAAATATTGTGGATGTATGACATTTGTGCAAGTGATAATTGTAAATTGCTTTTGACGTGTGATAATCAATTGTGTTTTTCACTTTTCCCAACAGACCTTTTTCTTAAACTTTCACGAATCCCCAAGAGAGCTGTTTGACGAAGTTATTAGCATTCGGGTAAGATTGCTGGACAAGAGAGTCCATTGTGGTCCCATCGCAGGTTGTCGGAAAAATCACACCAGTGGCAATATACACAGCCGCTTTAAACCGGGGGTGGAGAACGTACAGCTCGCAACTTCATCCCACGGGGCCTGCAGTTCCTTTTCATACGACCCACAGCCAGTGGAGGCCTGCCTCTTCTAAATGGCCTACAAGGGATAATTCTCCCTCACTGCAAGCATCTTGGCTGCACTAATCGGGTACTAAAAGCTAAGATTTTCGCTCGGGCTGCTACCGTGTTTATAATTCTGGGCCGTTCGGTCACTTCTGACACTGCATGGGCCTCTTCCAGTGGCAGACGTGACCTCAGTTGTGTGTTAATTTGTGGCTACCCAAAGGTATGCAAGCCGTATCTGACCATCAGTAATAACAAGGTTCCCCACCCTGGCATTAAACCCACACATATCGGGGTCTTAACACTGGACACTGTGCTGTGGTTGTGTGTGTATGACTACTCTCATCAGGCATTCAATGCCACAACCATCAGGGCGGACTCTGAAATTGGAGGCTTCAAGGTAATGCGCCACAGAAATACTCACGCACACTCAGCATGGCTAAACCAACATGACCAAGCGACTAGCTGCTCATCTTACTGCTTCCTTGTATAAACACGAGCTGGTCTGTCTGTGTGGTATAGGTTTAGTTCAATCATCCTTGATCGATCGACTTTGTATAATTTCTCGGAGTAGCTTGTCCATCAGTAAAACATTTAAAATACAATGGCTTTTACTCAATGGAACCTTTTGATGTTTTGAAAATCTAAAATCCACATGTCAAGACGCGAATTAATGTAGTCATTTTATTTGCCTCACCCTTTTATTCGTTTTTTTCTTTATACTTTTTTACGTTTTGTTTTTATATCAAAGGTTCAGACTTTTCACAACATTTACATTTCTCGACATGTGTAATACAATGTATATAGTGTTTATATTTTTAAAATTAATGGTATTGATGGTAAAGTGCTCAAAGTCCAAAGGTTCATTGTTGTATTTGCAGATTGACATTGGCACAGTCTACGATGAACAAAGTAAGAACTTGAACAGAGATTTCTATACAGTAAAACCTTGGATTGCGAGTAACTTGGTCTGCGAGTGTTTTGCAAGACGACCAAAAATGTTAATTAAATATAAATTTGATAAACGAGCGACGTCTTGCAATACTAGTAGTACGTATACGCTTTGTCTGCCGAGCGTCACGTGATCACAACTGATATACGATTGCTTTGATAAACGAGTGCTTTGGATTACAAACACGTTTCCGGAACGAATTAAGCTCGCAATCCAAGGTTTTACTGTATATGTATACTTGTGAACCCAAAACGCCTTGGAACATGTCGCGCTTTAGGCCCCTCTGTTTATTGCATCACCCTTTCATTAGTTCCGGCCTTGTACTTAAACGAACTCGCCTCTTACAAACAAGGCCCTATAAATACTTCGGAGAATGTTCCTCCAAAGTATTTATTATCGTACAATAATGCCATCAAACACAATGACTTATGAAAAATATGAGAGATATACAATGTCCCGATTCGTCATTAATTTTACACATACCAGTGGCGTGGATTCGTCCAATCAACAAGTAGTAAATTGTGTGAAGCGTGTGGTCAACAAATTTCCCTTAGATTCACTGAAGTCTCTTCCTCGGCTAATGCACCACATTTTTATGCATCGGTATCATTTGACTGCATGCAGATTTGGATTGTTTATGATAAAGTAGAATGTTTAGTCAACTTGTGTTGTTAAATATAGAATCATATTTCAAGATAAAGTAATTGACAAGAATTTAAACAAAAACATAACTGAAATGCAAAGGAAACTACTGGGACGATTCCATGGAATAGATTGTGTTCATACGGATTGTTAAATGGTGGTAATTTTGTTTGTAATTCTTGTGCCGGTTATATGCGCCCGTGGTAAGTGTTTACAGGTGTGGTACAACTTTACCCTACACCCTCCCCTGCTGTTGTTCGCTGTAATTAAAAAATCCGTCTCTGAAGGAATGTTAAGCGCAGGAGTCTCGGAACGGGGTCGGACATGACTTGACATGCCAGCGAACCGTGCTTTACCGCACGCTCTAGTGGAGTACAGTGAGAGCCGGAACTACGAAGAGGAGAGAGTTTTCCACACCCACTCCGAGTCTGGCTGAAACTTGTCTGCAGGAAAGCCTAACTTCGCCAAGTCTGGGGCTACACCCAAACCTCTCAGATACGACACATACAGCACAGGGGTACAGTTCGTATTGGCGTTGTTTTTGACAATGTGGATGCTATGATCAATGATATCCCACCCCCCAACACATTGGTAATTGGTGGTGGCAGTGGTTGGTGTGTTGTGCATTGATCTGCGACAATTCATATAATTAATGGGGACATTCTCCTGTTAATAATAAAGTTAATGTAAAGGCTATTTTGTGAGGCCCTGGTGGATGTGGTTAAACCCTCAAAATGTCGGTGTTGGTAGACAATATAATGTTGATCCGCATTTTTCTTTGGGGTTGGGCCATGTGGTAGTTTTATGCCAAAATTTGTGTCATTAACCCTCCACCACCCAACAACATTGTCATTATTGTAATTATCTTATTTACGCATACCAATGTATTGGTCAAATCCTGACCAATATAAAGCTGCTCCCCCACCGGTGGCTTTAAAGCAGTCGTGGGCAATCTGCGGCCCTAGGTGGTGTGTGGTGTTGTGATTAGTACACAATCACAATTTCAAGCTTGTGGTCCACTGAGCTGAAGGAGGGTCGCGTATGTGGCACCACTAACTCATTTAGGTTGCCCGTCACTGTTGTATTTTTTAAAAGGCTTTTCTCGACTGAACCCTTGGCCTTCTGTGTGTTCAGACCACGCGTTCCTGCGCAAGTGGCTGCTCCTGTCCGACCCCGAGGATTTGGCGGCTGGGGCACGTGGCTACCTCAAAGTCAGCCTTTTTGTGCTGGCCACTGGGGACGAGGCCCCGGTAAGTGTTTTTTGTGCAGCGCCACGCTGGGGGCTGCCATCGCCACCGTGGGTGACGCATTTTTGAAATGCACAGCAGTGCAAGGACACGAGGCTCCCTAACCTGTGTTGCATAATTGTAATGAACTTGGTTATAATTTTACAGTGGGACTATTCAAATGTGTGACGAAGATGGGGGGCAGACCACTAGGAACCGTTCCCTAGCAGACAAGTTATGACCGCTGTATATTATTATTCATGAGTAAAAAAATCTAAAGTTAGTACAATTCTTAAAATAAGAAAAAAATTATACAGGTCTCATTTAAATGTATAACAATTCACACAAAATGAAAATTCTCAAGGAAACGGTAACGAAAGTATTTGGAATTTTCAACAGGATATTTCAGTCTGTAACACATTTTTTTAAATGTGCCTTGTAGATATAATTTCCCCATGTCAATGGAAAGATTCTCTTAATTCCTAGAGTTTGTCTACCACAAGAAATTTGTGCAAAATTCGGCCAGTTTTCGTTTTGTGCTCGTATGCAAAGTTTCCATTGACACACTTGTCGTGGTGTGCGTGTTTGTACGAAGAAGGGTGGCACGGTGGTTAGCTCACTGCACTATGAACCTGGTTTACTTGAGTTTGATTCCCGGCCACAGCTGGCATTTAGTGGTGAGCACTAGTTGGACTTCGTCTAGGTCAACTCAAACAAATTAATATCTGTTGTGGTGTGTATACAGTCGGCACTGGGGAGGCAGTTGGCCAGGCGTGGAAATGGCTAATAATCCCTCCCTCGTGTGCCGTGATGGCTTTCATAGGCGCTTGCCAACAGCCCGTGCCTTGCCAGTCTTTTCACGGCTGGATCTTGTGGTGTGTGTGTGTGTAAATTCCAACAATATTTAGATGAGCCCTCCTTGGCTTTACACGGAGGGTTTGACCAGTGTGTGGCTGATCCTGTTTGAAGTAAAATTTAGCCCAGGCCCTGTTTGATTTTTCAAACACCATTATTGACGTATGTTATGGTGCACTGAGTGGCGGAGACCCATTGGCTGCACTCAACGTCACGTGCATTGGCGCGTGTGACGAAGGGAGAATTTCTCTGAGTGTTAGTTTCTGGGGAGGTTATTTATCTCTGAGAGTTTTTTTTGTGTTTCACAAAGAGCACATGGGCATTGTTCCTTCCTCTCTGTGTCAGAATGGAAACTGCAATGATTTTTTTCACATGGAAACCCAAGATGTCATCATTTTCTTTAAAAGCCTTAAAAAATATCTCTCTCGCCAAGATCAGTAATTTTCACAGATTGTTTTTGTGGATAATTGGATCCTTTGATAGCTGCCCACCCACGTAGACAAGAATAAGAGTATTTCACTGAAATGTATTAATTGTATTGGTGTATATTTAAGGCTTGGCCAAGAACGTATGTTATCACAGCCCTGCAATTTTTTTTGGAAAGCATTCAAACAAATAAATATAGACACAGATGAACAAATGGTTGTTGAGAAAAGCCTCAATCGGCTTCTTGATCCATTTCTTCTCATGATCGTCTCCAGACATTCTCAATCCACTGTTGGATGAAGTCCTCCCAAAGCCGCCGCCATTTCCCGTGATCCTGTGACGTAAAAATCCACGAAGCGCCTGCACACCAGCGGCTGCCACTGTCATCATTTTTGAACATCAGCCATCATCACTTCTTGAAATTTGTCCTGCCCAAAGCCCACTAACTTTTCTTAAGTTTGATTTGTCAGTTATCGGCATGTATTCACGAATCCCATCTGCTTATCTTCCGGTCTCTCAACATAAATCCAAGTATACATCTCTCTATACTTTTTTACTCCCCCCCCGCCCCCCCACCTTCAGCTTTTATTATTATTTTTTACACTACCAGGTGGAAAAGAAAGTGAAGACTGAGGATGAGGAAGACATTGAAAATAATCTCCTCCGGCCGGCCGGGGTGAACCTGCGAGGGGCCGTGTTCTCTCTGCGCGTCTACCGAGCTGAGGACGTGCCACAAAGTGAGCGAGTGGGCAAGCGAGCGAACGAGCAAGCGGGCAGGCGCGCAGACGTTTTACTCGCATGTTTCCATCCCAGATGCAATGAAGTGCATTATCGCATGCAATAGGAGGCAGGCATTGCTAGCATTTTGTGCTTGTTTTAACCACATCTGCAATGAAAACCATTCTTATGCCACTTACACTGCAAAAATTAAACCAATATTTTATCAAATTTATGGTGTTATTTCGTAGCCACGTTACGTACTAAATTATTAAACAGGTGGTATTTTAATGAGGTGGCCAGGTGACTCAGAAGTAAGTGCGCTGAGAAACCTGGGTTTGAATCTAGGCAGCAGACTGTAATTAAGAAAATATTTTCGAATGTAGCGAGTTGATGGTCTCAGGCTCCTCACCAATGACTGCACCAAAAAAGTAATTGCACTAAATCTGGTTCTATACTTAACGTGGCTAACTTCCATCCCCTGCGAATAAAACAAGAACACGTCCGTTTGACTGCCGTGTGACAAACATCACCCTCGGTGGCAGAGCGTGTGAGAGAGTGCTGCTTCCTACTGTGTGGGCAAAGAGGGCACTGGAAAGGACCGCGTGTGATAGCGCCTTCTGTGGTGCGCCCTGTTACACGAGGAGGCTTGCCCCTCTGCGTGAGATTCAGATGGATTCTTCGTCTTGTGACGTAGCACAATTGGGAGAAGAGGTAACAAAATCTCTCTGCTCCTGACCATTGAGTCATTAACAAATAATGGGTTGCTCTGGCCATCAGCCTGGTTCTTCCATTACAGCTACCGTTTATTATGATAACGGACAGTTTATTATGATAACGGGAAATGTCTCTATTGTTTGACTACAGCAAACGGTTCTGCTTAGTTTGGGGCTGATTTGTTTTCCTAACTCTAACCTCCTCCTCCTCTGCTTTGCCCGTCACCCTGGCAGTGGACGATGCCATCCTGCAGGGAGTCAAGGAGGTCTTCGGCATGGAGGGCAACAAGAAGAATCTGGTTGACCCCTTCCTGGAGGTCACATTCGCTGGAAAAAAGGTAACCGGTGAAACGCCGCCACTAGTTTTTCTAAATGCCTCCTTGAGCGTCATTATCGAGGGGATGTTTATGCATTACAAGATCCATTAAGAGCACATTGGCAGTGGGAAGTGTCTCATTCTCACCTGCCGCCACCCTCAGTCTGGAACTCCCTTCCTCCCAGCCATCTGTGCTGTCGACTCCCTTCCTCCCCTCTTCTAGTTTAGGTGTCAAGACATTCCGTTTTTTTCCCCCCTCCGGCTATGACTGACCGCCCGCACACTACAAGACCAATTTGCCCACTGTTTCTGCACGGCATTTTTTGACATAGTTGGCTTGAGATGCTGTGTAAATTCAAACTTTGTTTTACCGTCGTGCATATGATGAGATGTTCACTGGCTCTATGCCGCATTTTTCATTCTGCCCTTCTCCCAAAATAACAGGAATGCACGCGGATCATCCAGAAGAATGCAAACCCAGAGTGGAATGAGGTTTTGAATCTGCCCGTCAGGGTGAGATTGAACTTTATTGTAAAATATGTTCTGTTTTATTCTGAAGCCCGCTTCGCTTAAGAGAAAATCTCACAGCTTTGAGTAAGGGGAGCCTGGGAAGTTAGTGTCGTCTTTAAATACCTATTTGTGTATTTATTAAACAACAGCAGTTTTGAAAATGAGCATCAAAGTATTGTTTTGGTACAAGGTCATTGTGTGTACTGTGTTTTTAAAAGGATAACATGTATAATGAACAGACAATAATGTCTGTTTTGAATACATAATGGTTAGGAAGTCCATTTAGCCAACTAAAAAAAATATATGTTTTCATCAGCCTATGGCCTTCCAAGCAAATGTATTCCTGCAGCATTTTTTTAAGCTGGCAAATCATTCTGGGTCTTTTTTATTAACCTTCAGTGTCTCATCAGCAGTCGGTTCCGTTCAAAACAACTTCTGCGACATTTCCCGATGTTATAGCAAAGAGAACTCCACAAACTGCAGGGTCCATTCAGCGCAGGAATAGAAAAACTAGAAAACAGATTGACATTATTATACAGGAATTGTTTAGCCAGGAAAACGTTGTGGAGTGGCCAGAGTCTCTTTTTACAAGAGGATCCTGCCTTGGGATGTTTAACCACTTCCTTTATTGAGTGTCTGGCTTTGTGTGGGAGGAAACATGTGTGTACCTGGAGAATCCACTACAAATGAGGGGATATAATTTTTTTTTTATAATATATTCATTTTCCATGATCCTAGCATTACAGCACACAAAGAGTTTAAATATTATTTATTTTTGAAGGTTTAGTTTTTATTGTCTATCATTAAATTTACAAATACCGTACTTGCAACAAATGAATGCAAATCTTTAGTTTAGAGTTTAGACTTGTTGGGCTTGCATGTTTGCACGCAAAAAAATCGAGCAATGTACAAATGTATAATAGTGATTATTTATCTGCAGTTTCCTTCCATGTGTGAAAGAATGAAGTTAACTCTACTTGACTGGCAAGTTCTGACTTTTCACATGCATGTTATTAATTGCTTTGTAAATTGTAACAACTTGTTAGACGCTTCACTTTTTGTTTTAATATTGCACCGGTAATGATGCCGTGTAGTTTATTTTTATGTTATCATTGTCTCTTTATAATTGTTAGGTGTTAAAATTATAATACACACATTTAGTTTGCCGTTGATTTACACCTTCCACTCTTTTGTGGAATTTATACTCTTTTTAAGTCCTCAATGTTGTATAATTTTGTCTTTTTTTAACACGAGGTCAGGGAATCTAAGCCCCGTGACCACATGAGGGCCCATCACCGATAACAGCCCCGCAAACTATACTTTATCGATCACTGCTTGCATCGTGTCTGCACTCATTGTGTACTAGGCGGTGGTGATAATATTTTGAACTGCGCCAACGCTGTTTCTACTTTGAGCGCACCCGTTCACCGCTGTCACTGCATGCCCCTCTCTTGCACTCGGTGGACACGCACATCTTGCGGTCTATTTCGCGTGACGTTCGGATGATGCCAAGGGTGCACGGTTAATGTGTGGGCCCGCAAAAGGTACTCGAAAGCCATATTTGGTCTTCCAGTAAGGAAAAACGTTCCTCGTCCCATCCCGGTTTTAAATGTAATTTACCGGGATTGCTTTACGTATGTAAAATGCATTTCTTTATAGGGATCGTTTGAGTCACAACGACACTATCGGAACAGCTTTCCTCTCCATGTCCAAGATCTCTTTCGCGGGCGGCACTTTGGAAGGTACAGATTTACAGCGCTAATTCCTCTTGTCATTCGCTCGCTGGAGAATTTAAATGCATGCATGTTTTTAATTCATGTTATTTCCAGCTGTGGGTGTATACTGGGTCATGGCATTTGAGCACAAGTTCACTCGGTTTCCAATACTCAGGAGAAGAAATGGCTGCTTAATCGGACTAAGCAATGTTTGCACAAGTTGATTAAGAAAATGTTCAGTTGGATAGTAACTTAACATTTCCAAAATATGTATGCTCATGATCACTTGGCTAATGATGCACTGTGATGATCAGAATCATATTAACGTATTAATCTTAGCATAGCATCCAAATTATAACTGCAATTTGATGGCCTAGCCGCGCAACTTAGTTCAATTTTAAACATGTTCACCTCATCCTAAATGCGTTTGTTTAGAAGAAGAAGAAAAATTGAAGTATGATGAACATGTTTTTATCAGGTGTTTTTTTTTTGTTTGGAATGATGCGTACGTCTGATCTGTCCCATCAATTTTTTCTAAACTTTCAGATAAACTTACACCTGTTTTTGAATAAAAATGAATGAATTGGAAACCCGGTAATTTGCTGGACTCGTTCAGAAACGAGAGTTTTTTCTGCACGCGTTAAATGAATTCTTCCTCAGTTTCTGTAAAGATGTCCAGGTTTTTCGCTCTCATGGAATATTGCATGCCTCGACACGACCCTGTGTACTCGCTGTGCAACGATTGCGTAAGAGTAAAATGAATGTACGGTCAGTAACATTTATTTTATCTCCATTTGTGTGTACATTTCTTGTGCAACCCAGATGACGCTTCCATTTCCCAGGGGGCTTCCTGCTGTAGTGGTAATTGTTGGCGGTGTATTTTGAGCAACGGTGGTGAAATCGCCCCCCCCTCCCAACTCTTATTAAAATGGTGCATTCCTCACTTTACGGATTTGACTATGCATGGCGTGGCTACAGAAGACTGAATTGTAACAGTGGAATTCACCATTTATGATAAAGGGGTGTGGGTGGGGGGTGGCAGTGATCCTCCGCTGCTCCTTAGATACATCACCGACAGCTTTGCTGTGTGGCTTTGCCTATCTTAATCGTTTGTGCATGAAACAAACTATGGATTTTTCTCGACAAGGCAAGCTGGGCAACGCTGGCCTTTCGTGTAACGAGTGGGATGTTTCAATGACTGCAAAGACATTGCATTAATTGCGTACTTTTGCAGTCATTTGGTCCTATCCACTGCCGGATTCGGGCCTCCTCCCCATGCCGTCCGTGCAATGGCGGTTACTTGACCGTACTTGACACCGCTTAATACGACCGGTTGGCGAAACTGGGAGAGCTCGGCGTGGGCGTACATCCCGTGCAACAGTGAGATTTGCTCCACTGCCCTCTTGCTGCCCACCACGGTTTCGTCATCAGTCGGTTCTGCAATGTTCCCATCATAACAGGACGAACAAGTAGGCATAGAACCAACTTTGGGGAGGGAAGTGGGTGGTGTCTGGATTGCCAGGTGTCTGGATTGCCGTTCAAAATGTAGCAAAATTATGTTGGTAATGCTGCTGAAGTGGCAGTGGTGCACAGCCACAAATAACAAACAAAAATCAACGCATTTGTCAATAACACTGGCCTTAAAGGGAAAAATATATAACGGCGTGTGGCCCCTTCTCGTATCAAATGATGAACGAGGGCCACTGACTGCAGTCTTGCCTGTCGCATATGTTTCCCTTCAAGTCGGTGTTATTTACGAACGTGATTTTTTTTTAATGTTTATGGATCATTGGATTTTGCAATAATCTGTACACCAAGCTAATCTACCCTTCACCACTCTCTCCTCCCCTTGATGGGTCATTGTGCCTACTGAAGTTCATCGTGGACTGTCGGGGATATGTCGGACTGACGGCAGCAGCAGCAGCAGTGTTCTCGCTATAGTCGAAAGCATCGCGCTTTGTTATACGCGAGGCCCAGCCAGCTGACATCCATGCAGACACTTTGTCTGTCCCATTCTGAGCAATGTGCAATACACAAGCACATTTATCTGCAGATATTAACTCTCCAAAGTGTCAATACCAAATGGAGAGCATGTGCACAATATATAATGTTTGAAAATTAAACGCTAATGTGCATTTTGTCACTCGATATGTGGCCTCAACATTTAATTGACTTTGTAATTATTCACTGAATACCATGATGTACTCATTATGGATTTTAAAACATTCGCTAAGTAATTTTACTAACGTGTTCCCATTTCTCCAAACTCAATGACCACTTCCTTGTAGGTCATTGCAGTTTGATTTTTTTTCAATACGCAGCAAATGCTTGCAGAAGACCTTGACATCATCATCATTGGCCAACGTGCTGAGATGATCGCGATTTAAACTCTGCAATCGATCACAAATGAATCCCCCCGTTTAGCAGATCCTCGGTGACTCGAGGGCTGTCACAGCTTGGAATTGAACCGGAGAAGTGTCGCTGAAGTTACACTTTGTTGCATATACACACACACGTGTGTATCCCTGTGTGAGGCCACAATGCATAGCATGCTTTTAGCTTATCGTTTTATGACTATATTTGCAAGCAGAATAGCGCCGATTCCTACAGCATCCTAGAGCCACGCTTTCAAACCCGAGACTCGTTTGCCATCGCGTTGCATTGTAACTATCGGTGGATGTTTTCCAAATGACCGACAACGGTAATCGGCATTTGTTAAATACATCTCATTGCATTGCTACTTTTATCTAAATAAGAGGATGCCGATCCATCCTGTTTTAAAATTTGTTGATGAATATGTATGCAGCAGATACATCTATGAAACAATTTCATATATTGAGTGTAAGAATCTAGATCTTCAGTTCGCCTCTGTGTCGCTTGCAATGGACTCATCTGACTCTCTGCCATTCGCCAGGGGCACTGGCGGTCAATGCGCGTTCTCATCTTATGACTAAAACAGCCCCTCCAGTCGAATTGTTGTGACCCTGAACGGCGGATGGTTCATTCAGTCGGCAGTGGCAGGAATCGTAAGCACTGTCGTCGAATATCTAATCGAGGTTTATTGTCCCATCGGTTACCAACGTCGCGTAATTATTATTGGTGATATTTAAAAACATATATATATACTTTGGCCGCGTTTAATACAGTCTAGCGGCAATTAACGTTGCCATCGATCAGGTACGTTTTCAACAAGTCTTGGAAGTTATTCTTGCTCTTGCCAATATAGACATTTTGCAGCTTAACAATTTAATGATTCTGTGTTTGACCTACATTATTCTGTATGAATTTAAAATGTATACGTATTTGTTAGAGGGTTGAAATGACCTGGAAATGTTGATGTGGCAAGCTATCGGTGCCGTTTCTCATCGTATTGATTTTCCACCAAATAACATTGCACTGGATAGGGCATACAGCTCCAAATCGGAGGTCAAGAGGTCGAATCCCAATCAAGGATCAACTCTGACTTCATCCTCCAGTGGTTGACACAAAAACGTGTAATTTTAAGGGAAGCCAACTGTGGTTGTCTTATAAACTTCCCCCCTTCCCCCCAACCATAGTAATATGGAATTTCCACTTGCTGCCTCAGGGCTCGTAAGCAGACAAGTGCAAAAATTCATACCACACGGGTGCAATTTCCAGGATCATTACCACCTTCCTTACCACTTTCCTAATCCCGTGTGTGCATTTGATATTAACGTGTGTGCGTGCATGTGTGTTCACGTAATCAACACTGACCGTCTGTGTTTAGCGGACAGTATGGTCAACTCTCGATTATTTGGGTTGTGGATGAACCACGCTGGTGCAAAAAAAAAGAAATTTGAATACATAATAAGAGCTGAACATTCTACATAGCCTAGTGTTAAATTAATATTTAAATACGTTTTAAATTCCTGTTTTAGTTTTATCCAGGCGGGGCCCACACACACATCACCAATGACTGAGAGTTGACTGTACAGGCATCTCTATCTATGTAGTTCGTTTAATACAGGGGCTTTGAAATGTCTAACACGGTCATTATTTAATCCTTTCCATCAGTTTAAGCAGTGATGGAACGTGCTCTAATTAGCATCATTGACTTCACTTTTCTAAATGCTGTAAAGCCCCTGGATTATTGAACTAACCAGATTGAAACATTTGTGGAAATGTTTGAATGCTCGAGGTTGACAATGAAACCTGTGTTAAAGGTCACATTCCACATCGCCGCCCCCCCTTCCACCATTCTTTTCAATCATTAATTTTCCGGTCCTTATGACGTCTTGTTTTTAGGGTCTTCAGCATCGATATGAGCTGTGTGGAAGGGAACAAGCTCACAACGTTCAGATTCTCCAGCACTGACATGAGCTGATAACTCATTTTGCGCAGGCTATTTGCCGTACTGCCTCATTACAGGCTGTTCGAAGTGAGTCTTGTTCAAGTGTGGACTCTTTCAGCCTAGACGCGAGCGAGCGCTCTCTCTCTCTCGCTGCGTAAGAGGCAATCCCCCGGAGCAGTCCAGCGTGACGCTGTGAGGAGGGTGGTGGGGGGGGTTGAGCACGATTGGATTTAGCTTGAAGGCCTTTTGCTCTTTTACAGGGGGCCACTCATTTCCTGCGTGCTGCACCCCCCCCCCCTCATTTTGCGTGCACATTGTTGGTATGCATTCTGGTAATAACGAGGAGGAGGAGGAGGAAGGCAAGTAGGGAGATTGACTGGGATGAGGGCGCGGGAGTTTGTTTGTGGGTGAGAATTAATTTGTTTACCTTTACAACGTTGATCATCGGCGACATGCAAAAAAGCGATCTGCGTGGCAAGACTCACGACATGGAGTTTGGCTGCAAAGTTGGGACTTGAGCTGAAGTGAATGGCACATTTGTGGTTAAATATGCATTTGATTCCATATGTATTTTATTTGCGTCCTTTGGTAAAGGAATATACATACGGTGAAGGGGATATGCCTTTACATATTACAATATAAATCTACGTAATGCATTCGTGTATTAAGCACTCGACTTTGGCAATCCGCATGTATGCCTTGTATCGTTACCATACAGTGCACGGGGTTGCGTTTCACAACTCAATTTGGCATTCCGAAATGCGTGCGCAATGATGGACATGCTGGGCTGGGCTCGGCACAGGCAACGCACGCCCTCCCACAGGAATGCTCACCGAGTCCCATCTGAGTGGGTGCAGCAGCAGTAGCAGCAGCTTCCGTCTCCGCACCAACCCGTGCAGGCCCAACAACCCACGGCCACCGCAGCCCTGCCCCCCCCCCCCCCCCCCGTGCGACCATACCTATTGCACCGTGGCCAATTTTCACACAGGTTTCGTTGTGCCACAGCAGTTTTAAAAGCGGTGGTCTGTTGCTGATGTTTTTACATTTCAAATTGATTGCAGTGACTGCTGATAATGATGACCACGGTAATGATGATGATGACGATGATTCTGAGGTTTGACGAATTGCTGGTGAACCGCGCGCGGTGTGTGAACGCTCCCGCGTCGACGCTTGACCGCTGTGCCCCGGTCGCCGGCGTTCTTTTTGCCCCCCCCCAGTGGACGACACCACTGGGTTCTTGCCCACGTTCGGCCCGTGCTACATCAACCTGTACGGCAGCCTCCGCGAGTTCAGCAGCTTCACCGACAAATACGAAGACCTCAACCTCGGCAAGGTAACTTCATCGTCGACGCGCAGCTCGTTGGCTCGATCCGACGGCCGGACGAAGGCGTACGTCACCAAGCCCATCGCCACACCGCACAGTCCTAACGGTGGAACGGTCCACCGAGCACATGGACCGATTTTGTCGCTCCATCTGCGTGGTGGTTGATGCCCCTAGGCTGTTTTCCCTTCCCCTAGCCGCCAGCGATAAGAAATTTTGTGTGGAGTAGGCCACGAATGCGGATATCGAGACCTATTCAGAAAATGGTTCCGGAGCATTCTTTTCGGTGCCGTTCTCTGGCACAAGATGATGCACCGCTTACTGTTCAGTTTTCAAAAGGGGGGGCAGGGGGGAACATCTCCCTCTGGCTGTTGTTGGCCTTGCCTCTTCCAGCTGGGGAAGGGTTCTTGGATGTGGTGTTTGGTATGTTTGAGCTGTGCGTGCTGCTGAACAAAGGCACGCTCGCACGCACGCATTGCACACGCCATGCCATTGACAGCAGAAAGTAAAAACACGTGACTGGGTCTTGTTTCCAGGATAATACGTTGAATATGAATGTGCATGTGTGTGAGATATGGCGAGCGGGGTGGGGGGGGGGTGCAGTGGTTAGCACACTGCGCGTTCTTATCTTTATACATTTATAGAGTGCCGTTGCTCAAGGTGCTTTACATAGTTTTTACAAGTGATAACAAAAAGAGAGCGATTTGGATGGCAAGGGGGCATGCAAGGGCCGAGGAATGAGTGACTAACAGAGGGCACATGGAGTCTCAAAAAGGCAGCTTATTTCACGTCACATCAACATTTGTAAACTCCCCTCCCCCCCTCCTTGCCGGTCCTCTTGCGCTTTACGGTTATTTTATTCTAATTCCTTTGTCAAAGCGTTTTGTGTCCTCCCACACAGCTTAAAAGGACGCGACCTGGGCTGGTCTGTCTTCACTCCAACGCTGTCCTCGCGACAGTGCGGTCCCTTCACCTGATGAAGGCCACTTGTGTTGTGGCCGAAAACGTCGTGATTTTTGTTGTTTTATTTTTTACCTACGTGACTTTACCGAATAGAACCAAAGAGTATGGATCCTTGCAGTCACGAACGCTTCAAATCTAGAAAAGATCGTGTAGGCTTTGTAGGTGTATCTTTGTACTTTTGTGTTTGTGCGATTTTTGACATGGGAGTTTCATTTCAAAAGAACGCCGGTGTTCATAAGGCGCACTCGCCGACGACGCTAATAAATAAACCGAACCGCACTCGCCTCCGCCCCCGTACGCAATGTGCAAATGCCAAATTTTGCAACACATACTAAACCACGTGTGGATCCTGGGTTGCTGCCTGGCCAATGGGCCCTGGGTGGTTGGTGGTTATCTCATCAGGCAGCACGGTAGTGTCCTGTGCAAGTGGGGTGTGGGGGTGTGTGGCAGGAAAGCGGTTTGGGGCTTTTTTTTTTTGTATCCTCAGCTGCTGCCCCCTCCCGGACGCATGGCACTCCTTTATTTCGTTGATAACATCTCTGTTATCATCCGTGCTGTCAGTGCCTTGTCCCAAATGTCAAGTCCAGCCTCTGACCACCTTCTCTTTTTCCCCATCTGCCTTGGGCCGATTGCCCGTCGCCCCACGCACCCCCCGCTATAAAATCCACGAGCACGGCTGGGTTGGGGAAGTCGGCAGTGGTTGTCCCGTGGATATTCGCACACCCGCCACAGGAATGTGGAATTTCCTCCACTGGCTCGGAGCTTGTAAGCGGGAGATGAGCGATCGGCGCCTCGGTGCCCACTTGAGCAGGATAATCGCTGACGTTTGGCGACCAAATAAATGCCGACGCTTGCCGTGTACGGTTTATCGCGATGTGGCTCAGTGGTTGGCTGTGCATCAAAATCCTTGCCGCGCTTCTGTGCTCTCACGTCCACGCTGGCCGCTTGTCGCCAACCCACACCGGTGGGCGTGGTTAAGTGTGGTTTTACATCCCCCCCCCCCACAACCCAGTGTCGTGGATCTCAAAAGGGCTGTATATGCACACATATGCACACATATACAGCCCTCGTGATGCATAATCGTATTCGGTTGGATGAACCGTGGCGTGTGTAGCTCGCGTTGCCGCTGCAGCACTGCTCGCTAGAGACTACACAGCCGTCGTCAGTAAAACAAAGTCTTTGCAATGATGTAATTGAGAAGGGAGGTGTATATCAGGAGCTGGGTGGCTCAAGAGGTTATACTCATGTCAGAGGAGGTTGTTTGAAGGTGCGGTAGGGGGGGTTGTGGCTCAGGGATGGTTCAAGTGTCACTCGCCACCGATCTTAGCCGTGTCTGGGGATGAAAATTGAGCCACTGCGTCCATTTCTGTACACAAATAAAGTATAATTTATGGTGTCCGATGGTTGATGCCTAATGATGCATTGGCAACCGAAGGAGGGACAGCGCCTGCGAAGTACGTCCAACGGGGAGATGGAGCGATGGAGCTGGCTCTTGCACAGCTATTAGACGATGGATTGATGCATCGCAGGGACGCGAGGGATGGCGTCGCCAAGCAAAGTCTGTCGTTCAGTCGTGTTTAGATCGTGGCAGAAGATCATTGTAACTATTTCCTGTTTGGTTTTTTTTTTACTCCGACTTCCATACAAAAGTAGCCTACATGCTGATCCGTGTCGCTCCAGAGAGGCCGAGTGAGATGGCCTCTTGACAAAACTCCGCCGTTTGTGCCCCATCGCGATTCCGTTCCTTCTTGCCGCTGGCCTCCTTACACAGGAACAAGCTGCCAAATAATCGGCCTCGCACTATTTTTTTTCCATGTTCCTTTTAAAACACTAATTTATTTTCCCTCGCTTACCAAAACTCTCCTTCCCCCCCCTCCCTTTTCCTGCGTCACTAACTTCATCTCTCTTTACAACTCCACTGACCACGCTCGCTCATTATCATCATCAACCACGCTCGCTCATTGTCATCATCAACCACGCTCGCTCATCATCATCATCAACCACGCTCGCTCATTATCATCATCAACCACGCTCGCTCATGCTCATCATCATCATCAGCACGCTCGCTCATGCTCATCATCATCATCAACCACACTCGCTCATGCTCATCATCATCATCAACCACGCTCATGCTCATCATCATCAACCACGCTCGCTCATTGTCATCATCAACCACGCTCGCTCATGGTCATCATCAACCACGCTCGCTCATTGTCATCATCAACCACGCTCGCTCATTGTCATCATCAACCACGCTCGCTCATCATCATCATCATCATCAACCACGCTCGCTCATTATCATCATCAACCACGCTCGCTCATTATCATCATCAACCACGCTCGCTCATTATCATCATCAACCACGCTCGCTCATTGTCATCATCAACCACGCTCGCTCATCATCATCATCAACCACGCTCGCTCATCATCATCATCAACCACGCTCGCTCATGCTCATCATCAACCACGCTCATGCTCATCATCATCATCAACCACGCTCATGCTCATTACCATCATCATCAACCACGCTCATGCTCATTACCATCATCATCAACCACGCTCATGCTCATTATCATCATCATCAACCACGCTCGCTCATCATCATCATCATCAACCATGCTCGCTCATTATCATCATCATCATCAACCATGCTCGCTCATTATCATCATCATCATCAACCATGCTCGCTCATTATCATCATCATCATCAACCATGCTCGCTCATTATCATCATCAACCACGCTCGTTCATCGTCATCATCAACCACACGCTGTGCTTCCATCGTTGTTTATTTCATGTATTGTCATTGTTTACATACTGCCAAGCTGGTCGTCAACTCATCTCATCGCACTTTTCCGCTGTTCAAATATTACATTCTTTGTCCGCCGCCTTGGTTAAGGCGCTGTGTACATTTTAAAATAAGACGAGATTATAAGAATCGTTGACCGCGGAGAGGTTGCTGATGGCTTTTGTTGTCTTACGTGGCACCGCACGCTCTCTCTCGGCCAGGGTGAGGGAATGTCGTACCGAGGCCGCGTTCTCATCGAGCTCATCACCCAACTCGACGCCAAGGTCGACCTCAAAGTGGAGCCCATCTCCAACGACGACCTGCTCCGGGTTGAGGTGCCTTCTTCACCACTTGCTCTACGACGTCTCTGCACGCCCCCCCCCCCCTTCCCCCCCCCGCGCTCGCGCACCGCGCACCCTCGTGGGAAACAATACACCGGCGTCACTTTGAATTGCTGTCTTGAAGATTGCGTGAACGAGGGGCTGACCAGAGGTGGGAAGAGTTGGGGGGGGGGGGGGGGGAGAGCTAAAGGGTTACATTTCCCTCAAGTTCACGCAATAGCCCGTTTTATTTTTATCGCCAATGAATAAGGGAGCCCCCACGTGGCTTTTTGCCCTGATTGCTGAGGTCCGCTGCCTCCAGGAACCTCTGGGCAGCCCTGTGCGTTCATGATGTGCTGCTGTCTCGCCGAATGGATCTTGCGAGTGAGTGTGCTAATGTCTCTCTTGTTGATTGTGTGAGTGATGTGTTGCTGGTGGCTTCTAGTTTCGTCTTAACAGATGGTGTGTGGGTCACGTCCGGGGAATGCTGTTCTAATGTCCTGTCAAACGGATCCCCAGTGTCTGTCTCGCTGTCGAATGGATCGTACGAGTCAAGTCCTGGTTGTCCTCCTTTGTCTCGTTGTCTCCTTCCTCCCCACCCCTCGCCGGCTCGTCGTACAGAAGTACATGCGGCGCCGCAAGTTCAACCTGTACGCGGCGTTCTACACGGCCAGCATGATGCAGCCGGTGGACGACGCGGTGCAGTTTGAGGTCAGCATCGGCAACTACGGCAACAAGTTCGACAGCACGTGCATGCCGCTCGCCTCCACCACGCAGTACAGCCGCAGCGTCTTCGATGGCAAGTCATCTTCCTTCTTCCCTTCCCGCATCCAGCCCTTAAGCCGCATACGGCTCTTTAAGGGCTGCTTCGTGACGTTGCTTATTAAGGACGGTCTCGTTACTCGCGCGCATTGCAGCTCTTGAAATATTGATTTACATTTTTTTACCGAATTCGACCCCTGGTCATGGGGAGTAGTTTGACCATACTTCACTACGCTGGTCCATGCAGGTTGTTGAGCACCCCCAGGGACCTGGTTCCGATATCACTCGCCGCTAATGGTAGCCATGACCGGGGAATCGAATTTGTGCCGACGGGTCTATAGCGCGCGGTGGACTACCCACAGAGTAGCTATTGGAGAGGCCGCCTCTAATCACGCCACGCTGCCCTGCAGGCTGCCAGTACTACTTCTTGCCGTGGGCGAACACCAAGCCCGTGGTGACGCTCACCTCCTACTGGGAGGACATCAACCACCGACTGCAGGCGCTCAACATCCTCCTCTACACCTACGAGCGCCTGGTGAGGACCGTCCCATTTTTTTTTTTTATCGACGCCAACGTCTGCGTTCGCGTATGCAGCGGCCTTTTGTCAATCCACTGCTGGATGAGAGCCCCCTCCCCCGCATCGTGTGTGTCCTGCGAGATGTTTGACCAGACGTCATGATCTCGTCGGGGAACGCGAGGTGAAGGTAGGGAGGGGAGTATAGATGTTGGCATACAACAGCGGGGTTTGCTGCCTTCTGCTGACACTACTGCAGCAGCCAGATACACCGGGGGTTGCCTAGCCAAGCGCTAGCTAGGTTCAGCCCTGCTTGCCTTCTGTGATCTGATGATCAGGGGGTTATGATCGCACTCCTGTAGAGAAGAAAAAAAAATCTCTCCAACATCCGCAACATAATGCAATCCTGGCGTAGCCAGCGGGCGCCACAGTTGCGAGATGTTTAACTACCTCGCCCGGTATGCAGGAGGTCGTTGGTTCCATCACGACCCCGCACCGTCGATTAGCACAGTTGGCTACGTACGGTGAGAACATACATGCTGTGTCACCTTTTGGCGAGAGGGGCAGCTGCCACTGGTGGTGGGGAGGAGGAGGAGGGGGGGGGTGTTGCTCTTTGATATGTTTAAGATGAGCTGCGATGTAAATCGCTCTGCGATGCTTCGGCGTACGAGGGGCGGCTGTCTCAAAAGCAAAGCGTTGCAACCGCTTTGCTTTGAATGTGCCGTGCATTTGCAGGATCTCATGTACGGCAAACTGAAAATGGCTCTGGATGCCAAGCTGCCACAACAGCAGCTGGCATCGGTGTGGCTCAGTCTCATCGACCAGGTGCTGGAAGACTGCAGGTACGGTCGATTTTAGGAGATTCTGCGAACGTTCATTTCGGACCACTCTCTTGTCTTCATGACGGAATGTTTGTTCGTGCCCGGGTAGCACAGCGTTTGACGCGAGCCCCGTTTGAAAACAATACAATGAATTGGTGCGTGCCATTTTGGTGAGGGATCTGTCTGGAATGGGTGTGCGCAGAGACCAGGTAAAGAGATTCCCATGAGCCCTCAAACGAAATTAACAGCGAATCTCAACTGGTTTTCCCACTCGTTGTCGTTAATGGAAATCGGGTTATTATTTTCAGCGTATAACTATTGTTGGTCGCACAATGGCATGCGTGTTTATTTGCTCGCAATCGGTTTTTGTCTGTCGTGTTGTTCATTGCCTTGAACGACGAGCGATTTGGCGTTTATTGTTCTTTACGCTCCAATCTGCTTTGCCACTACCACCACCACCACCACTATGACTACCGCTGCTACCATGTCGCGTCTGTCATGTTTGTGCGTTGCCTTGAACAACGGGTGAATTGGCATCAATTGTTGTTTACACGCCAACCCACTTTGCCGCCACAGCATCCCGATGCCGCCGTTAGACGGCTGCGCCAACGTGACCCCCCTGGACGTGCAGAGGCGCAAGCTGCGCATGCTGCACCTGAACCAGATCGTGGAGGGGGCCCGGCGCCTGCGCAACGAGGCGACCGAGGTGGACAAGACGATTCCCGAGATCGAGGATTGGCTCGACATCCTCCGCACCGTGGCCGAGGAGGTACGCGACCGCCGCTCTCTCCGTCCGGTTTCTGCGCGTGGAGTGGGAGCCCTGCTGTGCTTTGAGAGCAGCCGAGCCGTGGTGGCTCGCTGGCGTTGTGCCGTGACTCATGTCATGAGATGAGGTGCCCATTCGGAACTCGCAGAGCAGTGCGCCAACCCCTGTGTGTTGGAGAGCGGCCCTGTGGAATTTGATGTCATAGAACTGCCTCTGAGATCCTTCCCTGATCCACACAGGAGCCAGGATCGCTTTCCCCCTGCGCCCTTCTGCAGGGAAATGTTTTGTCGCATTGCATTAAAGCTCGGATTTTATTTAAGGCTCAAATTAAGTGCAAAGCCAAATTTGAACTATTTTGTTTTGTCAAATTATGGAGTAAATCGTCACACGGCCCACTGTTTATATTCCCGATAGAAGTTCACAAAGATGCGTTGTTTCCTGCAAGCAATGGCACTTGACTCAGCTTCAGTACAGACATTTAATTCGCCCCGTGCCACTGAAGCTCCATGGAGCTCACGCTAATAGTGTCTCCTCCCGCCAGCAGTGGCTTGAGCAAGCAATTTGCAGGGGCTGCACCTTTTACCCGTGTGTTTATTTGTTTTGTTACCGCAAAACGCGAGCCCGTGCGTACCATGCGAAAACTTTCCGGTAACGGGGCACAACCAAAAAATTCCACGGTCATCCATTCCGGTGCGACGGAACCGGATGAAAGGAAGAGGAAGAAGGGAAATAGGGCCCTGCTGCCTCAAACAAGTTGAGGGGGTGGGGGGCTTGCTTGAGGGCAGTGGTTCTTCTTCACCTGGGGTGTACGCACCCCCTGGCGGTGTGAGATGCCGTTTTCTGGGGGTGCGAGACATGGCCAGTTTTGTTTAGATGGTAAATCATCAAAATGAGAATTAAGCACGTTAAGTGTGACTGCTTTGTCTCATCAAACCCATGTATTTGTTAAGAACCAAAGGGGGTGGGGTAAAATTTGAGAACCACTGCTCCCGGGGGAAGATGAAGATTTAAATGGTGAGGTAAAATGGAGATGGGGGCAGGATAAGAATAAGCACCAGCATATTCTTTGGGTCTTTCGGTAAAGTCACGTAAATATGTTCAAAGAAAATAACAACAAAAAACTACGACGTTTCGATCACAACATCAGCGATCGTTTTTTTCCCCTCCTGATGATGATCGCTTGTGTTGTGATGGAAATGTCGTAGTCCTTTTGTTATTTTCTTTGAACCTATCTACGTGGCTTTACCGAATGACCCAAAGAATATGAACTCCTGCAGTCAAGAAAGAACGAGCATGCTAAGGAAAAGCCTGGGAGGATGGGGGGGGGGTCTTTACTTAGATTTAATGCGGACTCCATGCATCATCTCTCTCTCTCTCTCGCTGTCTCACCGTGCGCTGTGTAACCGCTTTCTCCCTGCTTGGCCCACACACAGCCTCAGAACAGCCTCCCGGACGTGGTGGTGTGGATGGTGTGCGGGGAGAAACGTGTGGCCTACGCCCGCATCCCCGCGCATGAGGTTCTCTACTCCAGCAAGGGCATGAGGATGTGCGGGAAGTACTGCGGCAGGACCCGCACCATCTTCCTCAAGGTGTGTGCCGACTCTTTCCCCCCCCCCCCCCACTGAGGCTCACCGTTCGGTTCAGTGCAGTTTGCATATTTTTTGTGCACCCCGGAGGATATCGGCCCATTGAACATGTATGGATGTATGCATGTTGAACTTCTTTTGCACCGTATGTAGCCAATCGTGCTAATCGTAAGTGCGGGGAAGGGCAGCGCAGTAAACACAAATCGGTTCTGAAGAAATTAGTTTTTAGTCTAGATTTAATTGTGTGCGTAGCTTCAGTGGCTACTTGCTATCGGACGGGGGAAGGGCGTTCCAGATGGCCGCGGAAGCGCATCCTGAAAGTGCACAATGCGGTAAGCACACAATGCGGTAAACGTCTTGTAAACATCTTGTAAACATCTTGTAAACATCTTGCCATCATGCGCTGGATTAGAACGAGTGGTGAAAGGTGGCAAGCTGTGGGTGTTGCCACGAGTGTGTGTGTATTCAACAACATTCACACGTGGGCAAAATGTTAGTTTAACATGTAGGCTTTCACGGCCAAATATTATTCATAATCAAGGAATTTTTTTTGTATTAGATCACGTGACTATAAATGCGACGTGAATCCACCAATCACCCTGACTAATTGGGCGTGTCGGGGTGGTGGGGTTAAGTGTTGTCCATCTCACAGTTTGCAGTACAAAGGTCAAGGTGCAGCCCTGCAATAGCTTGCCCACGCCACTGTTAGCAGACATCCCCTTAGAGAGAGCTCTCGAGAGCCCCTTTGGAGGGGATGTTGGCCTCCACTTTCCACACTGAGCGAACGTCTGAAGAGGGTCAGGGAGTACCCACGCTTTTACCGCCACAAAACAACCTAACTGATCCAACTGCAGTGTGCGCACGTTCATTATTATTATCTAGCCTGAGTGTGGACACCCCCCCCACCTCCCCGGGCATGGGGAGGAAACAGAAAAATAAAAACTCTTGACAATGAAATTCCATTACTACAGCAGCAGCTTTACAACTTTTAGAAGCAGCCATTCAGACGGTGTCGACTGTTGCATACAAATGCACGATGGGTAACATTGTGCGCCTCCTCACGGCGCAAGTGAATGGGTTACGTGAGATAGTAAGGCCCGCGGTAATAATTTCACCCACCTTGTTCACCCATTTCCGGATGAAGCCCTGTTATTGTCGCCTGCGTTTCTGCCATGGTCTCAATTCGCCGCTCGCAATGCGCGTTTAAAACTCTGCGCAGTACCCCGAGGACAAGACGACAAACAACAAGATACCCGTGCAGCTGCGTATCCGCATGTGGCTCGGCATGGCAGCCGACGAGAAGAAACTGAACGAATCCTCCGAGGGCAAACTCACCGTGTTCGCCGAGACGGTAAGAGAACGTGGCCCCCCGTGAATTCACATTTCTAGTGGTGAGAGAGTTACGATCCCCTGAATTCACTCTGAAGCACAAATCGCTGTCTGCTCATAACACCCACCATAAATCTTGCCAAACGCCACTTTTCACGATTCAAAGCTGAACAGGAAATCAGTAAATTTCCAGCTTGCAGCTTGCTTACTTTGTGCAAACGTATGCAGCCATTTTGTCAAACGATATTTCTTGTAATCTAGATTTGAAGTTCCCACTTCAGCAAAAAAAAATATTGCTGTGGTTTTCCCACCTGATGATGATTGCTTGTGTTGCAATCGAAACGTCGTGATTTAATTTAATTTATTTTATACCTACGTGACTTTACCGAAAGAACCAAAGAGTGTGATATTTATTTTTTTAAGTTCCCAAGTGGACGGACTTAGCTGGTGTTCCTACCTTGACTTTCCGGTCTCACGGCTTCGCCCTGCTTCGTGCGACGTTGTGCAACGCCAAACTACCACTCGGTTATTTGTCCGTGCTGCGACAAGAATGGATGCTTGATGTAATTTCACTGACGGGTTTCGTTTGTGCCTGCGGCCCCATGGCTGCAGGGCAGAGCTAAATGTACGCGACCTACCGCCTGCTTGCCTAGCCCTGTGTGTGCCGCACTGTGAATCGCAAGTGGGGCCAAGGTATGTTGGTTAATTTATTCATTGGCCGTAAGCCCAAGTGAATCTCGCAGTTGTAAGGGTTGAATATACATTTAAATGTTAAAGTAATTGAATATTGAATTGTACACACGAGCCCGCTTTTCGTGCAACTGCTGGATGTGTGATTGCCTCCCCCAATCACCCCATGCCTTTGTGGGCCATGATTGAGTATCTTGACCATACTTCACCACGTTGGTTGGTGCGTGTTGGTGAGGAAAGTGCAGAACGACAATAGTTATTCCTGCACTACCCACTGCTGTCCACTGCTTATTTTATTCTTGTCTTTTACGCTCAGGTAAGAGATGAAATTGTTACATTGTTCAACTGAGGGAGACTTGCGGCTTTGGGGGAGGCTTTCATCCAGCAGTGGAATGATCATGGCCGACGATGATGATGATGACGACGATGATGAACTTTTCCCAAAACTTAACCAACCACCTAAATGAGCGCCGTGTGGGTGTGAATGTGTTCAGTACGAGAACCAGTGCAAGCTGTTTGGCAACTGGGGCACGAAAGGCCTGACGCGCCACAAGTGGACGGACGTCACCGGGAAAATTAAACTGAAGAAAGAGACTTTCCTGCCTCCTATCGGCTGGAAATGGGATGGCGACTGGTACATCGATCCAGAGCGCAGGTGAGGTGTCGTCCGGTCCCGAGCGGTAGCATGGATTTCTGTTTGTGTACCTGCACGTCACTCTCTCACTCTGCCGCTTTCACGATTTGTTGCATTGCCGGTGGGCTCATCGGTGCCATGTCCACAATGCAACGAAATTTCATTTGGAAACCTCGCAGGGCTGTGCTTGCAACCCTGCGTATTTGCGAAGAGCCGTGTGAGAGATGCTCGCATTACTTCTGAAAAACCCTTCAAGTAGCCGTTTTAGTTTTTTTTACACTGCTTTTCACGTGACTGTCAAAGCAATGTTTTTCAAATTATTGGTGCTAGATTGTATCCAAATTAAGTGAGAAACAACATGTTAATATGTTGGGTGAATTTTATTGGTGAACGGGCTGAGAGACCATTAACTCGCTGCAGTTAAGAACCCAGTTTTTTTTTATTATGTTTTATTAATTCGACATGAGCCCTGGACAACGCGAGCAATAAACAAGGGAAGGTGGCAGGCACAGAAATTCCGCTGGCGGAAGCCGGAACACAGAGCTCATGAGTCGGAGGGACGGGGAAGAATGGGCTCTCTGCGAGCGGGAACGAGAAGCCAGTTTTACCACACGGTCACCTGCTCGGATTCGAACCCATGATCTCCAGTCGTGCCGGCTCATCACTTTGACCTCTGAGCCACCATGCCCACCTGCCTGCTTTATTATTATTATTATTCGTCATTTGTTTGCGACGGAGGTGCTAGGTGTGGGCTGACGTCCACTCGCACATAACATTGGACAAACTTATTTTTATTGCATATCTTGCGCTCTTCCTGTGTGACAGTCACGTGTAAAAGGATGTGCTAAATAAATGAACAGGGGTGCTTTCTGAACTAATATAGTACATGTTTAAAATTTGACAGTAATAATAATAATGTGAAGATTGAATCTCAAAACATGGAACCAGTCCATGATTTTTTTGTAATTAAACTGGCTTCTGAACTTTAGTGAGTTGATGATATCAGCCCAGTGACCGATGACACAAAAAAATAGTTTTACAACAAATGTAGTTAATTCACAGCCTAGGGAATTTCAAAGATATATTTCACTGATGTGCAACAAACATTTCCTTCTCTAGCAGGGTGGGTGGGAAAGTGCTGCTCCCTACTGTGTTGACAAAAGGTTACTTGAAGGTATCTTGGAAGTAGTTCTCTAACATCCACTTTTGTGGGCCGTTCTGACAGAGAGAGTTGTTGCCGCTCTGCGGGGAAAAGCGCGACCATTTTTAATTGCGAGATTTCCAGGAGTGTCTTTAAAACCTAAAGCATAGACTCAGACCTGGGATAAATTACAATTGTGGTCATTTAATTTGTAAATAATTGTAATTGTCATTTCAGCTGACAATTGTTGCTTGTAGTAGCAGCAGTGATATTTGACCCAAGGTCTGTGTAGCGTGCGTTGCTTACGTACCACGCCGTGTGTGCGTGCGTGCGTGTGTCCCGCACAGTTTGCTGATGGATGCGGATGCTGGACACTCCATTTTCGCCGATGAAGTCTTTGAGAACGAGAATCGGATTCCTGGAAGAGATTGGCAGCTTGCCTCTGACCCCTACACAGATGTGGTACGTGTCCTTTGGTACTAGAATTGACTACGTGTGTCTGTTACTCTTCTTAGTTTCTTGAAAATTTTAAAACAGACGTCACGTGGGGCAGTTTTTTGGGCAGCAGTCCCTCTTCAGAGAAGGACTGCACTTCACAACGTGGTACTGTGAGAATCCTGGAATATTTAAACACAGCTTATGTTACCAGATTGAAATTGACAATGAGCAGTTGTCCACGCATGCCAAACATTCGTACGCTACTGCGGTGGCGTATTTGTTTGTGCATTGATCTATCAACCAGGACAACCTGAGTTCGATTCCTGGTCGTGGCTAACATCAGTGACTGACGTGAAGTAAAGTCAAACAACCTCCCCCCCCCCCCCCCCCCCCCAACCTGCACGACATGGCAAATCCCTCATCCAGCAGTGGATTGACAAAAATGGGTGTACCTGTGTACATGGTGTATTTCGATAATTGTAAACCAGTGTGTTTTTTTTTCCAGAAAGTTGGCAAAAAATGGTAAAACATTTTTTTTAAAGTTCATCTTAAAATTGGCGCCGTTTTTTTGGAAGGAAGAGGCTGAATCGCCGTAACTTCCACTGTGATTGTCTGGTTTTTCCCGTCTTGGTCTTGTGATTCGTTGCTCAGAACGGAGACAAGACCCTGCCGAAGGCGGAGCTGGAGGTCCCAGCTGGGTGGATCTTGATGGAGGACTGGAGTGTGGATCTGAATCGAGCCGTGGATGAAGACGGTTTGAACAAATCCTGCTCTTGTTCATCTTCACTTTTATTGGATTATTTACTGCAGAATTGGCTGGCAATATTCCTTTATTATCAGTGGACAGAGTGTCGTTGTTGTTGTTGGCAATTATTCTGTAAATTTTATAGCACCATTTTCAGAGGATAATGAATGTTAAATCAGTAAGTGGAACCGACAAGTGTGGTTATTCACATTCTGGATTTTACCAACTAATTAAAGTACCATTTGAGTAAATCCACTAAACGTGGTGAATTCAAAATCCCAGTCAGTACGGGCTCGTCCTCGCCTGAACCGTGAATCTCTGTTGCAGGCTGGGAGTACGGGCTCGTCATCCCTCCGGAGACTCGGTCCAAGCAGTGGGTGTCGGCGGAGAAGATGTACCACATGTACCGGCGTCGGCGCTGGTTGCGCAGACGTCGGCGTGACCCCAAGCAGATGGACATCGCCAGACAGGTATTGGCGGGATAATAATCTTGACTTGCTGCGGCCACTCCGCCGCTCGGTATTCGCTCGCTCTCGTAGAGAGCGCGAGGGAGGACGACTGGGGTGCGGGGAGGAACCACGGACGAGCGGGGGGAACGCAGCCGCACGATGAGCCGGCGCCACCAACAATTTCCCCAAGCTCTCCGGTCCTCTCTATGTTGAGGCGTTATTGTCCAATTAGTGAAGTGTTTTGTACGTGGGAGGAAACCACGGAGCACCTGGTGAAAACCCACACGTGCTAGGGGGGGAGAAACGCTCTTTCCCATTCAAACGGAACGGGTGGAGTTCACCTTTTTTTTGCTGTACTTCCTTCTCCTGGCGAGTCGGGGTACGGGCTCCTTCTTGACGCCCATGGGAAAGGAGTTTCGCTACAGTTGTACGATCTGACAACCCTCGCCTCCCTCCACGGTGTATGATTACAGGCCATGTGTAGCAAAGCCACCACTGTGCAGTGAAACAAGTGGTGGTGGTGGTGGTGTGGGGAGCAGTGGCGTCGTGGTTGGCACGCTGCTCTATGAACCCGGCGACCGGAGTTTGATACCCGCTCACGGCCACCGCCAACACCAGTGACGATTATCGGAACCAGTCCTGGGCCTCCCCTAGATTGACATGGCCTCCAATGAGCACCTGGTGCGGTGTGTAAAGATCACCACTGGGGATACAAGTGTGTGGTGCTGGCCACTCACCCCCTCGTCTAACATGTTGACCATCATAGGTGCGCCTCGCTAACAGCACTTGCCCCAACAGTCTGTAAAGGTTATACAGGGGATCTTTGTCTTTGGAGGCTCTAGAGAGGCAACTGGCGTTGCTTCAGCTCCCCTGTTTACTTCGACGCTGCACGGTTGACGTGGCATTTGGAAAAGCGCCATTCCGCTTGGCAATTGAGCGTGTCTCTGCTGTGTTGGGAGCGGTGGAGCAATGGTTATCTCGCCATGGTATGAACCCAGCGGCCCGAGTTCAATTCCTGGCCATGGCTAAAGCGAGTGGTATCCTAGCTGGTTATGGCCCTCCCCTATGTTGACTTGGCCTAAAAAACAAGGACCTTTTGTGGCGTCAACATCATTGGGGAGACGAAAGTGGTTGGGGGGTGGGGTGGGGTGGGGTGTTGCGCTACCTACGCCACCTGCTGGTACGCACCAAACTGACCCAAATAGGCGCTTGGTAAACTGCACTGGCCTCAAACGTCTGTGTGGCTATACGGGGAAGGATCTTGTGTTTGCCTGTAAATTCAGTTCATGTTTGCAGAAGCCCTCTGTGGCTAAACACGGAGGGGTTTTTTTTGACCACGTACGTGGCCGAACCTGTTTGAAGAAAACTTTAGCCCCATGCCCCGTTTGACTGTCAAAACACCGTCCTTGACGTTTTGTCTTGCTGCGCGGAGTGGCGGAGATGCTTGGCTGCACTAGAAGGTGCACACGTTGACGTGTGTTCGCGTGCATGCGTGTGTGTGTGTTAAGGAGAGAATTGGCTCCGTGTTACGTTTGGGGAGGTCATTTATCTGGACCTTACAGATCAAAGTTAACTCTTAAATAGATGCTCACCCGCAGCGCTTGCCCGCAATCGTTGTGTCGACCGTTAGGATGATCCACGCGTGGCAATGTGGAGCGATGCACTTGGCACAGACGAACTTATTGAGAGTAACACTAATTTAGCTAGCACATTTGACATTTACACCTTTCTTATAGCGCAAAGCTATCGCGAAAGAAAATGTGTATCACGGAAGAGTGTGGTTATAGTCTTGTCAGTATGGGGCGATGTTACCGTGTGATTTTACACATGCGTAATACTGCAGTATTAACCAGGGAGCCTACTGGGGCTCAAGAGCAAACCTCTGCAGCAGCGCCAGCCGCCCCGTCAAAATAAATAAATCAATATCCTTCACCGCGCGTGCCGGGATTGTTGCCGCCAGAAAATGGAGAAGCTGGTGACCGAGGGCTGGGAGTACGCGTCGCTCTTCGGCTGGAAGTTCCACCTGGAGCAGAAAAGCACGGACACTCAGCGGCGGCGGCGTTGGCGGAGGTGCATGGCGCCGGCGGAGAGGCTGGGCCAAGCGGCGGTCTTCGCGCTGGAGGGCGCCCTGGTGCGTCGGTGACGTGCCCCGGCGAGACGCAACGGGAGGGCGAGCGAGCGGTGACGGAAAGAAATGGCGCGACGCGAAATCGGCGTGTTCCTTACGGAACCCGGCGACGCGGGGCGGACCCTAAGCGGGGCGACGCGGAGCGGACCCTAAGCGGCGCGCGGGGCGACGCGCGGCAGGAATTGGCACGGCCAATTACACGAGCGAAATAAATGGCACGGCACACAACGGCGCGTGGCGAACAACAACAACAGCACAACAGCAACATGGCAAACGCAAACGGCTCGCGAAACGAACAAATCCGCGAACGGCACGGGCAGCACGGTGACAGCGGCGAGTCGCGCAGCACAAACCCCACCCCGTGGCAGACTTTCGGATGGCTCGCCTTTTTGCCCGTAACGAGCTCGGTTGTCGTGGTTTTTTTTTTTTTCGCGCCGTGCGTGCTGGCAGGGCGGCGGCGGTGGCGAGGAAGACGACCCCGACTCGTCGAAAGACGACAAAGACGAGAAGAGCGCCAAGAGCGTGCTGGGGGTGAACACGCCCACCATCTCGTGCATCTTCGACAGTGAGAGACGGGCGGGGGGTTGGGGGCGGGTACGGTGGCGGACGCGCGCCGCTCTGCGTTCATTGCAAAGGCCGCCACAATCATTATGGGGGGGGTGGCCTGGACATGATCCCTGGCGGCGTCGGCGGTGGCGGCAGCAATGCAATCTTTGCATCCGCTATGTTTGCAGCGGCCAAAGAGAATCGATGCCCGATGAATTGTGACCTCTAATCGTGACGATTCCGTCGAGTCGCAAGGGGGCGGGAGGCGGTGAAATCGTTCCACGCCTCGTTGGTGCTGTCCTCAATTCGTATTTTGTTGTAAGATGTTCATGAAGAAGATGCGCAGTCTGTTATCGTTATTGTACTGCCCGACTGAATTTCTAATGTTTTTGCAGAACCACACAAATACCATCTTCGCTGCTACATCTACCAAGCCAGGGACCTGGTAGCGATGGACAAAGAGAGCTTCTCCGGTAATTAAAGCTCCCGCGAGCTCTGCTCCGGTGAAGGGAAACGTGGCTACATTCATAATAATTCATAATAAAGGTTTTTGGGTTATATCGTGTTATTTATAAATGTGTCGTAACCCTCCACCACCCGACACGGCCAATCAGCAAAAAAAAGAGTCACGTTGACAAAAGACAAATAGTTCAATACTTTAGCCCACCAGTGTGTTGAAGAGTGAATCCACAACATTTACAGTTTGAGTACGACGTTTCGCTGGTAATTACATCCAGCATCATCGGGCTACATTGTCAACACTGGTGAATGCTTGAAATGTGGGTTTTAGGAGAAGCAGATTACCAACAAGAGTACATCGTGAAGGTGGCTGGGTGGCTCAAAGGTTGGAGATGATGAGTTGGCAACCCCGAAATTGCGTGTAATCTGGATTTTTCCTACATTAAAATACAAGCACCCCGAGTAATCCTGAAGTGGGCTCCTCCTCCCTGTCACCCGTTTCCAAACTGCAGAGAATGCATAGTCGAAATAATTAGAATTATATCGTGAGGTGGCTGGCTGGATCAGATGTCCGCAATATTGAACCGGTTGTCGCTGAGACCATAGGTTCGAATCTGGGTTTCAGCTTTGTGTGAATTAAACCGTGTTGTCGCGTGTAGCAAGTTGTGATGGTCTGAGTGGAGCCCAACGAATGTACTGTGCGTTGAACTTCTTTCGCACCGTACGCAGCCAACCGTGCTAATCGGAGGTGCGGGAAGTGGGTGCACAAAATTAACCCCGATCGCATAAGCATTACGCAAGGACTCGCCGCACGGACAAACGAAACCGCGCAGACTCGCCCGGTGTGAGGGGGGGGGGGGAATGTCCCCTCGTCCGGCAGTGGATTGTCAACGGGAGGGGCTGTGCGTGCACGTTATCGATTCGCCGCTGCTCTTTTCCAGATCCGTACGCCGTCGTCTCGTTCCTGACACAGTCGCAGAAGACGGAGACGATCAAGACGACGCTGAACCCCATCTGGGACCAGACGCTCATCTTCCACGACATCGACATCTACGGCGACCCGTCCTCCACCGTGCTCTACTCGCCCAGCGTGGTCGTGGAGGTCTTCGATTTTGACACTTTTGTGAGTGCCTCTTTCAACGCTCTACGCCAGCGTTCTTCACCAAATTTCAGAGGTGGTGGGGGGGGGGGAGGGGGGAGCACTTTTGCCGAGGGCCGCCACCCATTTTAAACCATTGCGGTTTGATAGCACGATGATGGGGTGGGTGTTTTCACATGTTGTCTATTTTCGGGGGCCGCACGTCAGGAGCCGGACTGAAGGGCACCTGTGGCCGCCAGCGGCCCCGCGGGCCTTGCAATGAAGATCACCGCTCTACGACGTTTTAAAGCTCTCGTGCGCCCCGGGGTAGCTCGGTGGTAACAGTCGTGCCTTGCAGTGAGAACGGGCCCGGGGATCGATTCCCGACTCGCGCTCGCCTTCCCGCATGGGGTTTGTTGATTCTCCGCCGTGTTCTCTTGCGTGGGTTTTCCTCCACCTAAACATTGTGACTGGTATTCACCAAAAGATGCCGATGCCGAAAAATTACCTGCAATTTTACAAGGTTGGCCAGGGAGCTCAAAGGGTCACATCACCGAGCTGGTATCGCTAAGATCCTGAGCGTTTGAATGCTGGCAGCTGCCTCTCCTAGAAAAGCTATCGGTAGTGCATCGTTGGGCCAGAACGCTTTCTTCTTTATTGAACCCAAATCGTCAGCAGTCACAACAGAGGGGGCTCGTGAACATGCAACAAGTAAGGCGAGCGTGTCTAGGGATTGCACCCCCTGGGTTGTCTTTCCTGCCTGAACGGGGACTTGTGAAGGTGTATTGTGTTCCTTTTCTAACCAAAGCAGCGGGAGGAGGGGGTGTGGGGGGGGCGGGGAGGTTGGGGTGAATCTCGAACGCCACGGTGGCGAGATGGTAACTACCTCACTTGGTTTCCAGGAGGTCATGGGTTTGAACCTGACCCTGACGCCTGTATATTTGGACATGGGGCTTTTTTCCCAGTATCAAAGTATGAAAAAATAGGAATAGGTTTGACCCTTTTTGGCCATAAAACAGGAGGTGTTAATATGTTCACGCACCAAATAGATACCAATTTAAAGGCATAAAGTCTGCATTAACCACACGTACTTGTGTAATATATCACCGATGGTTCAGCAGTTTCACTGCTGGATTATTTTTCCCGCCTGAGGACGACCGCTTGTGTTGCGATCGAAACGTCGTGATATTTTTTTTTGTTTGTTTTATTTTATTTTTCTACCTACGTGACTTTACCGAAAGAACCAAATAGTGTAGACCAATCAGCTTCAAAGACAATGCCATATATTATTATCAGAGCATGTTTTTGTATGCATGTTCACCACTGGTATATGTGGTTAATGCAGGGATGATTCCTTGCAAAAGTGTTTTACTTTGGTGTTTGAGCATCTTAATGCTTGTTTTATTGCCAGAAAGGGTAAAACTTATTCTTATTTTTTCACGCTTTATTTGGAGTTTGCATGTTCTCTCTCCACCGTGGTCGCATGGAATTTTTTCGGGGTCCTCCGATTTTTCCCTCCCGCCTTTTAGAATCGACGTGCATTTAGAGTATTTGGCTGCTATAAATTTCCACGCGATGAGCCACTTCCTCGAGCTATCATTTGTGCCAGTCGCCTCTCAGAAAAGAGCTGCATAGCTCAGTGGGCCTTACCTCTCGAAATAAAAGTACGTGCGTCAACTTTTCTACACTCTCTGCCGCGCGTGGCGCTGCAGGGGAAGGACGAGTTCATGGGGCGCGCCAAATGCACGCCGCTGGTCAAGCTGTCGGCGTCCGATGACCTGACGCCCAAGTTGGCGTGGTACCCCCTGCAGCAGGGCAGCAAGGACCGCGGGGAGCTGCTCGCCGCCTTCGAGCTCATCAAGAAAGAGAAGGTACGCCATACGCTCGCCTACGCGGTGAAACCGCGGTGACGACGCTCGCCTCGCGGTGAAACCGCGAGCGTCATCCTGCTGACAGTTGTCCTCCCGGCGACTCTACAGGCCGACGGATCGGACCTGCCCTTCCCTCCGCCGAAGCGGAACGCCACCGTGTTCATGGTCCCACAGGGAATCAAACCCGTGCTGCAGCGCACCAAAATCGAGGTGAGCCGCGCAAACGACACGACTGGTCCCAGTGCCGACCGCCCCCGCCCACCTCCCCCCCCTCTCAACCCTGATTAGTCGGTCACGATACACGCAGAGGACCACATGTCGTCACCGAGAGTCCGTGCGGTGTTCACAACACACGTGTTTCATGCTGCGTATCGGTGTGAAAATGGACGACATGTGCCTCTATCGAGAATAAATGGCATGAAAATTAATGACACTTTCTCCGTTGTCAATGTGGCAGCTGGCCAGGTGGACTCGGCGGGAGAGAGGGTCCCGTGTTGAAATCCTGTTTGGGGAGTTATCTCGGCCCATCCTCTCTCTGGGGTCGATACAATTAGCACCACTTTGTGTAATAAATCACTTCGAATTTTTTTCGGCACGATTATGGTTGTGGGGATGATTATGGTTGTTACGTGCAGATCCTTGCCTGGGGTCTGAGAAACCTGAAAAGCTACCAGCTGCTCGGTGTGACATCGCCCAGTCTGGTGATCGAGTGCGGCGGAGTCAGCGTGCAGTCGCCCGTCATCAAGAACGTGAAGAAGAACCCAAACTTCAGCAGCCCTGTCCTCAACATGGAAGTGGTAACGTCACACACTCTCTCGCTCTCCCTCCCTCTCTCTGGGGACACTCATCGGAGTGGCCTCAGAGAGGCCGACGACCAAGGGGAAAAACGCCTTAGATAGATGGTGCGGGAGATGGTTGGGGAAGATGATGGAGGTTCACGTGTTTTGTAGCCCGGAGAAAGGTGGAAAGCGTTGGTTGGCGATGTGTGGTGGCAGCAGCGGCTTGTATGTCTGTATGTAGACCTTCTTTTGCACCATACGTAGCCAACCATGCTAATCAGAGGTGCGGGAGAAGGACCGCAAACTAAACACATGAAAGCAGTTCTAAAGAATTTTGTTTTAATCAAGATGTCATTCTGGCTTTAGGCCATGATGACATCTTGATTGTGGAGGAACCCTTTGGCCCCCTTGCTTCATTGTACACTGCCCAGGACCACATGAGGCCCATTGCTTTGAAATGGGCCTGCAATCGCCCATGGGTTAGAGGGACTCGAGCATCGTGCGACGTCGAGGGGGAGGAGGGTAAGGTGGAGAGGGGGAGAGGTCCCAATTTCATTCCTTCACGCAACCACGCTACTCCTCTTTAGAGAATGTGGAGAGAGAGTGAGGGAGCCCGGTTGACTGATGTGATTTTTGGAGATAAAACTTTATGCAGCGGTGCCTTTGGGATAACTGGGAAATGTTAAGGAAGTTGAAAAATCAAGAGTTTTGTTAAACAAAAAAATTATCAGCAGAAATTTACTTTACCGAAAGAACCAAGAATACGATTCAATACTGTTAATTTGCCAAACGTCCTTCAAATTTTCCAATTTTTCACAGGAGCTCGCAGTGAAAAGTAGTGTGATCTCCAACAATGACGTCGGTCATTCTCCCCACTTGTCCCCCATCTGCTCTAATGGACAGTCACTGCCACAAAAGTCGACCCTCTGTTTATACGTTTTAGCTATGGCCATGTACAGACCTCTGTGCACTTTCCCATGCTGACAAAGTAGCCCCCGCTATCAGGCAGTGCTAATAACAACCCGCAGTGAGTTTTTGTTAAAATATATCTTTGCTTACGAACCTATGCCTTACGCAGTTAATTATAATGTTTTGATCGTAAGGAAAACGAGTGCCATTTGTCTTGTTGTTGCGCCTGCCACCAACATGATTCTATAACTCCACCTCCCTCTCCGTCCGACGCAGCGTCTCCCCAAGGAGGAAATCTACACCCCGCCCATCATCATCAAGGTCATCGACAACCGTCAGTTTGGCCGCAAGCCGGTGGTGGCGCAGCTCACCGTCAAGGAGCTGGAGGATTTCCGCTGCGATCCGGATGCGGTGGACGGTCAGCTCCCGCCCACCGTGGGAGGTAAGCCGGCGCTCGACAGGTGCGGCTCATGCGGGTGCCCAGGTGGCGCTCGTGGGGTCCCAGCGCTTCTGAAACTATTGACGGCAAGTTAGGCATCATATTGACCGTTGAATTTTAATTAAAGTGGTTTTTGGGCAGGATTTATCGCTGGACGGGGATGATAGTCGGCGTTTGAAACTTGGTGTACAGAGTGACAGCCAGAGGACTGAACGCGCCTCAGAGGGAATCCACCAATAGCGATGGAGTGTTTTTTTTAATCGGCTTGTGTGAAGGAGAGCTTGAAGGATTGTTGTACCGTGAGAAATGGTAATGGTGTGGGGGGGGGGGAGACTCCTTAGTCTGGCAGATTATTGATAACGAGGCCGATAACGAGAACGTCATTGTGGGGAATGAATTGCATCGCAATGAGGCTTGTCACGTTTGCTCGCAGGGGCCGGCCGGGCTCGCGCGTCCAGCGACGTGATGCTCAACATCGCTTCAGATGACAGCAAACCCTTGCTCACCTCCCAGGTGGGTGGGTGTGCTGTACTTGTCGGGGATATCGTTGGTGCCGCGGAGATAGGCGTGAAGTACATTTAACTTACCGGAGAAATGTCGTGACAGTCGAACAATTACCGTGCCTTGTATAATTTTTAGGTACATGACTAATTTACTTGTGTAGTTAAAATTACAATTACAACTTTGAACTTGGCAGCTGGTAGTTTTTTTATGTTTCTGAGACCCCCGGGGCCAGGATCTGCACAAAAAAGAATAGGTGATGTTGGTGATTTCCCGCCAGAGATGTATAATTTTCGTGGTGCTCTTATCTCCTGTTTAGAGCCCCGAGCCGGTGGTCAAAATTCAACATTGATATGTTAGTGGAGAGTAGTATCATTTGGAAAAACCCACTGTTGACTTACCCCACAATGTGGTAGCTATTTTATCGGCCCCAGAGAGATGATGAGCCGAGTAGACGCCAAAAACAAGGATGTGAACTCGCAACCCTTCCGATTGCGAGCCGCTCACTCTGCCGCCGAGCCAACGTGCCGCCATCCATTGAATGTTAATCACGTGGCTTGCATTGCTTTTGGTGTTGTTATTTTAAGTTACATATTTAATCAGCTTAGGGCGGTTTTATTAACGCTTGTGCAATCACATCGCCATAGGCTTGCTTTGAACATATTATACATCTGAGTGGATTATTATGAAGGCGCTACAATTATTAAACGGGCCCGACCATTGTTCTTCCGACAATTTGATGGCATCGCGCTGAAAATTGGGTTTGAAAACGATGGTGGTGTGGCAAATCTCATTAACAGCTGCGGCAGAAATTGTGTGGAACGGTTCGCATGTTTAGCTTTCGTGTCTTAAATGTCTCTCCTGCACCCAGCAGCGCGTTCTGACGAATAGGAATTCCTCGGCAAGGACGCAACGCAACACAAATTTGTTAATCCACTGTTGAGATTTACCGTCTCGGCCCCGACGTTTGTCGGACATGGGGGAGATGTTTGTCCCATACTTCGCCATGCTGGTCAGTGTGGACCAATTCGCCGGTCACTCGCTGCTCACGTTAGCCGTGGCAGAGAATTGAACTCGGGTCTCTTTGGTTTGAAATGTACTCAACCCAACGATACAACATTATTATGCCCGAGTAACTTGTTTCGAAAATCATTTTGCGTGTGGATGTCGAACTTCTTTGCCACCGCCCATGCCGTACGTACGTAGCCAACCGTGCTAATCGGAGGAGAGCATTGGATTTTAAAAAAATGCAATGCGATAAAATATTGTTATTGTTGCGGCAATTATAAGTTACGTCCCACGTGGCGATGGAAAGGCAGCACGTGGCACGAGGGGGAGAAAAAAAACCAACGTCAAGCGAAATCGCACACAGGCAGAGGGACTTGAACGTACAGACCGGCGCCATGCCGCCAATCTGCCTTGCCCGTCGCCTTTCCCGTGTGCACGTGTCAACCGACTCCATGTGTTGCGCACCCCATTCGATTTGCAGTTCTTTGGAAATTTGAGTTTCGCTCCAAGTCCTCTCTCCAGAGCAACGCCAGTCAGCCCTGTATGTATCACTTGTCACTTCGTAGAAAGCTTTGACACGGCTTCCTTCTCGGTTGAAGGGCTGTGTTGCGCATTTGGCTAACTCTTGCTTCGCTTGGCTTTGTACTAACCAGTAGCGTGCGCGCGCGTGTGTGATGTGTTGGTGCTCATAGGTGCTCGCTAACAGCACTTACCCTAACGGTCTGTGTAGTCTATATGGGTGTTCTTTGTCTTTGAGGTTTTGGTGTGTTGGTTTTGTCAATTATTATTTCAGAATACTCTTGGCCTGCCTAATTGCCAGCAAACACTTGATACCAATTGGATCGTTTGATATCAGGAGCCAAGTGGGTTCCATGGCATATGTCCCATTTTGCAGGTGAAGCTGATTTTGGCTTCATAGGCCAGGAAACAAGTTGCATGGATCGAGAGGTGTCCTGGAACTAAACTTTTATAATCCACAAAAGTTAATTGTTCAGAAAGTAGGCTTTTGTTTCACAGCAGACTTAGGACTAAGTGGATATGAAAGTGACTTGCATTTATTGTAAGTCACGTTTTTATACGATAAAACTATCAAACGTGCATTGCAAACAATTGTGCAATGAAGCTAGCATGGGACATTTAATGTGTGGGTTGTATCATGTTTTTTTCCAGGACGCCCCACAGTTTTTATACTTTTGTGTGTTGTTCATTGCCCGCGGTTTGAGCAACCAATTGAGGTGAGGGCAGACTTCGTACGAAATCTCAAATTATCCGTCGGAATTCGGGAGAAAAATAAAATAAAAATTCCAGTGGATTGTGACAACGTCCGTTTTAAAACACAAAAGCGCACGACGCAGCCTGGAAGCAATCGGGGGGGGGGGGGGGGGGGGGGGCGCCCGCCGCGCGACAACGCCGGCATCGCCGTCGATGATTGATCTCGCTCCGTGGGAGGCGCACAACTTCTGGGGGATGCCGGTGGCGGAGGGGAGCGATCGATCGTGCCACACAGAGCGGGGTCGGTCGTCGCTGTCTCCCAGGGATTTCTCGTCGCTCGCTCTGTGCAGTCTCTCGGCCCTGTAAATCTCCGCAGCATGAGGGGGTGTAGTTGGTGTTGCATGAGAGGGCACTCTCCACTGTTTGGTTGTTGTAATTTTTTTAGTCAAGTGTCTTGTTCTAATTCAGAGGGTATTCTGCATGGACTGCGGTGTTGTATGAAAGTTCTTGGCTGCAAAACAAAAACGTGAAAAGCCTTTGCATGGTTCTGAATGAAGGGGGAATGCCGGTGTGTTGTGCATGCAATGATGTGCCGCCTCGTTGAAATTTAAAATAGATTCTTACACTCCGACACAAGCATCTGAAGCATTTCTGCAGCGATTGATGGATAATTAATTCATGCAAATTGTATGCAAGTCATTTCCTAATATTTAAGCAACAACAAAAAACTACAAATGAGACCAAACAAATGTGAAACGATACAAACGAGTCGATTTTAAAACGTCATAATGAAATAAATAATTATTTGAATCAAATCGTGAACCTCCCTCCCTACCGCCCCCCTCCACCCCGAATCGCGGCAACGAATCAAATCGCTTGGAGACGGAGTTACGAATCGTTCCACGCCTCCCTTTGCACTTCGCGCCGTGACGGTGTGCTCGGGGTGACCATGCCGTCACGCTGCTGATCCGCTCGCTTCTAGATCGACGAGAAGGAGACCGTCGACTGGTGGAGCAAGTTCTACGCCTCCCTGGGCGAGGTGGAGAAGTGCGGCTCGTACCTGGAGGAGGGCAACGACACCCTGAAGGTGAGGGGGGGACCCCCCCTCCTCCACGGTTCGGCATCGGTTGCTTTTTTTTTAAAAAAAATTTGCTGCCGATTTTATGTCTGAATTGTGTCATGAGATTGCGGTGTTGCTTTTTTTTATTTTTTTTGAACAAACGATTCGGGTAAGCCACACAGGGAGGGCGTGTCAGAATCAGAATCCCATTATTTATGTAGACTGGAGGAATCTGATGAGCTATGAAGCTCTTTTTCACAGATGTCCAGTAGGGGCGGGTCAGAACGTTACAACATCAAACGATACAAAAAACACCACAGGAGTGCAAATTATAGGAAAGGTAAACAAATCACTTAAATATATATACATGTAAAATACAACTACACTTTTTTTAAAAAATCTTACCAGTATGAATGGGAATAGACCACCAGTATAGACACGATGCAAAGTACAATGATTATTACTCGCGTTTTATATTTTGAACCACCTGTCTCTGCCATGTGTTTCAATAAACCATACATCCCTAGTGTATACTTCCTTAAGTCGGATAACCCCTCGAGGCCTGCACTCCTTGAGTTCTCAGGGCATCTCGCACCCCCAGGGGGTGCGTGCATACCAGGTAAAGATCCACTGCTCTCGGGGAAGGACGGGGGTTGGGGGGTGAAGGGGTTGGTGGAGGCAGTGCCGGATTATCTACGTGACTTTACCGAAAGAACCAAAGAGAGGGGGATCCCTGCAGTCCCGAAAACTTCAAATCTAGATTCAAATCGAGATTGACGGATTATCCTAGTAGCAAAAGTAGCTACATATGTAGCTATGGGCCCCCGCACTTTCAAGGGCCCCGCGCTAAAGGCTTTCAAGCTATCAATTCCCGTTCAGTAATTTTGCACTTGCTCTATTACTATAGTACTATACCGCCTTCAACTTTTATGAACGACTGGGTGTTTAAGGTTAGCGATTTGTCATAGTTTTTCATTTGCTATACAGCCAAATAATACAATGATTTTACTGTGCAAGTTAAAAATGTGTGTTTTAATATTTGTGTGTTTGTTTTTTTTAGGGCCCCTTTATAACAAATTCTCCAGGCCCCGTACTAGCTTCATCTGGCACTGGGTGGGGGTGACTAAATGCCTGAATGAATGATCTTAAAAATCAATGCCTACTGGAGCAGAAGCTATGAAAGCGGTCCCAAGTTTGGTGTGATATGCTTGAGATTTTAGTTGTTTTATTTTGTAAAGAATTCCCACAGCCAAGCGTCGTCACGTCAGGAAGTGACCCTGGCAACTGAAACAGTTGACTTCTGAGATCCATTTTCTTGACCCTTTTATTTACATTGTTACTGATGGATGATGCTGGTCTGAAAAGTGCATGGGTTGATACAAATGAAGGTCTATTTATTGTATGTCCAATGTTTCACAGCAACCCATAATTATTTTATTGTGCATGGACCGGTGGGGGGGGGGGGGGGCTCCTTCAAGCACCGAAAATAATGATCGGCTCGCGTTCATTCAGGTGACGTTCATACATTTTTACTCGTGAGAATGGCAGAAGCGGACGACGTAAGTTTCACCTGAGTCTCATTTCCAAACCCTCCGTTACAGATTTACGACACGATGCTGGAGGAAGTTCCCGAGTTCCAGTACTTGAACGATTTCTGCCGAACGTTCAAGTTGTACCGCGGCAAAGCGGACGACGATTCGGACGACCCGTCGGTCGTGGGAGAGTTCAAGGCAAGGCGGAGAAACCCCCCCCCCCCCCCCCCCATAACTTGTTGCGCATGCACAGCACGGACGTGCTTCTGACCGCGAACGCGACCATTTGGTGCTGTGTGGTAGCTCTGGTCACCCTTGTCGATGTTAGCAAGCGGCAGCAGACCAATCTCGCCACGTTCATTTCCTATTGAGCTCTCTACTTCCGGCATTGCTCCCCACTCGCGTGAGGCGTCTGCCTTCTTGGTCCCCTTTCTCCACTCCTCCTTTTTCTAGTCCAGCTCCACGTCTACTCCACAGTGCTTCCAATCCCACGCATTCACCGCACATTCTCCCGAGGCCTCTCGCCCCTCCGTCCACCTTCGTCGTGTTAATCCCACGTGGCTTTCCTCTCTCTATGTTGTCGAGACACGTGCCCCCACCCATCCCAGTCGAATGGTTTTTTTTTCCCCCACCTTGCCTGAAATGAGCACGGCCACTCTCCTCGACTCCTTCCTCGTCTCTCTTCGTCTCCGGGCCGACCCCAGCCCAGTCTCGTGGTCCCCGCCATCCATCTCCCGATTCTCACGTCTGTTTGCTCCTGTTTTCTTCTTACCTGGTTGGCTCCTGAGGTCTCACAATCGGGCGCATTCTGGGCGACTCTCATCGTGGGCAAGAGAACGGCGTCAATTTGAAACAGGTTACCGACATAGTCTCTTTGGGTCTTTCGGTGGTAAAGTCGCGTAGATAGGTGAAAATTAATGAATATCAAATGAATATGAATTTTCACCTGTCTACGTGACTTTACCGAAAGACCCAAAGAATATGAATTCCTGCAGTCACGAAAGCTTTTAACGAAATTTAGCGGGAAAATGTGATATCGCTCTCTCTCTCTCTCCGCAGGGCTCCTTCAAGATCTACCCACTGCCAGATGACCCGGCGCAGCCCAGCCCCCCGGCACAGTACCAGCAGTTGCCGGATATCGGGCTCCAGGAATGCATCGTGAGGGTCTACATCGTGCAGGCTTTGGCGCTCCAGCCCAAGGACACCAACGGCCTGGTAATGACACCCCCTCCTCGCCCGGCTGCATGGCATAACCGCGTGGTGTCCTTGAAAATCTCGATAACCCACGCGTGTGTGCGTCCGTGTGTCTGTCTGCACGGCGAATCGGACTTAAATGAGTACCCGGTGCGGTGTGTAAACATCCCCACCGGGGAAACAAAGGTGGCTGGGCGTGGTGCTGGCCGCCCCTCCCACTCGTGTACCGTGCCAGCCTTCATAAGTGCTCGCAAACAGCACTTTCCCCCCCCCCCCCACAGTGAATTCAAGGCTGTACAGGAGAGATCTGTCTTTGTTCTATGTATGTATACACACTGGTGGACAGAGCCCGTCCTATATTCAGGGCGACAGCACGTCGTTCTGCAACCCTGATCAGCCACTCGCCACTTCCCTGAACATCACCGCTCACCAGTTTATACGGCATCGTAAAAAGATGCATCCCAGCGCCTGCACCCTCTTCTCCCCCAATAGCACTCGCCTGTCCGTTGCGTGATTTTGAGATGGGGCTCGCACCATGCGCTGGTCGATTCGTAAATGGTAGCATGTATTGTCAACGTCGGTGGCCGATGAGCCAAATGATCAGGTCATTGGTAAAATACAGATTTCGACCTTGTTTCCGGTAAGCTACGATATCATAAGATTGTTTTTGGTTAAATCTTAACTTAAAGCTTTCGTGACTGCAGTAAATCATATTCTTTGGGTCTTTCGGTAAAGTCACGTAGATACGTTCGAAGAAAATAACAAAAAATTACCAAAAACTTCGACGTCATCAGGATGACGATTGCTTGTGTTGCGATCGAAACGTCGTAGGAATAGGTTTTACCCTTTTAACTGGCACAAAACTGACACCTTTATTCAAGGCATCATGTTTGCAATAACCACAACACAAGCAGTCAAAATGCAAACAAAAAAGACAACCCTGATAATAATATGCACTGTCCTTGAATTTGATTGGTCCACACCCGAGAGACGGCTTTCTTTTAGAGCCTATTCCTATATCTTGTTACTGGCAAAGGAGGTCTCATAACGAAACGTCGTAGTTTTTTGTTTGTTATTTTTTGTTATTTTCTTTGACCCTATCTACGTGACTTTACCGAAACACCCAAAGGATGTTTGTTATTTGGTTCCTCGATATGCAATTCGTGAAACGGTCTCGGAGGAGAGCTCCAGACAAAGATGAATGCGTACTAAGATACGCCGATTCTCCGCTCACGGCTCATATTTTAACGATAAACCCATGCCGGCTTCATCGGAACACTTTACATTCCACTTTCAATGGATTTTTTTTTTGATGAGCATCTCTCCGCAGATGTTCACACGGTTAAAAAAAAAAATTAGCTTTTTCCATGCACTTAATCGACCTACTTGAGACAACAAAAGCCGTCTTTCTGAACAAAGCCGATTTTCCGTGGGGGGCTATCGATTTCTTAAACTCCGCCCCAGGGGGTCGGCGACCTTTCAAAGAAGAAGAGACATTTTTTTGTTTTTTGTCTTTGACCAAAATAGTTCGAGAGCTGCCTCGCACGCAGAGCTGCTCGTACACAAACACAGACGCAGCAGGTATACGGCACGTGACAAGCAAATTCGTACGTGTATGAACGAAATAGGTGATGGAATAAACTGCGCGTCCATATTGTTGATTTTTTTCCCTCCCTTTTTTTATCAATGCAGTTTGACTGTTGTGCATTTCGTTGTCACCAAGACATCCCATGGTGACCCATTCCCTGCCATATTTAATAAATAATCTTTACGTTAAATTGCGTTTTAAGATTTTTTTGTTTGTTTTGTTTTACTGCTGTGCCCACAAGGCGATGGGGGGGGGGGGGCAGCCAATGCCGCGAGGGGGAAGCCGAAGAGACGCACGGGGCTCAGGAGCGCCGCCCGTTTGCCGAGCGCCGCGTCATGCCCCTCGATTTGGCTGCACGCGCAGCCTTGACCTGGCTGTGCGCGTGTCTCCGTGTCTCCCCAGTGCGACCCCTACATCAAGATCAATCTGGGCAGAACCACCATCGATGACCACGACAAGTACATCCCCAACACGCTCAACCCCGTCTTCGGAAGGTAAGCGGCGTCTCGTTGTTATCGTGCGATGCAGACCCCGTTAGAACATTGTATCAACCACACGTGTTTGCATAGCATTCGTCAAAAGCCAGGATCGATCCACTGCTGGATGTAACGTTCTTACCCCCCCCCCCCCCCCATACTGGACATCTGTGATAAAGAGCTTTTATAGCTCATCAGATTCCTCCCAGTATAAATAAATATTCTGATTCTGAAGGACATTCCCCCAAGCCGTCGCGATCTATCATGGTCATGCGGGCACAGAAGTCCACTTGGCACCTGCACACGATCCGATTTCGTTGTTCCATGTCCGCCGTGGACGTCCCCTCGGGCGCGTTCCGTTCCTCCGGCTGCCTCTCCGTCGTTGGTTTCGGTCACCGGCCACCATCGTGGCCGTGACGCCGTCGGTACCTCAACCGCTCGGCGCTCCGTAAACGTTCCCGCCTGACGTCTGCACCGTCTTCCTCTTCCTCCTCCGCGGTGCTCGCAGGATGTTCGAGTTGACCTGCACCCTGCCTCTGGAGAAGGACCTTAAGATCAGCGTGTTCGACTACGACATGGTGGGCCGCGATGAGAAGATCGGCGAGACGTTCATTGACCTGGAGAACCGCTACCTGTCGCGCTTCGGGGCTCGCTGCGGCCTCTCCCAGTCCTACTGCGTGTGAGCAGCCGCGCTGCAGAAACGCGCCGCGACACGCAGAGTACTTGGTCTGCCGCGCGCTTGCCCGCACACGCAGAGCAGTCCAGCATCGCCACACCCCCGCAGCGCTTTGCAAAGTGGCCGCGTGGAGTCCGTGCGTCGAAGCTCTCCGCATCCTCCTATTCCGCGATCGTCCTAATTTTGTTTTTGTCTCGGTTCATAACGTTGTTTGGCTCCTTCGGTCGTTATCCGTCCCTTGCATGTGTCCTGACCACATTCTCCTCCTTGCAATTGCCGCAAGTGCTTCCCCCCTTTATTACTTGTTTACTTGCTCTTTTCACGAGAGCGTACAATCCGGTTGGCCACCGTCAGGGCCCATGTTTTTGCACTGTACAGGAAGAGCAGAAATAGAATCTGGATGTCGTAAATAATAATCGTAATCATAATTTAAATTACGTTACAGGCCTTCCGTCAATCCACTTCTGGATGAAAGCCCCTCCCCATGTCAGGGCTGTGGCTGTTTTAAGGTGCTGCTGCTGCTGTGGATTTTCCTTCCCAAATTCATTTGGCTGTGAGATTTACAATTGTCAATGCCTTTCCATTTCCTCGACCTTCATTTCGTTCATCCCTACCCCCCCCCCCCCCCCCCCCGGATCAATCCTTGATATGGACAGTGTTTTTAACTCGATGGGCCCTGCCCCGGGTGAACAGAACTAAATAAACTCGAGTAAAACTGTCCTGGGTGTTATCACAAAGCGTTTAAATCGCGTGAGTGGCTACCGAACGTGGTCCCGTAAGAACCGACGTTGTTCTAGCCGGGAGCCGGCTGTTCGTGTTGCTTTGCTGTGTTCTCAGCTCGGGCCAGAACCAGTGGAGAGACCAGATGACTCCCAGCATGATTCTCGAAGGCGTGGCGAGGGCCAAGAGCTGGCCGCAGCCCATCTACGAAGGCGACCGCCTAACCCTGAAAGGGCGCGACTATTTGATGTCTGACTTTGGTGAGACAATTGCGCGTGACGGCCGTGTGCGTGTGTTATTATAACCCCCCTTGTTGGTTTCTGTACAGTTTGGCGAGCAGTCTTGCGCCAACCGCCATCGATCCCAAACCGCGTTCCTTCTCGATGAATCTCCTCGCGCCGCGTGTTGGCGGAAAGTTCGGCGCTTCTTCCGGGCGCGGAACTATTCCACGAGTCGTCGCAATGTCATGGCCATGATTCGATTTGAAAAAAAAACTATTTGTGTTCTTGTAACATTCCTGTGGTTGGCTCTACCCAATAGAAATAAACATGCACAGTACATGGTTATTGTCAGTCTCTTCTGGGTGATGTTTATCCGTTGCTGCAAGCATCTGAGCTGTGCTAATCGTGTACTGGAGGGGAAGGTATACTTTTGACCGAGCAACACTTTGTAATTTTGGTCACTTCCATCACCGCATGCGCCTGGTGCGGTAACAGAAGTGACTGCAGTGTGTGTTTGTGTTTACTGTGTGGTCACCTGCCAGAGCCATGTCAAGCTTCTATTCGAAGACATTCACTGCATCGGGAACTTTCAGATGCGCTTCTGCGGCCGTCTGGAATGCCCCTTCCTTAGAATATTAGAAAGCCCACTGGAGCTATGCACTTTTAAATCAGGATTACTTATGAACCGCTATTTGTGTATTAGTTTGTTGTCCTTCCATCCCACTTCCGCATGAATAGATGCACTCAGGCCTCGGAAAGGGGCTGCTGCGCACCTCTGCAATGTAACCACGGGGGCACTCATTGGGGAATCCCCCTTCATGTTCTACAGAGGCGAAGGCCCCGACGAATCCTCACCTGGGTCCCGTGAAGGAGCGCCTGGCCCTGCACCTCCTGCGCAGCATGGGCCTCATCCCCGAGCATGTGGAGACACGCACACTGGAGCACTCGATCCAGCCGGGCCTCGAGCAGGTGCGCGCACAGCGGCAGCAGTGCCTGTAGCAGTGGCAACAGCAGTTGCAGCAGTGCTAGCGCCAGCAGCAATAGTAGTAGCACTGGCGCCAGCAGCAGTAGTGGCAGTAGGAGTAAGTAGCAGTTGTCAAATCGGTCTGCGTTACACATGCATGCACCATGCTGCTGCCAGACTAAGTACGCGCACGCATAAGAAAGATCACATGACTGCAGTGTCCCGATCCCTCCACTGGCTCGTAATCCAATGCTGGATCAAATGAGCGATTGCACTTTCCATCTTCAAGATCCTCCATGGACTCATCCCTGCGTCCTCTCCTCTCATCTCACGCTACTCCCCTCCACGCACTCCCCTACCTCTCCCCTCTCATCTTCTCTACACCCCCCCCCCCCCATGTACTCTTCTACCGGTGCCCTCTCATCTCACTCTCTCTTCCCCTTGCTCATTTGGTTAATCTGCCGTTGCTGAGAGGCAACTGGTGCCTCTAGCTCCGTCGCCATTAACAGCACAAATATACAGAGAATCCCCACTTTATATTTTAGAGACTTAGACTATAGGGACAGATCCTGTAAAAATATTAAATAAATAATTAGCTGGTCTTTGGCAATCCAGAATCAGAATATTTATTTATACTGGAGCAATCCGATGAGCCTGTGAAGCTCTTTTTCACAGGTGTCCAGCAGGAGTGGGTAAAACCGTTACAACAATAACAATACGATCCACTGCAGGCTTCCTCACACCATCGACCCGCATAGACCAGCTTGGGGAAGTATGGTCAAACAGCTCCCAGGACTGACTAAGCGGGACCCAGGACCGATTCGGATATCACTTGCCGCTGAAATTAGCCGGGTGTTTATAAAATAATTAACTTACTGCGCATATTGCCTGTGTGAGTTTGCAGGGTAAGCTGGGGGAGCGGTAGTTAGAAGTGGTGCTTAATGCGCTGCGCTACAGACCCGGCGACCCGAGTTGGATCCCCGCTCACGGCCAGCACCAGCGACGATTTTCTGAACTGATTCTCGACCTCCTCTAGGTCGACTCGGCCTCATATGAGTACCTGGTGCGGGGTGTGTAAAGATCGGCACTGGTGATGCAATTGTGGCCACGCATGGTGCTGGTCGCCCACCCCCTCGTGTACAGTTCCTGCTTTTCGGAGGTGCTCCCTAGCAGCACTTGCACCAAAAGTCTGATTAGGCTGTGTGTGTGTGTTGGATCTTGTTTCGCACCGTACGTAGCCAACCGTGCTAATCGGAGGCGCGGCTATACGGGGCAATCTTTGTCTTTTTTTGCAGGGCAAGCTGATGATGTGGGTTGACGTCTTCCCCAAGAACATGGGACCTCCAGGCCCTCCGTTCGACATAACGCCACGCAAAGCCAAGAAGTGAGAGGCTGCTCCGGTTTGCACGCACGCGCGCACGCACACATCGTCAAGTCCACCGCCTGGCTCCGCCACGGTGCTCTCCAAGCACATCGCGTCGCGTTGGTGGGCAACGTAAAAGGACGTTGGCTGCGTTAGCGGACACGGGGGAGATGTCCGTGCCATCCGGTGTCCAAGCGGAGGGCAACGTTCCTCCCGTCGGACCCTTTTACGAAGACTGTTGGGTCCAAGAACTTCTGGCACCAGCGGCGGCAGCAGCAGCAGCAGCAGCGGCGGCCCTCCACTGTTGTCGATCATCATTATAGCCCTATCCCATACGTCGCCGATGTTTACCCGTCATTCCTGTCCGTGAAAGTGCCTCCTCCTCAGACTCCTCCTCCACTTCATCGGTCCATCTTTTTTTCCCCTCGGCCGTCCTTTGCCACCTTCCAATTAAAGCACGGTAATTTATGAGCCTTGCCACAAGAGGGCGGTACGGCACTAAGGGATGTGGGTTCTGGCCGAGTGGCGGATTCCTTCGTCGGTTTTGTTATTTCGCGTGATGGAGATTGCTTTGTGAACGTATTTTTCTTTGCTCGGCAATAACGCATGTTTACATCTCAACGGCAATTTCTCTGGATTCGGTGCAACTACCACAACTCAAAGAACCTCTCCGAGGTTGTGCGCTGCCGGGTCGGGCCGCGTTTTGTTCGGCGAGATGGCCGATGTTTCAGAATATTTCTTTATACTGGAGGAATCCGATGAGCTGTGAAGCTCGTTTTTTTTCTCACCGGTGTCCACTTTCGCGCACCCCACGTGCTTTTTTTTTCGTAAATTGGATGGAGTCTAACATTGCGAGGTTGCAACCGGAAGACGAATTTCGAGAGCTGTGCGCAGCACAATGGCGAAAATTCCTCCGCAGTGGCATCGTCCGGTTAGCCTCTCTGGGCCAGAATAATTGGCAGGGAATAGCCTTTCCTGATGCTGGGGGGTGGGGGGTTCTCCGGCATACAGCAATTAATTAAACGTTAACTACGCGACTACATTTAAATGTGGCTTAACGTGAAATTGAAACGTAACGCTTGAACGTAATTGGCAATACATGACTTTGAATGAATAACGAATAACTATCAGTATTATTCATAATCAAATAACACTTCAAACATTATTGCAGTGTAATCCGAGTCCCTTGCCATTACCATGAAGCAGAGGGGGTAAGGTTCTAAGGTGAACGGTTTGCAAGTTCAATTTATGGTTAAGGATCTTTCCAGGGGCCTGTATAATGAGCACCACTTTGTTGGAAGTCAACAGTGGTTTGTCCCTGAATAGACTCTCCCCCTACCATAGGAACGTGGAAATTCAACCACTGCCTCAGTGCTGTGAGCAGGATATACGAGAAACAACTTGCGTTCAAAGAGTGGGTAAACCACTTTTTTTGCCCACATGCTATAAAGTTCCCCCCCCTCCCACACCCTCTCTCTTGATAATTGTTTCTGTTCGAAGGTACCAGCTTCGGTGCATCATCTGGAATACCAAGGATGTGATTCTTGATGAGACGAGCATCACGGGAGAGAAGATGAGTGACATCTACGTGAAGGGGTACGCCAAGTGGACACGTGGTTCTTGTCACCTGTCGCCTGTTACGTCACGAGATGAAGAACGTTTTGGGATCTCCACTTTGTGTTTAGAGAGTGGTCCACATAATTTTGTATCGCAGAGTTGCATTTGAAATTCCTTCAAGTGACCTGTGGCCTACACAACAGGGAGGGTGGCGGGGGGGGGGGTAGCTAGAGATAGAATTAAAAGTGTATAAATATGTAGGCATGCGTGTTTTATGATGCTGGTTATTCGTTGGTTTCCTAATCTTAGCAATGCAAGGTCAAGGTCATTGGGTACGGCCAAGGTCAAATAAACGATTTGGGTAAAATCCAGAGATATATATTACTTTAATGCAAACATTGCCATGATCAAAGCGCAGGTTGTATACGTTATGGGAATTTTCGGCGGATTGTGAAATAAGTAGCTTAGTGGTTAACATTGTTGCCACAGTAGCCGACTCCTACATTCAGAGGTTATATAAAAAAAATATAATGGATTATCTCTGAGCTATGAAAGCCATGATGTTGGATGGAGAATAATGATGGCTGAGGGATGATTATAATAATGGATGGGTAATGGATGGATGGTGGATGATGGATTGAGGATGATGATGATGATGGATGGAGGATTATTATGGAGGATTATGATGATGGTGTATGGTGGGGTGGATAATGATTATGATGGCTGTCTCCCCAGGTGGATAGACGGGCGTGACGATGCCAAGCAGAAGACGGACGTGCACTACCGGTCCCTCGGTGGGGAAGGCAACTTTAACTGGCGCTACATCTTCCCCTTCGAGTACGTGCCAGCTGAGAACATCTGTGTGGTCTCCAGGAAGGTGCGTTCACTATGAGGAAGGTTGTTGCCCCCATCCTGGCTTATTCTTTGATTTTGTAACTTTTTGTTATTCCAATTGCGGTGTTGATATGATTTTATGAGATGCGAGGAAGTTTCGTTTGAGAACAGCTGACAGAGCAGCAGATCTGCTGTCAGGCGTCGTGGCGATGTCTGTCTGTAGGGCGCTGCCGCTTAACAGCTGCTGCTGCTGCTGCGATTGTGTGCCCGTGTCCTTCAGGAACACTTCTGGAGTTTGGACAAAACCGAGCTGCGCCTTCCTCCAAAGTTCACCATCCAGATCTGGGACAATGACAAGTTTTCTCCAGATGACTACCTGGGTACGTGCACCACCTACCTGCCCGCCATACCCAGAAGGTTGAGAAACACCAGAAGACCACCGTTTCATCCACGACCTGCTGCGAGGCTACATTTTGGGCAGCGGAGGGCAGTGGACCCTATCAATGAACCACGCTTCTGATCTGTACACTTCATAGCAGATGATACGCATACGTTTAATGAAATGCGAGTCTTATTTGTTTACATCCTCCCTTGTACAACCGGCTCTCCATACTACCTGTGACCAGGCTACCTGGACCTGAACCTGTCCCACATGCCCGTGCCGGCTAAGTCGGCGGAGAAATGCTCACTGGAGATGGTGGAGACCCCGACCGGCAAGAAGAAGCACAAAACCACGTCGCTGTTTGAGCAGAAGAACGTCAAGGGCTGGTGGCCGTGCATCGCCGAAGAGGACGGCAAGAAGATCATCGCCGTGAGTGATTTTTTTTTTTTATTTACGTGTTTCTCTACTTCGATTTAAAGCTTTCGTGACTGCAGGGATTCATCTTCTTGGTTCTTTCGGTAAAGTCACCACCACGTAGAAGGGAAATAATAAAATAATAAAAGTAAAACATAATAAAATAAAATTCTCGCGACGTTTCGGCGACAACACAAGCGGCCGTCCTCAGGCGAATTAACAGAACTGGAGCGCTGTCTTTCCGACAGCTCTTGTTTCTTCACCTGAGGACGCTGCTTGTGTTGTGGCCGAAACGTCGTGAGGATTTTATTTTATTATGTTTTATTTTTATTATTTTATTATTTCCCTTCGACGTGACTTTACCGAAAGAACCAATCAGGTGTTTCTCTACTGTTTTTTTTTCTTTTTTTACTTACAGCCGGAGCGGCGGCCTAGCAAATGGTTAGCGCACTTTGCCAGCTTCCCTGTTGCGGTAACCTTTAAACGTGTGAATTGATAAATTCAGCGAGGTAACAATGCGATCGGCTGGTGTCTCTGATGCACCCTGCTCTGGCTCTCCCCCCCACCCCTTGTGTGCGCGATGAGGAAAGGCCTGAGAGACGCCCATCGCTGAATTGTACTCGGGGTTTTACATTTTGTTCAGTGGCGTCCAAAGATTAAATTAAGCTTGCATTACTCTATGGTTCTTTCGGTAAAGTCACGTTGAAAGAAAATAAATTAAATAATAATAGAATACGACGTTTCGATTGCAACACAAGCGACCGTCATCAGGTAAGAATGAATGAGAAAACAAACTTAGAAATGTAATGCAATACAACACAGAGTCGGCTAACACACACATAGACACACCTCTGTGTGTCTATGTGTGTGTCTCTCTCTGTGTGTGTCTCTCTGTGTGTGTCTCTCTCTGCTTGTGTGTCTCCGTGTCTGTGTTTTGTCTCTCTCTCTCAAATGTAGCAATCTTTGGAAGAACGTAATCAACCAGGTAGGGCGTTGACTGTTGTGTTAGCCGACTCTCTGTGTTGTATTGCATTATATTTCTAAATTTACCATGTTTGTTTTCTCATTCATTCTTACCTGATGACGGCCGCTTGTGTTGCAATCGACACGTCGTATTCTCTTATTATTTATTTTCTTTCTACGTGACTTTACCGAGAGAACCATTTAGAGTAATTCCTGCAGTCACGAAAGCTTCAAGTGTAGTTTAAGCTTCCATTATTAAAAGAAGGTGTGGGCGGCTGATTCTTTAATCGGAGGGTGGCTCGGCTCTCTCAACAACCGCTGCAGGTGCTTTAGTGGGAATGCGCACTGCGCTATGAACCTGGCAACCAGAGTTGGATTGCTGGCCACGGCTAACATCAGTGGGGGGAGTGATGTCCGAACCGGCGCTGGGTTGTCCTTCCCCCCACTCGCCGGTTTGGTGAAGTACGGTCAAACAACCTCCGTGACTGACATGGTGTAGGGGGGGGGGGCCTTTGTCCAACAGTGGATTGATTGGCAAAGGACTGAAAATACATTTCATATATATGTTTTTTTAATGAAGAGAGTAGTTGTCTCTTTCCACTTGTAATTCTGTTTGCTATCGGAGCCATGTTGCGACGTGAATAAATGTCCCTTTAGAACTCTTGCAGGGCAATGCATCGCCCCAAGTTTGAGAGTGGTCCACAGAAGGTGATATCACAAAACTACTACAGAGATCACTATGTATCCACACGGGGGGGGAACTGCCCTTTCCTGCATGTTTTTTGAGAGGTGTTAATGTAATGCTAATCGAGCTGATCTATTGCTTCTTCTTCAGAGCTAGAAAATGTATTTAATGTAATTGAAGAGTCTGAATGATGATTTGTTGCGTGCATTCTTTGGCGAGCATGTTGAGAATCGTCGACACCAGTGTTCTTCATTGTGAGGCTCGCGGGCCACTGGCGGCCACTGGCAAACTTAAGTGCGGCCCCTGATGTGTGGCCCACGACCAGTACACAAATGTGAAAACAAAACCATCGTGCTGCTGGCAAACCCCAGTGGTTTCAAATGTGTGGCGGCCCTCACGCTTATCGACAAAAAGTGCCCCTCCCCCCCCCCCTCTGAAAATGAGTGAAGAACACTGGTTTGCACTGACGCTTACAACGCTCGCCCCAACAGCAAAAACTAAATGGGGGGTCCCTCTTGTCCATGTTGTTGCTTGCAGGGCAAGGTGGAGATGACTCTGGAGATCCTGGCTGACAAGGAAGCGGAGGAGAGACCCGCAGGCCTGGGCCGGGAGGAGCCCAACATGAACCCAAAGCTGGACCCACCAAAGTAAGGTTCCTTGAAATGTGTTCAGCCATTTATAATGCCGGGGTGGTGAGCAAATGTGCCGAGATGATCGACGCGGCTTTGTTTTTCGCGTGTTTTCATCCACAAGTTTTAATTCCAATTGTGCTATCGGTGTCGCGTCATGAGAGAGAGACTCCATCCGGAACACTTGCAGAGCAGTTGTAACCCGCTTTGCATTCGAGTGGCCCACAAAGGCAGATATAACAGAACTACCTCCTGAGATCCTTTGAGTTGACATATGGGTCCGCATTACCGCACCCTCCGATGAGCACGGTTTGCTGCGCACGGTGCGAAAGAAGTTCTACTTGCATAGTATACAGCAGTGCTTTCCCACTCGCTTCGCTACAAAATAATGTTTATATTCTTAGCTCTTTCTGTAAAGTCACCTTGAAGGGAAACAATAAAATGCATTAATGCAAACCGACACACCTGATGACGACCGTTTGTGTTATGGTCGAAACGTCGTGAGATTTTTTATTGTTTTATATATATATTTTATTATTTTATTGGTTCCCTTCAACGTGACTTTACCGAAAGAGCTAAGAATATGAATTACTGCAGTCACGAAAGCTTTAAATCAAAAAATGAAATAATGTTTGTCGCAAGAACGTCAACCTGATCCGTTTAATCCGCTGAGCTGGAAATCGCCCAAAATAAGTGCAAAATCAAATATAATGTGGTGCAGTCATTGGTGGCTGGGCTTGACACCAGAGACTCGCAGCACTTTGAGAATCAGGTTTCATCACAGGCAGCAGCGTCCTTTATGCAATGCAGGATTTCACCAGTGGCCAGCTTCAATGCTCTGACCTTTAAGCTACCTGGCCACCTCGTACATTGTCCTGTGTGATTTAGGCAAATCGCACAACCAGCTGTGGGCACCTAAAGAATCGCTGGTCTTCAGGCAATTGCCACTGGAAGGTTTTTCCTGGCAGTACATTCAATGTGAGCTGCCATAGTTGCTTGTTACAGCAATGGCATTGAGGGGATAAGGTTCCACTTCGCCAATGACATTGATTGGTCTACAGAGCACACAACCTTGGGCAGACCCATGTGACCTCTGTGATCTGATTGGAAGTTGCTATCCCAGTTACCCACCTAGGGGGAGCAGCGAGCAGAGATTTATCAAGATTTGAAACGGAGATTTTTTTTGTTTTACACAACTATCAATGGTGGCAGTTGTCGGTGATGATTGCCCTAGAAATGCATTGGTGTGTGTCATAGTTAAAGAGTGCGCAAAGAAGCAGAGAGAGGCGCATGTTTGAGATGAGACCGGAAGAGGTGTCCTGGAGAACGTGCGTTACTTTGAGGAGACTAAAAATGTAACCGGCAAGAAAATTAAGTGGCAGGATAACATCGCGAGAGGATGACGGCTGGCAGTCGAGACTAACAACAGAGTGGCAGCCAAAGGAGGGCCTGAGGAGGACGTCTGCCGTGAAGTTGAAGCGATTATTTAAAATCGGCTCACGGTGCAGGGTCAAGGCTGGACTAATGCATCGTTAAGACCATGACAGAGAGATGGCGACAATTTGTGGAGGTCATTATCCAGTAGTGATATGGTGTTGATGGTGGTGGTGGAGGTGGCGATTATCAGTGGCCTTATATTTTGATTCCTGGCGTCTTTCTGCTTTGTGACAAAACGCAGCCGCCCAGAGACATCGTTTCTGTGGTTCACGTCGCCTCTCAAAACCTTCAAGTACATCATCTGGAGGCGCTACAAGTGGATTTTTATTGGGCTCCTCATCCTTCTCTTCGTCGTCCTATTTCTCGCCATCCTCTTCTATTCCCTGCCGGTAAGTTTATTTTCTACATTCTGTGCAGACTGTAGGGGACGAGTCCACCCCCCTCCCCCGCCCGACTGAAACATTTCGTTTTTTTTTTAAAAAGACTGCTTTGGGTCCCCCCTTCATTGTGGGCCCTGTCGCGCCGAACTCGTTCTGCGATCGGCGCTTTGTACCGGACTCGCATTGAGATGCAATTTAACAAAAAAAATCTAAAGACGGTCTTGGATCCTTTAAAGATTAATTTTTCACGTGGTCTACAAGACGTCTGAATTTAAAAGGTCTTTGCGGCGAGCGATGGTGACGTTACCCGATGCTGCGTGACATCACTTTTGGCAGTGGAAGCATGGAAATCGGGACAAGTGTGACATCGCTTGCCGCGTCTGCTTGGTGTTTTTCGGTTCGAAAAACATTGGGACGGTCCAAAGTTTCGTATCGAGCATCGATTTTGGTATTTAATCCGAAAATTGGAAACCTCTCGGAAGTTGAGGTAACATCTTGCAAGTCGCCTCGTTCATACCACCAGGCTGATGCCGGCTTGTTTTAAACTTCCTATAAAGATACGGTGTGAAAAGTTAACTGACCGTTTATGCAAATGAATCGCTCGATATTCGCAAAATAGAAGGGACTTTATTACAGTCACGAGCTTGGTGCAAATTATTTGTATGATGGCCCATCGGATATTTGAACGTTATTTGTTTCATTTTGTCTTTTCAGAACTACACTGCGCAGAAAATCGTGCTGGGATAAACTGATCTAGAGTTTCTTGTTGTCGTGAATTTGAAAACGTTCTACAAGCAGGAGGAATGTCCACTCCAGAGTAAAAGATATATATCTCTATAGAGCTGTATGCACTCATTGTGGTCCTTCATAAAAATGGCTTGAATGTCTTTTTTTTTTTTAAAACAAGCAATTATAAAGTTTGAGATATTCTCCCGCTTGGGGTTAGAATGCACACACCATACAAGCACTTCCACATACCGTCGCGTATTCTCCCAGTAGTGGTGCTGAAAGCAGTTGAATCCGACACTGATATTAGTTGTGAATCAGTGTCACGTGACCGTCACAAGTGCAAGTTGCTGGAAACATAAAAGTGATTATCGTAAAAAAAAGTCACCCCCCCTCACCCTCGTGTCCAGTTTTACATCTTAGAAGCATTGCACTTTGTAACAAAAAAAAAACCTGCGATTATTTGGCGTCTCACGTGGGATGGTGTGTGATGTTTTCGATGCTGAAGTACACACAGACAGCATTTAGTAATGAATTTAAAAATGTATACATTACAGATTGCCAACGTTGGTTTCTTATTTCAACACGTTCGCATCAAAGGCAATGTATTAAAATCATCTATAGCTGTGTGTTCATGTTTGTGTGACGGAAAAACAAGAAAACGTACGTGAATGTAATTGCCATCACAGCCGAACAAACTTCACTTTAAAAGGTGCAATGCTTAGAGAGCCGGTTTTAAAAGTAGTACATCTGACGGCGACTTGGCTTGTGTCGCTCGCTCATCGCTTGATAAATTATGAAATGGATTTTTTTTTAATCGAAAGCATATACCTGATCCGCCGTTGGAAAAAAAAATAACGCCGTCAACTACAAGTCCGCAGTCAAATCACCTTGAACTGTTATTGTATACCATCGCGAACTTATGTTGTGCATTCACACCATGTACACATCGCATCTCTTAATTGGCAAATGTATTGGGAAGTTACCCGAGCACTTTTTAAGCACCAGTCCGTTGACGGATGTCGCGCATGCGGTTCAGCGTTTTGGACCGGATTAATATTGTAGGCACTTCAAATATACCCCCCCTCCTCCGCCCCAAAAACAAATTCCCCCCCCCCTATAAACTGCACAACTCTACTTTTAAAAGTGTACTTCTTGAAATGTTGGTGGCATTTATAAAGGAAACAAAAAAGACACCCTAACATATTTACATGGTGTTATCAGAATTATGTAGGTGGATTACTGGCAGTTTCCAATATGTTTTTATCTGAAATATTGGAGGATGGCCAAAACATGCGTTACACTTCTCTGCAGATGAAAATGTAATCGTTGTGTGTGCGTGGTTTTTTTGTTTACGTGTCCATTTAGTCAAGGTGCACACTGTGTTCGTGGTGTCGTTGAAAAGGTGTTTATACGCGCGTGTCATCTGAATGTTACCCAACAACAACAGAGGGTAGGCCTCGCTCTCTAAAAACAACGTCGCCCTTAGCCTGACAACGAGGCCCGGGTGCGTCTGTGTGTGTGTTCATATAAAAATTAGAGACGTTCCGACGACGAAGATTCCAGCCAGAAATGCCATCTTCATTCTGTGGCCCGTCTGGTTTTTTGGACCTTGGTTGTTAGAAATACCTGTCCTGTTGCGCTCATTCGGTGGTAAGATGCATGACCAAAAAAAAATATTTAACGAAAAATATTTTTAAAATGACCAGGGTGTGTTTTTAATGAAATAATAAAGCATTGTTGTCAACATTCGAGTGCTGAATTATTTCATTGCAGTGGCACTCGTGGTCGCTAGGTGCCGCTCCCTTATTGCGGAATTCGCGAACTTTTTTTTACTCCAATGCACGTGTGAGTGAGCGTTTCGACGCAGTGTTAATGAATATATTGAGTTCACAATCGGGGCATACTCGTTGTGCATTGCGTTGTCTCAATTTTGACTCCTGGGTAATTAATCCGTGCACGGTAAATACGCCCCAAGGAGTCTACCATAAAAGTCACGATTCCGTATTGTATTCGTGTTCTCTCACTTGGGGGGGGGGGGGGGGGGGGCGCTTGGCCCAACCACTTCTTCAAGTCGTTGATCAGCGCCTGCCTTGGTTCCACCTCTTTGCATTATCTCCCTGCGTCTTCAGAGAGATCCTTTCCCGTCTGGAAAAATATTCACGGATCCCGGATCGTTTTGCTTCCTCAATTCAAGGCTTCTCTTGCTCCTCTTGACGGTTAGCCCACTCGAAATCTCTCCTCTGAATTTTCACCCCTTTTCAAGGAAATTATCATTCTCGACTTAAAGCTTTCGTGACTGCAGGAATTCATATTCTTTGGGTCTTTCGGTAAGTCACGTAGATGGGTTAAAAAAAGATATAACAATTTCTTTGAACCGATCTACGTGACTTTACCGAAAGACCCAAAGAATATAAATTATAATTACATATATATGCCCGTACTGCCCCGTCTAGTGGGAAGCCGTGGAAATTTCTTTTTTGACAGTGCCGCAGTCGGCCTTTGTGGGGAGCGGTCGTGTAGCGGTTAGCGCAGTGTAGTGGTTAGCGCTTCCTCAATTCAAGGCTTCGGTTAGCGCGACACCGCTACGAACCTGGCGACCCGGGTTCGATTCCTGCTCATGACCAACACCGGTGACGATTATCTGAACCGGTCCCGGGCCTCCCCTAGGTAGACTCGGCCTCAAATGAGTACCTGGTGCGATGCGTAAACATCGCCGCTAGGGAGACAAAGGCGGCCGGGCGTGGTGCTGGCCACCTTACCCCCTCGTGTGCCGTGCTGGCCTTCATAGGTGCTCGCTAACAGCACTTGCCCCTACTGTCTGTTACAGGCTATACGGGTGATCTGTGTCGATGTAAACCAACGGTGGTCTTCCTACCCCATCACCGATTGATCTGTGGCCCAGGCCACCACGCGCTTAGCAAAACTGCCCGTTCGGGTACACGTGCACGGGTGATCAGTTACCGTTTGTCCACCTTCACGGTGTCCACCTCCATTCAGTTGACTGTCTTCACTTTGTGTCCACCTCCATTAGGTTGACTGCCTTCACTTTGTGTCCACCTCCAACCAGTTGACTGCCTTCACTTTGTGTCCACCTCGATTCAGTTGACTGTCTTCACTTTGTGTCCACCTCGATTCAGTTGACTGCCTTCACTTTGTGTCCACCTCCAATCAGTTTACTGCCTTCACTTTGTGTCCACCTCAATTCAGTGGACTGCCTTGACTTTGTGTCCACCGATTCAGTTGACTGACTTCACTTTGTGTCCACCTCCAACCAGTTGACTGTCTTCACTTTGTGTCCACCTCCATTAGGTTGACTGCCTTCACTGTGTGTCCACCTCCAATCAGTTGACTGTCTTCACTTTGTGTCCACCTCCAATCACTTGACTGTCTTTACTTTGTGTCCACCTCGATCCAGTTGACTGTCTTCACTTTGTGTCCACCTCCAATCAGTTGACTGTCTTCACTTTGTGTCCACCTCCAATCAGTTGACTGTCTTTACTTTGTGTCCACTTCCAACCAGTTGATTGTCTTCACTTTGTGTCCACCTCCATTAGGTTGACTGACTTCACTTTGTGTCCACCTCCAATCAGTTGACTGACTTCACTTTGTGTCCACCTCCAATCAGTTGACTGCCTTCACTTTGTGTCCATCTCCGTCCAGTTGACTGCCTTCACTTTGTGTCCACCTCGATTCAGTTGACTGTCTTCACTTTGTGTCCACCTCGATTCAGTTGACTGTCTTCACTTTGTGTCCACCTCCAATCAGTTGACTGTCTTCACTTTGTGTCCATCTCCGTCCAGTTAACTGTCTTCACTTTGTGTCCACCTCGATTCAGTTGACTGTCTTCACTTTGTGTCCACCTCCAATCAGTTGACTGTCTTCACTTTGTGTCCACCTCCAATCAGTTGACTGTCTTCACTTTGTGTCCACCTCCAATCAGTTGACTGTCTTCACTTTGTGTCCACCTCCATTAGGTTGACTGTCTTCACTTTGTGTCCATCTCCGTCCAGTTGACTGCCTTCACTTTGTGTCCACCTCCATTCAGTTGACTGTCTTCACTTTGTGTCCACCTCGATTCAGTTGACTGTTTTCACTTTGTGTCCACCTCCAATCAGTTGACTGTCTTCACTTTGTGTCCACCTCCAATCAGTTGACTGCCTTCACTTTGTGTCCATCTCCAATCAGTGGACAGCGTTCACCCTCCCCCCGGGTGGACAGCATTCGGACGCCGCCTCTGAGCAGCCGCTCGCGAGAGTCACCAACGTCGCCCGCGGTAAGGCGAGAACGTCAAAGGCGAGAACGTCAAAGGCGAGAACGTCAAAGACGTTCGCTCGTCAACAGTGGAGGTGTCTGTGTCCGAGGAAATCCCTGGGATTATGCGGCAGCGTGCGGGGTCGCCCATAATCACCGCAGAGCCCGGCGTAAGGTGAACTATGCGAGCCTTAATGATGTTAAGCCCGGGCGGTGGTAGTGGTGGTGGTGGGGGGCCCTCTGTTTACAAGCCCCGGGGGGCAGGGGGGGGGGCTCCGAGCCCGCGGTGAGACTCGACATTGGTTCCGTTACCACTCCCGTGTGTGCGTGCGCCCCGTTTGTAGCGTGCCCTCGCAGCGACGTGGGCGCGTGTGTTACCACGTCTGTCTCGCCTTTCTGATGGAAATACCTGTCAAATGAAATGTATTATTGGGTTTAAAAACAAATAATTAAATGCACTCGAGTAACTAAAAACAAATGCGTAAAATAATCCCGCACTGTGCTGTTGTAGTTCAGGTTCCAGAGCATACATCATTACAATCGCATGTAGCAAAACGTGTTCTTCCCCGCCGAAAGATTTACTTACACTGCCAATACGCGATTACATCGATTACCCCACCTATTTTAAATGGCTATCTCACGATTCAATGTCATTGGCCACAGCGTGAAATGAAAATCATCAAAGTGAAGTCACCTGTGGTGGCAACCGACGAGATGAGCATGCGGTCCGGGCTCGTGGACTCTCAGCAGATTGGTCACGTGCCAGTGAGCACCAGCGGTTTTAGCAACCACCGAACGGTGGATTTGTGTGTCGCAGCGATGGCTTGCGAGCTTTCATTGTTTCAGTTGTGTGTGTGTTTTCCCGTTACATACATCTCTATATTGCTTAATATAAAAGTAGTAGCTGGCCTACCATTGGTATTCATGGACATGTTGTTTTATTAACTGTTCGGATATGCCAGTGTTGCGAGGAAAACGCAATAGAAATTTTATGTTTTTTTACTGAAATTCACCTTTGGCAATATGCCGCCCGTATCCACACGGTGACCTTGTAAGCCAAGCGCGGAGTTCTGTCTGCCACGCTCTGCCGCCCTTTGTTTGAGACGTCGACGGGCCGACACGCAGACAGTTGGCACTGGCGATTTTTGGATCAGCTTGAGGTCTCTCATTTTGAGTTCGATAGTTTTTTTTTATTACATTCGCCGTGACAATACAAACTAAAACCGAAACATATATGTTTTTTTTACCAGGTAAGGCACACTCAGCCTAAATGTCATTTTTTTAGAAGCGACCTAGCCACAAATGATAGCGCAATGAAGTGGCCTATCATTTGTAAATCTGTAGCAGCCAAATGCACTAGAAATACGTGTTTCTAAATGTGGAAAACCGGAGGACTCGGAGAAAAATCCACGTGACCACGGGGAGAGAGCGAGAACATGCAAACTGCACATATGCAGGCGTCGGGGTCGGAATCGAAACCACGACCTCCTGTGTACCGAGCGATGTAGTTAACATCTCGCGATTCCTACTGCTGGATGACGATTTTAGTTCTTAGCTGAGCTGTAAAAATAAAAGTCTCGACCAGACAGACAGTGGTGCTTGAGGGCTGGCATAGTGATTAGCACATTGTTGCAATGGACCCAGTGTTCTGACTAGTTCGATTCCCGCCCGCGGTTTAAAAAAACCCCGCTTAAATTCTGTGCATGACTATATGGGCCGGGTTACCTGTCCAAGCAGGATTCTGTATATCACGTTAGTGGCCCTTACTATGTATTAAACAGACCACACAATATAAAACAACGCAATGCTCCGATCCACAAATACGACGGAGACATCGCAGCGTTACAACTCCGCTACTCCTGACGTGGTTATCTGGCTTGACCACCCCAATGTGACATTGTCGCTGTCGCTCTGCGTCCATATCAGCCATACGCAAGAAGAAGTCGAAGACGGATTCACTCACCAACCTCGTGGGCCGTGTGCACTGTATCATGAACCTGGCGATTACAATTCAATTGTTCAATTCCTGGCCATGGTGCCACCGACCACCCTGCCCTTCACCAACCCACACTGACCAGCACGATTGGAGAGACCTTCATCCAGTGCTGCTTCGACAAGGGACTGTTTTTGTTCGTGTCTATGTGGCAGGTTGCTTTTGGTAACCCATACGGTAAAAGTAAAGCAAAGGTAAACGTGTTGTTTGCATAAAGTAGCTTTGTTAACTGTTGTTCAGCCACATAGCGAATAATGCCCGACGTCAAGATTAGATTGAAATTGTATAATGACTGCGCTGAATTCATTTACATTCAGGTAACGCATAGCTTAATTGCACCGAAGCTCACCCACCCATTGGATCAGAATGTGGCCACGTGGCAAAATGAGCTGTGTGCAGCACGGCGGAACCCACCGTAATTCGGTACGTTGACACGCGGCCAGCCGGATGACTCGGAGATCAAAGCTCTGAGCTGGCACTGCTGCTGAGACCCCTGGGTT